CGATCAGGTCCTCGTTGGCGCGGCTCTGGTTGGGGTCGCTCAGGCGGAATCGGGCGCTGAGGTCTGGCGATGCATTCGTTCGCTGCTGGAAGCTCGAGGGGTGCGGCCGCGGGGAGCCGCTGGACGCGTTTGAGGCCGTCGACCGCACAGGCGGAGCGCTGGGGGCTCGTCGAAGGTTGCGCGAGCTGGAGCTTTTGCCGTCGAGCGACTCGGTGTCGTAGCCGGAGGAGGAGCGGCCGTAGGGCTGGTGCGAGGGGGGCCGCTTGATGAGTTTGCGACGCTGGGAATTGCCGTTCAACGGCGGGCTCTGGCGCTCCATGAGAGTTGGTTTGTCCAAGCACGCACCCTTACTAAGACTGTCTCAGCCCACACAAGAGGGTCCCCGTCTGTGGCCCGTCCGTTGGACCTTTTGGGGGTGTGCGAGAAAAAAGGAACCTTGACCTGAAAGAGGCGGCGCGGCCAGCCGTTGCGGACAATACTATGGCCAATTGCCAGAGAGACGGCGAATGGGGAAAAAAAAATTGGACAATAGGATTAACCGGGGGGGATGTTGTATGGAGTAGGTAGGTCGGGTCAGTCAGGCCAGGCCAGGCAAGCAAAAAAGTGAGGTTAGCAGGCGATGGGCAGTCTGGAGCAGGGCAGGACGGGTAGCCAGGCAGCTGAATCACCGCTTGTAGTTCTCGATGTGCCAGCACTCGTTATTCTTGTAACAAAGAGTGTGAAGAACAAGAGGAAGAAAGAAGAAAAGCCAGACTGACGGACGGCGTTCCAGGATTCTCTAGATCCCGTCCACCTTCAATTTTGCTGCGCTGCTATTCCCTGCCTGCACTCGTCCTGGGCCCCATAAGAGTGGCAGATTGTTCACAAGATAATAGGCCCAAGAGGGGCGCGAGTGGGTGCGAGCTCCGGGCTGAGATGCACTGTGCTTGGCTGCTATATGCGGGTCAAGTTTAACATACAGTGCAATGGATGCGCTCGTACGAGTACGCGTGCACTCTGCTCTAATCTAGGTCCCTTGAGTAGTGCAGCGATGCGCAAAAAAAAGCAACTGGTTTTCAAGGGAGCTGGAAATACTGGGCTATTGGTTGTGAATCCGTGTTGGAGAGAGGTACAGTAGCAAGCATGCAAGCATTCATCCAACAGTCGAGGAACAATGCGGCCAAGAGCGCAAGTGTGAATAAGACGCCGCCTAAAATAGCAGAGCCAGCCACAATGCGCGAAAAGTTGACGAGTTCCACTGTCAACAGCAAACTACAGGCCTGTATGATCCTTCTGCCGTCCAAGCTATTATTGGTGATTGAAACTGCTGGCCCAACAGAAACCCGTGTTTGTCTTATGCGTTCGAGTTGTGGCGAATGATCAACTCTGCACTGCCTTTCATGCTTTATGGAATCAAGCATTGGATCAATGGAATTCCATGCCCACGGACCTGAAGCTGCTTGGCCAGACAGACACTGTAGACCTACAGTGCGCATCTGGCGCGGGCACATGGTGGACAAGGCCCGGTCTCTTTGGTGAGCGCTGTGCTTTGTATGAAGGAGGGGGAGGGGCCACAGGAAGAGAGCAAGTCTTGGTTCGCTCTCACGTTAACGCTGAGCCGGGATAAGGCCTGTAATCATTACTGGAGCTTGACAAATAGACGCGATAAAGGCCAAGCCAGTTTGAACGACTCTGGAACGTTGTTGAACGCAGACGCAGTAGAGTAGAATAGTACAGGCAGGTGATGATTTCTCTCTTTGTCTCTTTCCTGCACCTCATCCGCGGCTTGTCTGTATCCCTCCCTTGTCATTCGTATCTGCTGGGATTGTCATTGTCCCTCGGTCTGCCCCTGTCAGTACTGGGGAAGCTCATGCTGCGATGCTGCTGAAATCGTCACTGGCGCAGATCGGTGCCAAGTACGGCGGACCAGGGCATTGGATTGGCTGCCTGTGTCTCATCAGACGCTATTCCTTACGATTCTGAGCCAAAATCATGTTATTGGCCAGCCGCAGACAGTACGAGCATGAAATTGATACCAAGACTTGATAAGATGGAAACAAAGAGAAAACTGGGTAGAATAAAGGAAAAAGCAGCAGCGCTTACAAAGAAGACAAAGCAAAGAAAACAAAGGAACAAAAAAAGTCTCATACAAGCACAAGTACCACCTTTGGCTTGGTTCCAGCTTCTTGTTTCCCGTTCAAGTACTATTTTTGTTAGCGTCCTCGTTGGTGGCTTTGGCGATTTGGATCTTGAAGATGGGGACAATGCTAAAAAAGCCAATTGATGCCGAATCTCTGTTTGAGTGGAGCAAATCGCTTGATGGCGCTGCGCTTCGGAGGAAAAAGAGGATATCAAGAAAAAAGAAAAATGGGAATATGAAAATAATAATAATAATTGAACTCGTGCTGACGCCCAAGCCGGGGTGGTTGATGTTGAGCCTAACGCATTGATGACCCAAGGTGCTCGTATTACAGTACCTGTTGTATGAAGCTGCTCTGTGCTCAAGCAAGGTTTCGGTGGCCATCAGAAATCCGTCCACAACTTAGACTACCTTCGTATACAAGTAGACCATAGTACGGGGCAGTTAGTTATTGAGATCTGCCATTGGACAACCTTGAAGTTGCGTACCAACACACAATTGAGTTGGTCTAATGCCTTTTGGGCGTAACTTTGAAGACACGAGGCTGGAGACAGAGGCATGCCGGTTCTGGGTCTTTGAACGATCCCTGCATTAATACCGATCGCTCAAAGCTGCAGGGAGAGTTATCACTTGTCACGAAACGCCAGGAAAGGGGGACCCCGTCCATACGACAACATACAGTTGAATCTCAGCTCATTAATTTGCTGCAAAACGGTGGGCAGCCGTACTGTTTCATGATGCTGGGGCCGTTTTACGACACCCCGCTCTCATTCCATGCAATTTCCATTACCAGCAGCTCTGTCAGTGAGGAGTACGAGTATGCTTCCGTGAATGTTGAATCCATCTTTGGTTGTTTTCAAGCTATACCTTCTAATAAAGGATTGAATGTGTATACGAAATGCTACATAAGCGCCCCGAAGCAGCAAAATCCAATGAGCTGCATCTACCTACCCCTACCTGACCAGGGTTTGCTGGAATCGCTAGGTGAGAGGGATCGTGAAGCCTAGCGCCCTTGACGGAGACTATTTTCAGCGGCAACTGGCGGGCCGTACGCATGAAGACGGCTCTCTGACAAACAAGCACCCGAGGATTCTTTTCCGCAACTGCTAGCTCGGGTTTTGGTCTCAGGTCGACACATGGCCAGACGTGATGGAGCGCCGGGCTGGTCTCTCGCTGAGACGCGCTTTGATTATGGTCTGGGCATTCAACTCCTCCACCAACTGTGATTCGTAGAGTCTCACGGGACAGGGCAGTTGTCCTAGGGGGTTTCTTCTGGTTTGTCTATCTACGACTGTTTATTTCTTCTCTGCCCCAATCGCCCCATTATACAGGCAGCTTGGTATAGGTAGTTACTTACGAAGAATACTACCTACGACAAGTGGTAGACGAGGTGGCATACCCAAGCTTGCCAAGTTCAATGTCTAACGGCACGTAGAATTTGACACCGATGATTACTACTTCCAAGATATACTACCTCGGTGATATTTTAGACAGTGAAGGCTGCCTACTTGCCTGATGCATCTTCAAGTCACATCATTTACAGCAAAGCGACTTTCGCGCCAGCAGCATAACAAATACCTGTAACCAAACCACTGCGCGATACGCCGACGAAAATGGCAGCGCAGCTATACATTACCCAATTCTGCAAGGTCATTAGACGAATTGTATCTTCTATTTTATAGGTCCTTTCGCTCAACTTTTATTTCAAAAACAACTAAAACAAACGTGGCATGCTAGTTGGTACTATAACATAAAAGAGGTAGACGGCTCTGGTTCTTCAAGGGCATCATGGCTTCTCTCAATCTTCCGCAGACGCTCACATTCACGTTGTGACGCTCCAGCTGCAGGGACGGGATTGTGCACGGCGCTACAGAATACATGCTCCTACCCAGCTGGTACTACGTGCAAAAATGGATGGAAATTGGCAAATAAAATAATAAGTACGTACATTGACTTTATACTGCTAAGACAGCTCATCGACCGATGCCCTTCAAAGACTTGCGCATCGCTTCTGCTTCCCTTTGTATTCATCTGCACCTTATCGTCCTTATCGACGAAGCAAGGTACATAGGTACATGCCAATGTCTCCCCAACAGAAGGGTCTAGAAGCGAGTCACATGACCGCTCTCGTGATTTTTCCACATACACCAGGAGTACCTGTACCTGGTAGCCGCGCTTTTTGGCGGGCGGACAAGCCACCGCCGAGGTACCCCTGGAGGAACGGTACCTCAGAGCCTCGACTTCGTACAAAAAAGAGGTCCAGTAAGAGGTACGAGGTACGGAGCTCTGAGTACCGGCGGTGGTGCCATCAATTGGTGCCAATTGGCAAGCCGCCACTACAGTGGCTCCGCCCGAGCCTTGTTGGCTTCCTGAAAGCGTGGCATTAACTAGAAGCCCTTGAGCTCTTCCACCTCACCCTCAACAACTTCTACAAGCTTCGTTGTGCTATACTCGTACCTTGTGCTCCGGCTCAGCTCTGCCGCCTCGTCTCCTGGTTTTCCCCTCTGGTCTCTGGTATTCGTCGTCTGCGGTTGTCTCTACCATGTTCTAGACACCACGGACTTTTAAGCATCAGCATCAAGCTCGTCACCTAACCGTCTTGTGCTGCTACCCGCAAAGCCCAAAGGGCTATCTGTACTTGTTTGCCTACCAAGGTATCCTACAGTTGGTGAGTTTGCACAAAACACATATACAGCAGCCATTGAGCCGCATTCTGCCGTCGTTTCCCGGCATCCCGATGTGCCAATGGCTGTGTGCTTGATTCCTGTGCTCCCGTGCAATTTGCTGACGGTCTGCTGTTTCCCATGCTAGTCTCGGTGCACTCCCTGTCTACCGTATCCAGCGTCCTTCCGTCCGTGATCCTTCCGAGCCGAATTCTACAATGTCTTCCGAAGAAGCTGCCCCTGCTGGCGTTGCCAATGCTGGCGAGGAGTCTGTCGCCCAGCGTCTTCAACAACACCATGTGACTGTTGAGGACGTGCCGGATGACGAGCTGCCCGCCAAGTCGGCTGATGACGCATCTGCTTCTGGTTCTGCTCCCGCCGTCAAGGCTGCGAAGCCCAAGCGGGCTGCTCTCGATACCCAGTCACACGAGCTGTTCCCCGAGCTTGGAGCTCCCAAAGGCAAGGCCCCCAACGTTGCTCCCATCTGGGGCGCTAAGAGCAATGCCAATGGCGGTTCCAACGGTGTTTCTCGCTCGTCGACTCCGGCATCTGGCGCTGAGACTCCCGTTTCCCAAGCGCCCACTCCGGCCATGGTCATCCCTGGACGCAGAGTCGAAACAATTACTCTCGCTCCCCAGTTCCTCCGCCCCCGTTCCGAACTTCGACGCCCAATTCCGGATATCCTCAAGGACATCAACCGCAAGTCTCGTGCCAACATCACCATGACTCAGTCCCCCAATGGACACCTCAAGTTCATGGCTACTGGCCCTCAGGAAGTCGCCCAACAGGCACTCAAGGATCTAGTTGCCCAAATCGGAACAAAGGTATGTGTGCAATTCTGCGCAATTCGTTGTGGCCTTTGGCTAATAATGCTGTCAAGGTCACTGTCAAGGTCCCCATTCCCCAGGCTACCCGGGCATTTATTATTGGCAAGGGTGGTGCCACTATCAAGGCTCTCCAGGAGAAGACGGGTGCCAGGATCCAGATGCCCAAGGCCGATGAGAACCAGGCCGCCATTGATGACGATGATGAGGCTCTCATCGATGTCATCGTAGAGGGCAATGCTATTTCTGCCGCCTCTGCCCAGAACGAGATTCTCAAGATTGTGGGCGAGCGGGTTGCCAACGTCCAGACCAAGGTGCGGGGGATCCCTACCGCTTTCTACCCCTTCATTGCCGGTCCTGGAAATGCCCTGGCCCAAGCGATGGAGGAGGCCAATGGAGTTCAGGTCCGCGTCCCCACTCATCAGCTGTACTCATCCGCACCGCTTCCCGTTGCGCCGGCCCCCGGTCAGCGACCCGTGTTTGCTGCGGCCGGCGCGGATGACGAGCATATCCTGCTTGCCGGTGACCGTGCCGCGGTGCAAAAGGCCCGAGCTGAGATTGAGCGTCGTGCCGCTGAACTGCAGAAGCAGCTGGAGGCCGAGCAGCTTTCCATTCAACGAGGTCGGCACCAGTTCATTATCGGGCAGCGAGGCATCCCCTTGGAGGACTTCTTCAAGGAGACTGGCTGTGCCATCCTGTTCCCCTCCGAAGAAGACGATGATATGATCACCGTCGTCGGACCTCCCTCCCAGGTGCAGGCTGGTCTTGAGAGAGCCATGGATCTCGCCATGGGTATGCAAATGTCCAACATTGATATTTCAAGGTCTCACCGCAACGCTCCTGGCGGAGCCTTGGCTCACGCTGCCAACATCACCAGATACCTTCGTCAACGTAGGGAGATTGAGCGCCTTGAGAAGCTCTACAGCACCCACATTAACACTCCGTTCTCTCAAGACGGCGCCCTCCCCTGGGAGCTGTACTCTCGTGAGGGTAAGAATGCTATCCGTGCCCAGTCAGAGATTACTGCAATTCTCAATGGACACCCGCCGTCTCGTATGCAGACCGTCTCTATCGACCCCTTCTTCCATCAGCACCTGCGTAGCGATGTTACACCAAAAATCAAGAAGGAATTTGGTGTTCACCTCGTCGTTCCGGAAGCGTCAGAAGCCAACGTCCCCGTGCTTCTCGTGTTTGAGGGCCCTGACCCTGCTGAGGGTGCCTACCAACCTCCCCGCGTCAAGCCTACGGAAGCCGAAGCCCGCGCCTTTAAGCAAGCGCTGGATGCTGCCCAACAGCATATCCTTGGCCTCATCAATAACCAAGAGGAGCTTAGCGAGGTGGCTCTTGACGTGCCCGCCAAATTCCACGAGAAGCTGCGCCGATTCATCAAGAAGGAGCAGGAGAGCCGCGACGAGTCTCAGATCCCCATCCGAGTGGGGAAGCTTGGCACCACTGTTACTCTGCGAGGGCCCAAGTCTGCCGTTGAATCGATTGCCAGCAAGGCAACCGCTTTCATCGAGCAAGAAAAGATTGATGAGAAGGAACGCGGACATGTCTTGACTTTCGACTTCCCTCAGAAGTTCGCCAACCACCTCATCGGCAAGGGTGGTAGCAACATCAAAGAGCTCCGTGATCGATTCGACGTCGAGATCCAAGTCCAAGACGGCAAGGTGGAGCTCAAGGGACCTCAAGCCAAGGCTGAGAAGGCCCGAACATACATTCAGAATCTCAGCCGTACGCTGGCCGATGAGACAACCCACACTCTCAAGATCGACCCCAAGTTCCACAGGGAGCTGATTGGTGCTCAAGGCAGCCAAATCAACCGCCTGCAGACCAGATACAAGGTTCTCATCTTCTTCCCTCGATCAGCCAAGGCCGGCGATGAACAACCAGGCGCCGATGCGGCGAGCGACGCTGGCAAACCCCGTCGCCAGCAGGCTCCCGACGAGGTCATTATCCGCGGTCCCAAGAAGGGTGCCGACGAAGCCCGCGATGAGATTTACTCGCTGCACAAGTACTTGGAGGAGCACTCACACACTGCCACCATTGGAGTGCAACAGAAGCAGGTTGGCTCCCTGATAGGCCAGGGAGGTGCTGCTCTGGATGAGCTCAGACAGCAGACTGGCGCTCGCATCGACGTTCCAGCTGACCGCGACACTCCCATTGTGGAGATTCTCATCAGGGGAACTGCGACCCAAGTGAAGAAGGCACAGCAAATCCTCGAAGAGAAGAGAGCGGCGTTTGATGACACGATCGTGCAAACAATCGACGTGGATAAGAAGCATCACAAGGCCCTGATTGGAGCAAGTGGTAAGTTGTCAATTCCAACGATGATGATCAACTGGAAGAAATTTTTGAATCTAATACGAATACTTTAGGTGCCAACCTCCGCGACATTGTTGTCGGAGCCGGCGGTTCAGATGATCGCCGCGCTCTTGCCCGAACCATCCAGTTCCCCAAGCAGGAGGCTGATGGCAACATCATCAAGGTGGAGGGCCGCACTCAGGTGGTCCACAACATCATCAAGCGGATTCAGGAGATTGTTGCCGAGCGTGATAACCAGGTGACTGAGGTTGTGGACGTGCCAATCGACCAGCACCGATCGCTCATCGGACGAGGAGGTGATGCCAAGCGCCAGCTTGAGTCGCAGTTTAGCGTCTCCATCGACATCCCCCGCCAGGGTGACGGCAAGACGGGCGTCAAGGTGACTGGCCGACCCGAGAATGTTGCCTCGGCCAAGGAGCACATCTCCGGCCTGATCAAGCAGCAGCAGGGCGAGACGCTCCAGATCCCCCGTAACGTACACCACGTCGTGTCCAACAACGGCCAGATCTTCCGTCAGCTTCGCAACAACTTCCAGGTGACGGTGGACCACGCCGGCCAGAGCATTCCGGCCAAGCCCACGCCATCTGCCAGGGCTGTTGAGGGTTCTCTGCCCCTGATTACGGATGATGCAGATGCAGCAACCGATGTTCACTCTTGGAAGGTCGTCAGCGCTGAGGCGGGCGAGGCGGGCGAGATCCCATGGATCCTTCGCGGAACTGCCGAAAACGTTGCCAAGGCCAAGGACGTGATTCTCAAGAACCTGGAGCAGGCCAAGGCCAATGACTCTACGGGATACCTGATCCTCCCCGATCCTCGAACCTACCGTTTCGTCATTGGACCCAACGGCAGCAAGGTCAAGTCGATCCGCAACCAGAGCAACTGCCAGATCCAGGTGCCGCGAGACCAGGCAAAGGACGAGGCCATTGAGATTCTGGGCACTCGCGAGGGCGTAGAGAAGGCCAAGGATCTCATCCTGGCCGCTGTTCGGGAGGGCCAGACTAAGTCAAGGGAATAAAAGGTGATGGCATGAATTTCTTAGCGTATAAAGCGGATAAACTGGGAACGCCATGAACTCATCAGTTGATATAGTTCAACGGGGGGTGGTGACATTTTTTTTTTTTTTTTTGGAAGCCATCAACTAGGGCGATGAGGGAAAATTGCAATGTTGATGGAATACTGAAGGGGAAATGTATGACGGTGATTGGCAAAAATATGCCACGCTGAATGTGTCTAAATTGAATCTCCATTTACAGGCAGCTGATAGCAAGATCTTTCCCCCCCTCTCCTAAAGCGTTGAAAATTACAATATACCTTGGATATACTGTGACACGATGGGAAGTTATCAGCTGAGCAGTTGGCTGTTGACTATGACGCTGATGTGAAGAATGGAAGACATCATAGACAGTGGTGTGTAGTGTACACATGTGAATGAGCGTGTAAATGAGCACCTTAGCTTCTGCTACCTCATACCTAGTAGGAAGGATTGTATCAATGATTGAAATGGCTGCGTTAGAACATTACCGCTGGCTCGCGGAGTTAACGCCGTCCAATTAATAATTGCTTTTTCTTTTACCCCGAACCACACGTTTTTCTTTTTTTGAATTCATCCGTCCCGCTACCACACCTGAACGATGGTGGGGTGAGACAGAAATAGGGGACAGCGGCTGGGAGGAGGAAAAAAAGCCACATGCAAGGGACGAATACGATCCATCCATCCATTGATACCCGTGGACCTTTTTTCAACGGCCCTAAAAAGCCAACATACGCAACTCCTAGCGCTCAGCCCCCCCAAAACTCCAGCGTGAACAGCTTCCCCCAAGACTTTAACATCGGGCCACTGCAACTTTCTTTCTTTCTTTCAGGCGAGGCAGCACGCTGGCGCTTCTGGACTGGAAAGCACACAACAAAGGTTGGGACGTCTAGATCTTTGATTGAAGCAGAACTGGGAACTTGAGATGGTGATGGAGGCATCGGCAGCTGGAGGAGCGGCAGTGGCGCCGTGGGAGCTGGTTGGGCCAGAGGAGCAGCTGTTTGTGCTGATTACGGGTGCCAACAGGTAGGTAACAAGTGCTTATTATTCCTGTTCCAATGCCTTTTTGCCCTCCATATCCTGCAATGGAGATGTTGTATTCTATAATCATCGTCATGGGCATTTGCTAACTTGTCTGCGCGACACGCAGCGGCATCGGTCTCGGCACGGGACAGCGCCTGATCGACGAGTTCCTGGCGACGCGCTCCCTCAAGGCGCACCTGATCCTCATCCCCACGACGCGATCGCCGTCCAAGTCCCTGGCGGCCATCCAGGCCCTCCGCGCACACGCCGAGCTGGCGGCGAAGACCTCGGCGGCGTTGCGGTCCAGGGCGGGCGAAGGGTATCGCTGGCAGGACGCGACTCGGCGCATCCACGTGCTGAGCCTGTCGCTGGACCTGTGCGACCTGCCTGGCGTGTATGCCTTTGCGGCGCGGCTGGTGGGCGGGACGGTGAGCAACCCGGAGGGCCTGGAGGGGGAGTATCTGCGGGACGTGAGGATCCCGCGGCTGGACACGGTGATTTTCAATGCGGCGTATGGGGGGTGGTCGGGGTGCAATTATCCTTTGGCTGTGTGGAACATGTTGTCGCAGGGCTTGGTGCAGGCCGTGACGTATCCGACGTTTAAGAATTCGCTGGCGACGTGTATACTGAACGAGCAGCAGAGCTACGGATACGTAAGTTTGCTGATGTCTTTTCTTTTGTCTTACAAACTCTTGCTAACGGTTGTTGATTATCGATGTATAGCCCGAGAAGCCTGTCCTCGGCGAAGTCTTTTGTGCCTGCGTCTTCGGCCACTACATCCTCGCACATCAGCTTCTACCGCTGCTCTCTCGCCGCTCTACCAGCGAATCTCGCGGCCGCATCGTCTGGTCCTCCAGCATCGAGGCCATTCGCGACGTCTATAACCCCGACGACATGCAGTGCTTCCTCAAGCCTGCTGCATACGAATCTGCCAAGCGTCTTACCGATATCATCGCCTTGACGTATAGCCTCCCCTCCGTCCGACCGTTTTCGGGACCTTTCTTGAGCATCGATGAGGAATCGGGTGGGGATGCTGCTGAGAAGCCCGTCCCGCCGAAGATGTACGTCACGCACCCTGGTGTCGTGGCCAGCACGCTGTTCCCCGTGCCGTGGTTCCTGTTCTGGGCGTACGAGCTTGCTCTCGTCATTGCGCGCTGGGTTGGATCGCCGTGGCATCCTGTCGATGGCTACAGGGGAGCTGCATCGGCGGCTTGGCTTACGCTGCAGGACCAGGCGGCGCTGGACGAGGTGCAGGCAGATCGCATCAAATGGGGGAGCAGTTGTAACAGGCATCTGGAATCAACAGTGAAGAAGACAGAGGTCGAAGGCTGGGGGTGGGAAGGCAAACCAGAGACGGACGAGACGATTGCCGCCGACACGGCCAAGGGGCTGCTGCACAAGTCGGTGGGAAGACGGCTGGGGACGAAGAACGTCACGAAGGAGGCGCTGATTGAGTTTGAGGTGGAGGGGGCCAGGGCATGGCAGGAGATGGAGAGCTTGAGGCGGCAGTGGTCGAAGATTATAAAGTTGGATAAAAACTAGACATGATTTTGATACCTTATTTTTTTTGTTGCTTGCTTTAAGCCGTTATTCGCTGGGGATTATTTCCTTTTCACGCTGGGATATATTACACACAGGGAGAAACCTGGGATTGGTGGGAACTGGAAAAGGAGGAGAGGAGGAGAAAGAAGAGGGTATAAATTTTCAGAACGTGTCTGGTATCAAAGATGCGAGCGTAATCAACTAATACTACTGCCACCCTAAACATTAAACCAGGAACTAATCCTTTGGTTCTTAGCCCTCACTCTGCTGGCCTTTGAAAGATTTGGAGATGTCGGAAGATGACATATATACCCTTCCCCCCTTTTTTTCCTTCGCAGTGGCCACTCATATACACATTCAGGATATCAAGACGAGAAAGACGAGGTTTGTTGGACGGAAAAGATTCGGTATGAGGTTGTAGTGTTCGTGATATGTTTTTTTGTTTTTGTTTTCTCTTTTTTGTAGGCGTGAAGGGTTCTTAGGAAGTACATGATGGGGTTATGCCATCTCATGATTCCCCCTGATTGGGGTGCAGTCTCCGTAAAGCCACTTTATCTTTGCGCCCAAACCAGCCCAAGACGAGAACCAGGGGTGCCGCAGCCACGGCGAGGACAGCCTGGAAGATGAGAAACTTCTTCATGTTCTTGGGAGGGTTGCCGTCGGCTCCGGCCACGAGCGGGTCGCTGACAATCACGAAAATGGCGCCGAAGAACTGGCCACCGGCCCAAGCGGCGGTGGACGTGACTTCCGGGCTGATGGGGTGGCTCAGATCGGCGAGAAACTCGACGGCGATGGGCACCAGGGCGAAGCACCCTGCGCCGATGATGGCGAGGATGACGTACGGGCCGGCGAGGCCGCGAGTCTCGGGCATCCAGACGAAGACGATGAAGCACACGGCCACGATTGGAATGATAATCTTGATCGAGAGCAGGAAGTGCTTGGTGCGGTCGAGGATGGGGGACGTGATGGCCGCGGTAACGAGGCCGACGACGATGAGGACTGCGCCGCCAATGCCTGCTTGGTCGTCGGTGAAGCCGTATGGGACGAGGATCTGGTTGAGGAGACTGGACACGGCGTTGAAGAGGCCGACGTAGACGGAAAAGGTGCCAAAGACGAGCCAGAGTTCGAGAGAGCGGATGGCTGTTCGGATGGCTGGGAAGAGAGGCATCTTGGGCGTTTCCGAGGAGGCTCCTACAGGGGTGGGTGGTTTGGCGGGGATGAAGAAGGCGGTAATTGAGCAGGCAGTGGACTAGAGGCTGTCAGTTCCAACTTCTTTTATCTTTATCATATGAGAATATTCAAGCAAGAGCTTACAATGATTGCGACGTAGAGCACCATCTGAGAAACGTCGCGAGACGAGTTCACCCACAGAGGGTTAATCAGCTGTCCAAGGGCTGCACCCAACGGATTTGCTAAACTGGCTAGAGCAGTCGCAGCCACACGCCCACGATGAGTGAACCAAAGATCGGAGTACTTGGCGGGTGTGGCAAGCACAAATGGCTGGGCGAAGCCGATCAAGATCTCGCCAACCATTGCGCAAGCGTAGATGCCACCCGACTTGTTGGTCGAGCCGGCGTAACGGATCCAGTTACCGACGATGAGCAGCACGGCAGCGGACATGAAGCCGTACTTGAACCCGCGGTTGACGATCCAGATGGACAGGGGGAAGATGGCTACAAAGGAGAGGAAGAAGGCGGTGCTGAGCCAGTTGATTGCCGAGGAGCTGACGTTGTAGTAGGCGGCAGAGTTGTCGACGACGGGAGCGTAGGTGAGCCACTGGAGACGGTGTTAGCTGCTGTGCTTGGAACTCGGACGAAATGAGCGTGAAGTTGTTCCATGTTTATTCGTAACTGCTCCACTTACCCCCCAGGACACCATAATGTTCATGAGCGTGAGCTGGATGAGGCCAAACCACCGCCGCTTATACGTGCGGTACTCGGTCGACGTGCCATTCTCGACATCAGGATTCCGCTCGTCGCTGCTGAGGGTATCGCGCTCCTGGAGGCTAAACTCCTGCGACGAGTCTTTCTTGGAGCGCCAGAAGCGCGGGGCATCCGTGCTGCCGGCCGAGTTGGACAGCTTGTGGAAGACGCCGCTGCGGGGGGTTTCGACGGTGTCGGCCATTGTGGGATCAGTGGTTGTGATGCCCTCGCCTAGTTCCTTTGCGGCGCTTGCCATTGTGCTTTTGTAAGATGTAAAACTTCCGGAGGCGACCTTTTTTCCTCCTTTATCTGAAACAAACGCCTTCAGAGGGCTGTCGATCTGGCGGACTGGCGCAAGTGCCAGGCAGCTAGTTTCACGCTTCAGATACTTTGAAGCAGTTGCCCGCCCACTGCCTGTGTTGGTACCCCGGGAGGAGAGTTGGACATCCACCGCCTCGGGTTATGCGTCTGTTATTGCCCTCATCAACTTGATTGATATTTTCAGTCCAGCCTTGTCCCTGTCTTTTCTCGTTGAGCCCCGAGCCTCGGATCCTGTTGGCGGTTTGGTTCGTATGCGGGGGCCTGCCAGCGATCACGCAGTTTACGCAATGCGAACTGCAAGCCTCTCTACCATGACATTGGCGATCGGCCTTGGGAAAAACAAAACCAAGCAGCACATGAGCCGACAAAAGGGCGCACGAGTTGAATGGACGGAGAGCTGCAGCCACCAGAGAAAGGCTATTTGAGGTGTGGTATGTAAATATGCGAGGACGGAGTGATGGGCACGAGGGAAATAAAGCTCTGGCTGGGCACTTGTTCGGACTGGACCAACATGGATGGAACCTTGAAGCCAAAGAGCTGCTCTTTACAGGCTGCTGCAGTCGCTAGGATTGAAATACGCGAATCACCTCGGAGGGCTGTTTAGGCGGTTTGGGTGGCTGCTGGAGGACATGCCGGGATTGGATTAGCGGCCAACGGCATGGCTTGCATAGCGCTGGGGAACTTTTTTTTGGTTTGGGGCTGGTGTCTTCCAAGGTCTAGTATGTTGTCTCAGTATCGACTCAACCAAACCAACATCTCTTCTTCGCCGTGATTCTCGCCGAGAGACGCCACAGGGTGCTAAGCAGACAGCCACGGGGAGATGGAGTACGAAGTTGCCAGCTACTGCTTCACGATCGGCTCGAGTCTATTTTGGCATTGGTCGAATTGCTCTTCATTTCACATGCCACCTCCGCTTGACGTCCTGCAAGAGTGTCCTGCGAGACAGCCGAACGAACCCTGCACGCGAGCAAGCGAATGTTGGGGAACCACGGGGTCGGAAAGGCTGGCGAGCAGCCGAATCCCGCGTCTGTCGACTGCTGTTGATTCTATTCTGTTGCAGCAATGGTTATGGTCCATTACTCGTGCTTGCAACGTTTGCAATCCTGATGCTTCAACACCCTACCAAGCGGTCAAAGCAAGACGTCGTGGAGCTCTCCTAGCCCGTGGTGTCCGTCAAAGATCTGTGACATCGTCAAGCTAACTGCGTGTGACATCCATAGACGGGCACGGACCGTCCAGCTCCAGCTCTGGACCTCGAGCCACCAATGCCGCTAGCTGCGACGATACGATGCGGAACCTCGGAACAGGGACATGGAACGGCTAATTTCCATCTTTCACAGTGATATCTAGCTGTCTGGCGCCGGATTCGCCAGTCCTCGTGCCAATCACAGTCGCTACAGCCCGTTTGCCAAGGAGATAATCTCCTGGCGGCTTCCAACCGTGTGCTGGTACTGTAGGATCCTGCCGCAGGAGACCTTCTACTCAGACCAGATGAAACTGCGTGTCCTTCTAGCCACCAAGCTGGAACATGTTGGTGCCGTATCTAGCGTCCTGGTGCGTGTGGAGAAGCGGCGGGGATGGCACCAAAGTCGGGTCAGGCGCCGGTGGGAGGGTTGCAGTTCAGTTTACAGCACCGAGATTCGCTGCGCTGCATGGCGTCCAACTGCATCGCAGATGAGGCGTGATTGATTGCTGGTGCTTATCATGGAGGCGGGGGGCCGAAGCGACCGCAACCCGACGTGCCACCGACTGGTCGAGCGAGATCGAATCATTGGCTGGCCGCTGATTACGAGGGATGGAATCTAAGATGTCCGGACGCAAGGGGCGGCAAAGGATTCGCCTGCAAACTGCGCCTCGAATGACGATTGCTACCATGGTCTTTACTCGGGGGAAAAACTGAGGATTTGTGTTCCCTGGGTTCCAGAGAGTTGCCAGTACGATCACGGAGATGCCATGTCCAACGACGAGGCAATTTTACCATTGAGCCTTCTTCTTTCCTCGTTTGAGACATGTGGTCTATTGCTACCATGACTGCAGGTCGCCTGCGGAATCGGAATCCCAAAGTAAAATTGAGGCTGCCATCGTCATGGCACAATATATGGCAGCAGCATGATATGTGGTTGATGATGATGCTGTCCCCCCTTGGTTCAACAAGCACTTTGAAACCCGATGCATCAAACTAATAGCCATCAGTCGTGAGCAGGATGTCTTTCAACTCCTCTTCCCTTGGAAACTGTCGCAAATGATGGCATTTACCCCGAACGGACTGATATTATGCGACAAGCAATCAAGCATAGAGTGATCAAACTGATAAGCCAGTTTGGTTCGAATAAGCCATCTGTCTCAGTCTTGTATAATTACGAAATTTCGGCTTGCAAAGAGGACGTGTCACACATATCGCGGAGATTGCCTTGTACTCATGGACTGGCAGTGCTTATCCCGTTCCATCGATTTCATGTATTACAACATGATGTTGGCGGGGCAAATTGACGGGCAGTCAGACATTTTCCTGTCTGTATGATTAGCCCAATATCCACCGATATCTTGAAATGCGGCTATCTTCCAAAGATCTCCAGTTGTACAGACTCTTTCGAAAGATAATTTTCATCCATCTTGTGAACTAGCTCATTCTACAAGTCCCCCAGCCATACGGAATTTTTGGTGGCAACGCACGCTCATCATATGAGGATCCAGACTTTGCCCTCCGTGTCTTGCCAACGTCAACTGAGACATGGAACAGGGAGCCATGTCTAATCTGGCGAACGATCCAGATAGTCGGACTATACTTGCCAGTGATAAAAAGATGAACTGAGACCCCCCCTTTTGCAGTCTGTGGACAAAGTTATTCTTTGCGTGATTTCCATCTCAGAGTTGATGTTCGATATACTACTTTTGCCCAATCTTTTCTGCAAGATATCTCCCATCACACAGCCCTTGGATCTATCAAGTTTCATACTGAGCGAAAATGGATCAGCCAGAGGACAAATCGCCTGATAAAGCTGAGCATGAAAATGCACTAGAACTAGCAACGACCGAAAGCACCGGCCAGACTATCGAGCTGATCCAGCTCAACCCTCAAGCCGTGCCTCGTGATATTGGACCTTTTCAGATCATAGCCCTCGGCTTCAACATCCCCAATAGCTGGGCGGGCGTCGCTACCGCGTTTTCGGCTGCTCTAACAGGCGGAGGTCCTGTTTCGCTGGTCTATGGCAACTTCGTCATCACGGCCATGTATTTGTCTGCGGCCGTCACGCTCGCTGAGCTTGCGAGTGTTTATCCGACAGCAGGCGGACAGTATCACTTCACGAGCATCATGGCGCCTAAGAGGTTCAACCGATCCATGTCCTACATCTGCGGCATGATAGCGACGGTTTCGTGGATCATTTGTTCCACAAGCGTGGCTAGTATCACGAGTTTGTGCATTGCTTCGATGGCCGAGTTTTACAGCGGATACAAAGCGAACGCCTGGCAGCTGTTCCTTATATCTCAGGGGCTCAACGTCTTTGCCCTAGGCTACAATTTGTTCGTGCTGAAACGGACTCGATGGATTCATGACGCGGCGTGTAAGTCATTTCTTGTTTGGCACTCAACAAGTGCATCATGGATTTGCTCATGATGTAGAAATAGTCTTCCTGACTCTGTCAACGTTTGTCACTATATCGATCGTTTGCCTTGCCCGAGCTGATAAGCAGTCGTCGACATGGGTGTGGACCAACTTTGAACCGTCGTCAGGGTGGCCTCCCGTGGTATCCTTCTTCACGGGACTCACTACTCATGCATACATGTTTGGAGGACTGGACTCTGCTCTCCATCTCGCAGAAGAGACGCTTGATGCTTCCAGGACGGTGCCAAAGGCGCTCATGTCTACAATTGGGATCGGCTTCTTTTCCGGCTTTGTCTTTTCTGTGGCCATGACATATTGTATCCCCAGCTTGGATGTTTTTGCCAATGACCCGTCAGTTCCCTACTGCCTTTGTCCTTCTCTACTTATAGTAAACGTACAAATTACTGACCAAGGACATGCGAAATTGACAGGGTACCGATATATAAACTCTGGCGCATAGCTAGCAGATCCGATACCGCCGCCACAGTCTTTCTCATTGTTGGCATCGTAATCTTCACATTCATCCTCGTCGCCACGCAGCAAACAACGTCTCGTCTGATTTGGGCCCTGGCCCGTGACCGCGGTTTTATCTGTTCCTCTCGGTTTGAGAAGTTATCTGACAAGCTTGGCAAGATCCCTGTGGCCGCCCTTATTCTCGACGCGGGTCTGATATTCGCGTGCGGATGCATTAGCCTGGGCTCCACGGCAGCGTTTAATGCGCTTGTCGGGGTGTTTTCCTTGATGCAGATGATTTCGTTTGCGATTCCGGCTGCGCTGCTTATATATCGCAGGAGAAGCCAAAAGGTGCTTCCTCGCAAGAGAGCATTTAAAGTGCCCGAGATACTGGGTTGGGCTTGTAACATTGGAACGGTTATTGCGGCGGCTATCGAAACCGTCTTCTTTACGTTTCCGAGCGTTTTGCCAGTGACTGGTAGTAATATGAGTAAGTTGGTAACTTATCAGATGGTTTGATTCGCATTTTGAAGAGCGAGATGCGCTGACATTTCGTTTTATAGACTACGCCGTGGTCGTTTTGGCGGTTATTGCAATTGTCATGGTTGGGAACTGGATCGCGTTTGCAAGGAAAAATTATCAAGGCCCAAGGATATGAGTTATCTTGTAAATAAACTAAGAATCCTTTATCAATGGATATCATAACTCGTCTCGGCGATACATGCCTTTATATAACAGCGAATTTGTAATCTATAGCGCATCTTTCTACTCCGTCTCTCAAGTCTAGTTACTCTGCTTCGTCTTCTTGGACGAACAACCACAGAGATTGAATCTCGCGACGCTAGGATCGTGGTCGCTGACCTGGTCATCGTTATTCTGCCAGGTATTTAAATGCAAATGTTCATACTTGGCGTCCCGGTGAAGTCCTTCGCTCACATACATGTGATCCAGCTCTTCGGTGTTCATGTCAAACAGGTATGTATATCTCTCCACGGGATCAATTCCGACAACTTCGTCAAGATCAGTGAGACCGGATATTGAGGAGAATGTGGTGAGAGGGTCGACTTGGGAGTACTCGTTGAAGTCACCAGCAACGAGGATATTGGCCTTAGGATCCTGGCTGAGAATCTCGGCGACAAATTCCTATAATCCTCATGTTAGTACTTCAGTACACTTCAAGTTAAAAAGAAAGATCCAGAACATACTGCGACGATATTGGTCTGTAAAGTCCGCTTCTCAACTCCTTGGTTCACAGGCGGACGAAGATCCCCTGATAGAGAAGTTGAGCCGCCCTTGCTGACCAGATGGACGTTGATGGTGAAAAAGATCTTTTTGGTGCCCTTGACGGTCTTCCACATGGCTGCTAGTGGCTTGCGGCTGCTATCCCAGGCGGTGTTGAGAGGATCGATTCGACCAGGATTGAATTTGAGCTCCGGGCCGTCGACAACCTCATTGACGTCGAGACTTCCGCCGAGATTGGGCTTGTACAGCTGAAGGACATCAGAGCGATAGAAATAAGCCTGACGAATGTTGCCACCAGGTTCTCCGCCGTCTTTGTTATTGATGGGGCTAATCTCTGCGAAATCGTAGACGATGCCTGAAGCCTCTTCAATCTTGGATGCAAGCGTGGAGAGGGTCACGTTGGCGTCAACAATGCCGTCATTCTTGTTTCCAGAATTGTCCTGTACTTCTTGGAGGAAGATGAGATCAGGAGTACGCAGTTTGTTCACGATGTGGTCAACGACAAGCGGCAAGTGAGGGGAGTCGGGCATCAAGTTTTCGGTGTTATAGTCGCCAACGGTAATACCGAGACAATCACCAGTGCTGTTGAAAGAGACAGCGGGAAAGTCGGTAGTGGCATTCTTAAGGGGAGAAAGGTGAGTAAGAGGAAGCAGACGGTAGGATCCAAAATCATTGTAGACGACACCGGTAATGTCGCCGAGGTAGTCGCCCATTCGGGTGTCGAGCGGGTTCTTGGATCCGTCGAGGGGAGTGCCAATGGTGATGACTTCGGGATTAGCATCGCCCTCCAGCATAGTCAGACCGCCGTGAGCATTGAGACCCGTGACGGGCCAGTTACCCCGGATGTAGACGTCGCCAAAGTTATTCGGGCGACTGATTTGGTAGGCATCTTTGATGGTGACGTACTCGCCTATAAGACTCTCCCAGAAATCAAGGCCGTATAAGTCAGGCTGGAGCTGGGGATTCGCGCTCGAGATGTTGGCCACAGCATTGGGAACACCGAAGATTCCTCCTTGATCTAGGCTAGAGAAGTCCTTGGTTGGAGGAAATGAAGTGTCGACGCCGATGACGAGTGGCTTTACTTGGTTTCCGGATGAGACGACTTTGATGTTTGTAGGCTTATTAATTTCAGTCAGGTAGATGTAATTGGCGTTTGATCTAAGTTGTTCAGTCTATTAGTGTCGCGAACGAAGCGGTGAAATACGATTAAACGCACCGATACTCTACAACTAGACCGTCTAGAGTGATGATGTCGCCGACTTTCACCGTGTTTGCTGCAGCGCTATTGAAGACGAAGAGGCCTTCAGAAGTGACGGGATTCTCATCAGGCTCCGTCGATCGAAGAAAGATGCCATTGCTGTTAGTTGCCGTCACAAGACCCTTGATGTCGGTGACAGTCTTGTCTTTGAACGGCGAAATGTAGCGGTCGCCATTGATCTCGGCAATTGAAATGGCAGCAGCCGAGCCCAAGACGGCTGCGAGAGCGACAAACGACTTGACTGCCATTATGCTGTCGAGTGATGCTTCCGTTGCCTCAGCGGTGAGAATCAATCGAGGTGGCCGCAGACGCCTTTTTGTTCTTACATCGCCAAGATGTTTATTCGCATTACGCGCGTTTCTATGTGTCTAACAAAGTACTATTCAATACATTCCACGGCGGACTAGACCTCTCAGGCCTGGAACATGGCCTTCTTGGCGGCTTTGCGCAGCGTCTATCGACCTGCCCGTTCAGAACATCGATAACACCAGATCCATTCATTTACATCATGTTTTGCCCGAATATCGGATCGGCCACCGACGCTCGGGATCAAGCTCCGGGAGCCATGCCCGATTCTGCAGGTACCAAGAAAAAGAGCACGACTGACAGGACATGGATTTGGGGCGATGAAGCGATAGACCGAGGCAGTGAGCTTCGGAGCTGAGACTGTGTTAGCAGGGACTCGATTGGCTTGGCATTGAGGTTTTCAGGTGGCGGCTTACCGGGACTTTTGATGGCCTTTTGCTTGACCGACTGATAGAATGGGGAAGACGGCTGAGACGGTGGGGATTATTGGAGTCGACAAGATAAGCTTAACGGTGATGCTTGAGCTAAAACTATTTTGTTGGCTAATTGAGTGATGGAGAGGGAAACGAGGGCTCTTTATCGCTTATTGTCACCAATTGAGAATGACTCTGGGGCTTCTGGCTGTCCGCTATATGCCTGCTCTCGTCTTCATCGGGCCTCATTTTATAGTCTGACGTCCAAATGCAATTCAATGCTTCTTGAAATAAAGATAGATACACCAGAAGCTCCATAGGTAGTAACAACAGCTCATCCTCTTCTTTCCAGGGTAGTGGTAAGTCTTTGGGTCTCTTCTCGAGTTATTAAATACCAAGGCGAGGAAGATGACGCTCCAGATTGTTCGGTCCAATGCTATTATAGGGGCCTGCAAACGAGATCCTAATGGCACTTTCAATCAAACTCCGGTATTAGCAAATTCTCACAGACGATTATACCGGCACCTTCGGCAACCCAGAACGCGACAATCACGGCATTCGTAGACGCAGTCCGACAGCCGGGCCTGACACTGATCGCATCGAACGGGGCCGCGGCGAGATCTCCAGCTCCGATGCGCGCACTGATGGTTTTGAACCAAGTTGTTTCTTGCTTGTTCCACAAGAACAACCCGCTGCTCTCTCTCCAGTTGACGTCCATCCGCATCCCGATCAACGACAACATTCGCTCGACCGACCAGCCGATTTTCATCCCACTGATCACATCTACACGTTTTCCACTTCATTCCACATACGTAGCAAAACTGAGCGCCGCAGCGGCATGCTATCGAGTTGTTAGTCGGATGTGATTATGAGGGAAGAGATGTCGCGATATACATACTTATATGGTTGCATCCCGTGCTCAGGTCAACTAGCGTACGGCATGAGTAACACCTCTGCCAGCCATTCTCCGACGCAATACGGAGAACCTCCAATGTTGCCGCATCTTCAGGACAGTGATCCTTATGAGATTTGCCCTTGCAAATAGTGCAAGTCTTCTTTCGGCATTTTATACATACTGCTTTGTCTCCCTGAATAGACTGTTGAGGAATAAAGGCCGAACAAGAGGGCCGATAGCAGTACGTCCTATTTGGCGTACTGTACTCCAACTCCTTTGCTCGATACTCTCGAACCAGCTCTGCCGGAAGGAAGATCTCATTACTTCCAAGAGGAATTGATTGGCCACAGCATCGAGGAGGAAAGAGAGACTCATCGCTCATAGCCGCTTTGAAGAGCCTTGCTACGCATGAGCGACAGTATTCGTGTGAGCATGGACATTGAACCGTCTCAAAGAATGAAACGTCTGCCATACAGGCGACACATCGTCCATTCATAGTGGCTGAGGATGATTGGCCTGCCCACGTCGTCTGCCTGGACGAAGGCTCGCCGACAACCGAAGACCGGCCATCGTCAACGCCATTGTATAGGGCGGCAAGCTTCTGAAGCATTCCATCTTCGATAACTGTGTCTGGTGTGGCTATTACCGGTACTACCGCTGACAGTTGCCCATGAATCGCATATTCTCGGTCACGTACAGCTTGCTGCTCTTCTTCAAGATGATTCCTGATGAAGTCTCCATCGGTCAAGGCGGCATGAGCCATGCTACGGCTCATGGCGTGGTCGGAATATGTCGTACCCAGAGACTCGAGCTCGGAACAATACAGTTGTAATGCGAGCTCAGCATCAGGCCGTTCCACTTGACGACGCTGAGCATCCTGCAGCTGAAGCTCAATGATCAAATTCAGAGTTTCTTGGTCAATCTCGTTAGACATAGCTGTAGTTAATTCTAGGCTTGCCGTTTGTTTATCAGTCGTTTCTTGGGAGAGTCATGGGATGAGGAGAAGAAGCGGGGGTGAACCTCTTGATACTACATGCAGCATATATATTGACTGATACGAGTTGGTGTGACTCGAATTCGCCATGCAGGCGAGACACCGTCATTCATTGTGGAAGAAATCTGTTGGACGAATTGATCGTGGAACAAGTGAACGTTTTCACCAATCATCCATGGTTAATATATACCCATGTCGGTGATTAACGCCTTCTTCTGAACTGGTTGTGTTCGTTATTACTCCACGAGACTAGGATTAAAAGATGTAAGCTATTTCTCGTGAAACTGATGGGGATTACGAGATTGGCATTGTGCTTAGGCATACAATGGAAGAAATATAATGTCTCGCATCTGGGGGTAGCCGTATCTTAAAACCGCCTGTCTTCTATTACACGTACGCTGCTCCGCCTGTTGGCGGCAAAGCCGCTCACCAGCGGTTGTTTGACGGATGCTCATGAGGCAACCCGCTCTGTCTGCAATACTTAAATGAAGGATAGTGACACTTGCAAAGAGTTGAGCAAAGCTATATACACCTAAACATTTGCTTTACTCTTCACTGCAATCATGTCGAACGGCCAAATTCTTCTTAAGCGAAACTCCATATTCAATGGCAAGGACAAAGACTTTTACGCAAGCTGGGAGAATGAGCATGGTCAGCAAGCCTTGCCGTGGGCATTAGCTACGGGTGTTACATATTACGCCCAGGTAAATTCCAAGATATGCCATGCTCTACTATGAGCAATGGTTCTCCTGTGATTCTGTTTCAGTTTGTGGTAAGAGTTACGAGGTGACTCTTTACGGAGATTGGAGCTGACAATGTTTCTAAAGATACACTACATTCAGTCTTATGATCCTAACCTTTCTACTGACGAATTGGATGGGGCCATTGAATACAACATTGACCCAAGTGCATCAACTGTGGCCGATAGCCCGTCACGCGAGGCTGCGAGTGCTGCTTATTATAAAGAACAAATCGTGGTGGATGAACGGCGACTCTTCAACAATGACGCCTCCTCTCATTCCAAGCACGTTCCAGAGGTAACTGTTAATGGAACGAAGATAGTTATGATTGAGAATGGTAGGGTAATGCGACCGATTGATGAGCGATGGGTAAAGCTTTGGCAGGAATATCTGATAGATATGCGTCAGCTCAGTGACGAGTATAGAAACACCAGAGACAAGAATGAGAGCTTAAGCTTTTGAACTTGACGTTGTATAAACGCTTCAATTGACAGCTAAGGCTAATATGTATAAGAGGGAGAGAGCTTCTCTAGTCCAACTATGACAAGGTATGAGGAACCTGCTTCCTCAGCCACTTGCTAATGTATTGTTGTATCTCTCTGTTATTCTTCTCGATTGCCATCATATGTCCATTGCCACGTATTTTCTGGTCCGCCAGATAGACATGTTCTACAGGAACCCCTGCGTCACGGAGAAACTCAGTCGTCAGATGGTCGTATCCTGCATGATACGATGCTTCAGCGGTCACCAATACAACAGGAATATGACCAAGATTCTCGAGACGTCGTATAGGATACTCTTGCCGAGGACCCTTCATCAGACCCGCGTATATTCCTATCTCCTCTATCATGTCTTCGCCTCGTGTCGGCAACATTCCGTACGGCAACTTATCGGCATCTTCTTGTAATGGTGGATCATAGCGTAGCGGTGTACTCGTAATGCCAAAGGGATGTATCAACTTGCCGACAATCTCAGGTCGGGAGTTGAACGGCGGACAATCTGGATACTGGAACGGTGGGCCATGAGGTTCCAATGCCACGATGCCACAGACCAACTCTGGACAGACATCGGCAGCGTGCCATCCGAGTGGCCCTGACTGAGAGTGAGTGATGAGAAATGCCGGGCCGATCCCGTTTAGCAGTGCCTTGATTGCCGGCCTGAAAAGGGACTCGACCTTTGCGTAGCTGCCGATATGTCCGACTTGGCTGGCGTAAAAGGCGTTGAATACGGGATCCCCTCGCTTCCCGGAGCCGGGCCACTGCGTATGGAGATGTGCCCATGGCGAGTTTTCAGGTTGAGGCGCAGTAAAGGCGGCCTCCAGCTCCTCGACGGTGTAATGAGTAAGATCTCCAATGTCCGCTGCATGATAACGAGATCGTCCTACTCCTGGCTGATCAACCACGTAACACTCCCAGTTGTCTGCGGCCTGGAGCATGGCTAGGCCAGGCCGATTATCCGGTGTTGCCTCCCAATGTGTCCCCGTTTGGGCTGCACCATGTATGAAGACAATGGCAGGTTGTCCAGGAACTTTCTTCCCGTAGCGTCGTACGCACATGGATCCGGTCATATGCGTTCCTCGGTCATCTTGAATGTATTCACCGCCAACGTAAAATACAGTCGCTTCTGGCTGTTCTTGACCATTACTTGACGGCATCGTATAGTTGTGATCAGTTGTGATCTGAGAGATTTCGATGGTGAAGTGAATCAATTTAAATGCAGCTAATGAAACTGCATATAAGCATCCTTCAAGGAAGCGGCCGTCGACGGATATTTAAAACTGCCCGATATGGTTCCGTCAACTCGTCTGCATAATGTTGATAGATACTGTCTTGAATTGTCGTGTTCTCATTATATAATACATAGCGGAGAAGCTGAGATGAAGGCTGTTCACCTTGAACCAGGGCTTATTACCAAAATAGTCAAAGTTCCCCGTAGCGGCGGACTTTATATTCCCAAGAATTTGACGATGAACTACGGGTCACCTTGGCATCGGCATCGAGAACCGGCCGTAAGCCATGTAGAGTATTTTCCCCGACACTTGCATATCAACTACATATCTAGCACAATTTCGACTCTCCATTATGGATTTGTATAGTACAACTAATGCATACTTTGATCTCATGATATTTGGTTCAACACGGAATGAAATATTTGTTTAGTGTAGTTTATGAGTAGGCTATGGGGAAATTCAGGCGATCTGCCTGCTATGGTAGGAAATGGAGACACAAAATACACAATTGAATAAAAATGACGACTTATAATATGCCGGGTCTTGCTAATTCCGTACCAAGTATACTCGTTACTTCTTATCTACCAATTTAAAGGCCACAGCTCTATCAACCGCGTTGAACGTTAAGTTCAATTTGCATACAGCATAGGTCGACACTAGAAGCAGCGCCAGAGGGTTTTCCTTACAAAATGTATCGGAAGTCAGGGTGATAGTCATAAACCTCTTCAAGTGACTGGTGGCTCATTGGGTGAACGGTACCAGCTGCTTGGTGACGAGCGGCCTCTTCTTCCTTCTTGCCATTCAGATGGCGCATGTTGAACCACATAACCAAGGCAGCAATGAATCCCAAGGCCTGAAAGGCCAAACAAATGGAATGACCCTTCAGATACCGTGGAGGGTCAGTGTAGATGTGAGAAGCCATAATGGCAAAACACTGACCAACAACTTCCGCGATTCCCCATGTCATTGCACGCTTCGTGAATCCACCCACGTTTATGGCTGTCCAGGCTCCGAGAAGAGTAACACACGGGAAGACACCCATGGTGATAAGGCAAGTCCCAAAGATCTTGACTTTGACGTTGTCTACCACCATGAGAATGATATACCCAGCAATCGAAAGAGCAAAGCAGAACATTAAAAGTGGCCCCTTGATGCCCGTGCGATCGGATGTAAAATTGACAATGAGAAGAGTGACGAATGCACACGCATACGGAATAATAGAAAAGAGCTGGGTTCGGGCTTTTCCAATTCAAAGCCGTTAGACTGAGACTACACAGAGAAAGTTGGGAGTTACTCACTGGGAGAAAAGCCGAACTGCTGGACAAAACTTGGTAGAAAAGCACTGATGGAGGCGAGTCCAAGAGCTATACCAGCATTCATAAGTGAGCAGCAGTAAACCTTGGGGTCCTTGAATGCAGCTAGCATCTGACGCTTATCGAAGCCTGCACCGGCTTTGTTATAGGCTGTATCATTTCGTTAGCAATCATCCTTGAAAAGTAATACGAAAAAAAAACATACTCTTAAGACGCTTAATGGCCACTTCAAGCTCTTCTTTGGAAAATACCCAGTGCTTCAGGTCCTTGATCTGATCGGGAGGAGGCGGCATCAACAGCCAGGCACTGATTCCAACAAAGATGCCGGCACATCCTTGAATGATGAACAACCATTGCCATGCAGCATGGCCCAGGGCACCATCCAAGTTCTTCTGAATGGCAAAGGCCATGAGGCCACTAAAACCACCAGCAATAGTTGCCGCAGAATAGAAAACAGCTGGGACTCGGATCAGTATGGGTAGGTAACAGATGATATTTGATGTTCGATGAAGGGAAGCATACCACCTCGAGTGGCCAGCTCGTCACGTTTGTACCACAAGCTCGTATATAGCGTCAAAGCTTGAAGAAAGGTAGATGCAAAGCCAAACAGAATCCGAAGGGCAAGGACAGTAGCATCGTTCTTTGCTGCAGCCATGCAGCATGATAGGGTTGCGAAAATAATGACACACCCGCCAATCTGTCGATGAGCTTTGAAGAAACGGATTGACAAGTTCGCTGGAATAATGCATATGACATAGCCCACGTCTTGACGAGGCTGTCAGTATAGAGTTTCTTGTGATGCCATCGATGTCGGCTTACAGTATAAAGATACGGCGTTATAAAATTGATCGTTGCTGATGTTGAGATCTTTTTGAAGTCCCATCACACGGGCGTTTCCGATATTTCCTCGATCCTGTATGAATAAACTTAGAATTCGTTTCTTTCCTTAATAGTAGAAGGAAGCATCAGTAACACTCACCCATTGATTGACGAGAAAGACAAGAGATGTCATTCCCACAATCAGGATATCAGCTTTGAGGACCAACCGTTTCTCTAGCCTCTTCTCTTCAGCGGTAAGTTCTGGCTCCGTAGCCAAGAACTCCTTCTCTTGGTACTCGATCATGTCCACACCGTTCACCGGTTCTACCTTTTCGGTATTCATGATGTCAAGAATTACCAGCAGTAGAGATGAATGCAGAAATAAAATGCTTCAGTGGCAAGAGGGTAGCAAAAAGAGATGAATCCGGGGTAAGATATAGTAAATGTAACAATAGAGTGTCGACTCCAATACGGTGCTCTTATAAAAGCATCCCGTGGTTTGCAGCTGGGGTAGTCTGGGGAATTTTCTAAACTAGCCTCGAAGATTTGGATCTAGCGGATATCTTGGCGATGCGACTCCATCGAATATCCATCCGTTCTTTTTCTAGAGCCCAGAGGTACGGATACGCCGTAAAGGGATGTTCTCAACCAGAGGATGCACAACTCCGCAGAAATGGGAAGCTTGGCAGCGATGTCACCAGTTGGTGCGGGTTGTTAGCGTCTCTCAGCTGGAGAACATTATGCTCAGTTGCATATGGACTGGGCTGATTCTATGCACAGCTGTGCAGAATTCGTAGGCTCTGGGGCTGATGCTCGGATCGTTGTTAAGGGGAAAGTAAAGGATACATGGCCTCCTAAACTCCGCAGAGTTTCTACTCACGTATTCTGTCGTTTGATAGGCGTCTTACCAAGAGCGGAAATTATCGCGACATCCGCAGTAGCGGACCGCGACCCGTACATATTGCCCAAAATGGCAATCGGCCTCTTTGAACGGTTCAACCGGATGTGTATTCCAACCGCATCTCAAACATTGTGTCTTTCAACTTCATGTTTCTCAAAAAGGAAAGTTTCCCGATGAACTTCATGATGCATATAATTCGTTGTGTCTTTATAACATTCCGATTCATCATTGTTTGTATTAGTTTAGTTCGCCGGGTATTCCTAATAATGGATCTATTGACTGCTAAAATACGAACTCGGTCTTGCCACCCCAAGCCTTTACGAGCTATCGCAGCAAATTGCAAACCAAGACGTAAGTTTGTTTGTCATACGAATACTGATAGAATGTCATTGCGGAATGCAAGTTCACTAATATGATCGGTACGATTACTCTTTGGAGAATAGATGCGGCGATGATTACATCTCAATCGAGTGCAACTCGTCTCGGAGACTCTAAAGAGGCGGCCATATGCGTCGGTAAACAGGCAGGAGGAAGAAGTGACTTTGATTCTTTTCAACGAACTAACATATTTCTAAGATGCAGTATTGCATTGGGCTAGTATGGAAGGTAAGCAGCTACAGCCTTTTGCACATCAAGTGCAACTTGATAACCCAGAATTATTCCTCTGCTATATGCCTGGATGGATGCTTCTCTCACCCTATTCACGTATTCCCCATGCGTCTGATACAAGTTTTTCAATTTTGCTTCATCATATGGGATAGTGGCTCCATTCAAACCCGTACCAACAAGGCCGACATACTTCGCAATTGGTACAGTAATCTCCGGGAGCCGGACTCCTCCAATGACACTACCATCAGAAGCGTGATTCAATATCGGCGTGGTACCGTTGAGGTATCCTTCAATAAATGATATCGATCAGGGCGTGTGATGATGCTTAATCCAGGCTGGAAGCAAGCGGAATGCGGCATCCACAACTGGAAGCCAATTTACTTGACTCCAATTTTGAGATAGCTGCTCCGGAGGTTCAACACCATCACGATTAAGCGTGAACAGGAGAGTTTCGTATGAGGATACGTTGACATGTGAAGCTCCAGCTACCTCCCAATAGCGAAACTTTGAAGTATCTGGCTGGCGTGTCCCAAATAAGATGGTGTAAGAAGCTTCTAATTCGCTGTTGATCATAAAGACTGGAATTTGCAAGTCTGTTCGTATCATTGCTGAAACTGTGGGAGCCTGTTCTCGAGTCGATGTATGATCAGTAGAAAATGTAGCTGCCTGGCTGGCAGATAGTAATGGCATCGTGGCGTCGAATACGTTGGTAAGAGGTTGTATACCATTTGGTGTATGCGAGGACGCGTGAACCAGATTGTGAACCACCAACTGCGACGACAATATCAGGAGATAAACCGCCCAGTATCTTTGCTTGGCCTTGGGGTGACTTGACAAGTCTAGCAACTTGGGTATATATATCATAGCTGGCAGTATCATTGGGAATTGTTAAAGATCCATAGCGATCTAAGTCCCATTGATAAAGGCCTTGGGGATTCGGGATATCGAGCCCAGATATCCCAACATGTTGTGCGGATACAAGGACATAGACAGATCTATTTTCGTAGAGACCAGGAGCATCTCCACCGAAAGTGACTTCATAGCCAAAAGATACGTTAATCCATTCTAACAGGGCAACGCCGCTGAATCGGGAACGATGCTTTGGTTTGCGGACAAGAATTCGGGTCTTGTAATAGATACTCTTAGTAGGCTTCAAATTCCATTTGCCGTCTAAGCTGAGATCGCCAACGGGTTCATACTCTGTCGCATTCCCAGTCAAGAAGAATTCTTCTTCGATGTAGCCAATTTCGCCAATGTTTCCATAATAGCTTGCGAATGGGTATCCTCGTTGGCCACCACGAATAGGACCCTCAACTTTGGGTAGCTTGCAGGTGTTGTTTCCGTCATTGATGGTGGCAAGAGCCAGAGGAAAAATCCAAAACAAAAGTAGAAGTGGTCTCATAGTTAAATTAGTAACGAAATTTTGCTGATGTAACGAGAATATTTGATGCTCGTAGATTAGGTGGCTACGGTTCACATCGTTATATAACTTTTCATTTGTTTCTCCTCTTAATTTTCATCAGTATTGACTGTACCTCATTGCTAGATTATAAAATGAACTTCCCAATAGTGTAATATTCACGAATTAGTTCCTCCGTTACTGTTGTGAAGAGTTCCTAAGCTTCTTCTTCTTTGTCCATCATTCTGAGCAGGCAAGGGCGCTAGTATTCAATGGTTTGGCATAGCCCATGTTGCTACTGGAAATGCCTATATTACCCCTCATTTTGTAATTACATGTAAGTATAAATTTACAGTTCTCATCCTCGGGAACACATCTATCCGTATAGATATTGCCTGTTGAGAATTGCTACACCCCAAGGTTGTAATATCCTTTCTAGCAAAAGAAGAGAAATGTGAAACATCCTTTTGACTTACATGACTAAGTAAAATGCTCCGATGGAGTAAAATTTCACGCAGGGTATGAAAGCACCCGCGGTAGCTTGGTCTGCCGGGTAGTTTAGTTTGCACGACAGGTTTGAAATGGGTCAGACTGCGTTATTCAACGTAGCATTTACGGGACTTTTTCACTGACATTATTGATCGCAGTCAGTGGGTTTGTTGGGTGAATCTAGCAACTGCAGCCTCAGAGGGTACGCTTCTCACCTTTATTAGAGAGTTCTAGTAGTATGATTACGGATGGATTTGAGTAATATGAGCCCGAATCAGTCTTAGTGAATACTGAAGATATATAATATCTTGTTGTATGATGTTTCCTCTTCTATTTATAATTTGGGCCATCTCGAATGTGATCTTAATCTGTACAGTACAGGAGATTGGTGAGTGATTGTAATACAGTAGTGACTCTACACCAAATATGCCAACCACAGGAAATTACGGGCGCATGTCTTTGAAGTTATGTACGGAATTGTATGGGAATCATATCGGTAGATGATTCAGCCTTAGATTTGACTAGATGCGGGGGAACGTTAACAGTTCCCCCGCATCTAGTCAAATCTAAGGCCCGACGTTGCATCTGATATTTTCATGTGTAATGGCTTATTAGTTCTAATAGGCGAATACAGTGAAGAAGCGGTGCCGGAGATCTGCCCTCTAATGGGGATTAGTTTCCAGCTGGCTGACAAATATCTTTCCCCTCGGTCTCGATAAAAGCCGTGTTGATGGATAGCGACTGACAATCAAATGCACGATATTATTTCCCTTTACTGTTGGCAATTCGAATGATACGTGATTCACAATGTCAGAGGAATTGGTTTTGTTTGATCTCCCCAGTAAGAAGGAAGCCGGCAATAGGGGTTGGTCTGGCAATACTTGGAAAAGTAAGTCAGACCACATCAGTCAGGATGAGGTTCTCGACATGAACAATTGGACGAAACATTACATTATACTATCCAGTTACTGACAGTGTTTTCTTTTCTGTAGCTCGCATCGTTCTCAACTATAAAAACATTCCCTATAAAACCCAGTGGATAGAGTATCCAGACATTGCACCAACTTTTGCCTCATATGGCATTCCTCCAAACCCCGCTTCATCACCAGACGTTACTTACACCGTCCCCGTGGTGAAATTTCCCAATGGCGACTACCTAATGCAGTCATATGCTATCGCGCAAAAGTTGGAAGAGTTGTTCCCCGAGCCCTCGTTGCATCTCGAGAGCGACTCCTACAACAAAGTCGTGGCTGCTTGGTCCAAGATTGACCCTGCCCTAGCCCCGGAAACGAGACCCAGAGTGCCAAAAAATCTCCTCAACCCCGCAAGTGTCGAGTATTTCGAGCGTACGCGGAGCGCGCGACTTGGCATGACCTTGGAAGAATTTTCCAAATCTGATAAAGCAGGAGAGGCTGCCTGGGCGGCTGCTGAGCCTGGCTTGCAGGCACTGAAGGCGCTGTTGACGGAAAATAGCTCCGGGCCATATATTGACGGCAATTCTGTCAGCTATGGGGACTTGGCACTTGCTGGCAACTACGCATTTCTTGGGACGATTCATGAGGATCTGCTTAAGAGGCTCTTGAGTTATGACGAGAGCCTCCAGAGGCACTACGATGCGTGTAAGAAATGGTTGGAACGGAGCACTTTCTAGCACCTAGGCACGATGCGAAGTGAATCCATAATGTCTACGAGCCTATACAGGGTGATACATATTAAGATGCTATCTCTTATATGTATATATGTATGCATAGTTAGTCATAGTATCTACAATGGTGTTATCCCATTCTTGTTTTGTATTCATTGACGCACTTCCCGGTAAAATATCTCTGTAAATTAAGGTCGTACTGGAATTACTTCCATAATTCATACTGTGGTGTCCTTCCAAAAGTAGCACGGGAATCCTGCAGATGCAGTCAACCGTTCGCGTCTTGTTCGCGTTTTATAGAGGTGGTGGTGCAACGCGATGTCAGTACATGTACATGTATGTATTCAGGACGAACACGCATATCATTGGACGTTGAAAGCTGCATACAAGTACCTACCTATGTCACATTGGGCATACATTTATACCCAACGAATATCGAGAGCACAGTTGAATCCCATAACATGACATCTCCATGATATGCGAAATTCAAATTTCATCATTACTAGATTTATAAACATCTAAGTGAACGGTAAAGCAATGCCTCGGGGATCCATTTCTGCATTCTTCAAAGGCCTTCGATCGAAGAGTCATGGAAGAAAAGATCCAGCAGGGAGCTCTTCAAACGTGCCTGGCTATGGAGAGACGGAGAGGGGTCAATCTTTACAGCTGGATAGGCGCTCCATCATTCCACCGCTAGGTCGCTCTGCAAGTAGGGCATCCCAGCGACCTATGACTGGTAATAGAGTTCCGGTAATGGAGATTTTGCCTGCAGATACGCCAGACGACACGGCGAATGCCGCACAAGACGACAAACAGGAGGGAAGAAAGGATGCAACTTCGCCACATGAACTTTGGGATGAAGCATATGACGACCTGAAAGCAGAAGAGCCCAAGTTAATGCAAATGTACGAGGTCATCTTATCCAATAAGCTCACTGATCCCAATCTCGACCACAACCCAGCAGAGAACAAGACCAATGTGATTGCGGCCGCCGGGGATGAACGACGTGCCCAAATGTTGGCGATCATTCAAACTGGCCAAACCAATATCAAGACAGAGGTTCACATAAAGGAAAGTGTGGGACAAGTGATGGAAGTCGTGAACTCGGCGAAATCGATAATAAGTACAGCCATTCAAGCCGCACCACAGGCAGCTCTTCCGTGGTCTATTGTGTCTATGGCCCTTGACGTAAGCGTGTATATATTTCTGTCATTTTGGACATTAGACTAATTGAGGGACAAGATTCTCCAAAATCCCGTCGAAGCACAGAAAGATAACGTTGAAGGGATTGCATACACGACAAAAAGAATGAAGTGGTATTGGAGTTTGTCGAGTAGTCTATTTCCTGGAGATGCGTCTCTCAGAAATACTAACGACGTATCCAATACTCAAAAAGCCATACTTTCGCGATTTATAGGGCTCTACAAAGAGATCATTCTCTTTCAAGTCAAATCAATTTGCTCGTTTTATCGCAATCGTGGTCTTCAATTCTTCCGCGACATCGTCATGATTGACAACTGGAAGGAGAGTCTGAAAGAAATTCGAACTCTGGAATTAGAGTTCCAAAATGACTATGCGACACACATGACTCTGGAGGAAAAGAGTATGAGCCACCAAATTAAAGAGTGCCTTGAGAAACTTGTTGTATTACAAGTGAATCATTTGGAAAGACAAGACAGGGATTGTTTGAGAGATTTACGCATTACCAATCCTCGCGATGATAGGAAACGTCTTCTTGATACCAAAGGTGGTCTTTTGCCAGACTCCTACAACTGGGCAGTGGAAAGTGCGATGTTCCAACAATGGCACAGAGAGAAGCAAACAAATCTACTTTGGATTAAAGGCAACCCCGGCAAAGGAAAGACAATGATGATTTGCGGACTCATCGAAGAGTTGGAGCACATGGAACCTCACCAAGATCTCCTATCATACTTCTTTTGCCAAGGCACAGACCCAAACCTCAACAATGCCACGGCTGTCTTACGCGGCATTATTTATTTGCTGGCAGTTCAGAAGCCATCTCTTATTGAGCACGTGCAACAAGAATATAGGACTGTTGGCAGTAAAAGTCTTTTTGACGGAATCAACAATTGGATAACGCTATCAGGAATATTTGAGAAACTGCTACAAGATCCAGCACCAGAAAATGCTTGCCTGATAGTCGACGCACTAGATGAGTGCGAATCGGACCGCAAAAAACTCTTGGATCTCATCATTCGAAGCACTTTGGCCGCTCCACAAGTCAAATGGATTCTATCAAGTCGTCATTTTCTAGATATTGAGGCCAAACTACGTTCGTGTCAAACAAGCGCGGTGATTGACCTCGAAAGCAACGCTACTCATGTTTCGATGAGCGTTTATGCATACATTCGTTGCAGAACACGCCAATTGAACCTGGTTGACGATAATGAAATACTTCGAGAGCAATTGCAACGCACCATTCTCCAGAAGTCAAGTGGAACGTTTCTGTGGGCTGCACTCGTGTTCAAAGAGCTTGAAGAGCTCTGCACATACGACAATAATGCCGAAGTGTTGCAGCTTCTAGACGATATACCTGATGGATTAGTCGGCTTATACGAAAGAATGGTGAATCAGATTGGTCTGCTGGTACGCAGCGATCAAGATCGTTGTCGCAACATCTTAGCAACTATGGCGGCTGCATACCAACCACTCAGTTTAGAGACGCTACCGATCTTGGCTGGACTGAGCGGCCGACTGACTCGAACTGAGCCTCTGAAAACCTTGGTCCAAATGTGTGGGTCATTTTTGACTATAAGAGAAGATGTCGTTTATTTCGTTCATCAATCAGCAAAGGACTACCTGATCGGAGAAGGTCGCAGTCGCATTTTCCCCTCTGGGAGTGAAACAATCCACAGAGATATATTCAACCGCTCTCTTGAAGCTATGCTAAAACCTGGAAAATTGCGACCAAATATGTACTCTCTGCCATATCCTGGTGTCAAAACACATGAAATATCTGTACCACAGCCAGATCCTCTTGCTGGCATTCAGTATTGTTGCATGCACTGGCTTCAACATTCTTGCGATGGCATATTCAATGGTCATTCCAGTTCAAAAAACGATGTGCACAAAGACGTCGTCAAAATTTTCGACTTCTTCAAACTACATTTTCTTCACTGGATTGAAGCTTTGAGCCTATCACTGAATGTACAAGCAGGAGTCGTCACTTTGCAAAACCTACTTAGTCTATTGTCTACCACTTACATTCTCAACTCCCAAATCACTGAGGCCATTAATTTCTTTCACGACGCTCTTCGCTTCATACTATCCAACAAATTCATATTAGAAACGGCCCCTCTTCAGACGTATATTTCTGCCATTATTTTCGCGCCTGTCCAGAGTCATGTACGACTTCACTTCAAAGACACAATCTCATGGATTAAAACTTTACCCCAAGTCGAAAATGACTGGAGCCTCTGTCAATATACTTTATATCATGATACAATATCTGACTCGGCTTTTTCAAACGACACTTCTCAATTTATTACACTAACCCGTGATGGGAAAGTGGAAAGATGGGAGAGTATGACAGGAAAATTAATATCTGATATTCGTTCAGAGTCCGAGATGCCACCTTTGCCTAGGAGGTTTACTCACGTGTTGACGTTATCGGACGATGCCAAACTTCTTGCTATCTCAGAATCCCCAACAATCACAGTATGGGATCTAGAGTCCGGAAAACAGGTTCAAGAATTTAAAATCCAAGAGAGGGTCAGGTCCTGCACAGCGTTTTCAGCCGACTCTATGCTTCTGGCTGTTACAGCTAACGCGTTTTTCGAAATCTGGGACTTAGCTACGGGGAAAATGGTTCATAGGAATTCACACCAAAAGTACCTCTCACCGGTAGTATTATCACGAGATTTCAAGTTAGCGGCCAGGAAAACTACTCACAACATCTTAATATCGACTGTAGATACAGGAGAGCAGATTTACGAGCTCCCAAGCGACCGTTTCCCATCACAATTCTCCAATAACTCATCATATCTTGTCGCAGTAGAATCCTGGAGATCACTGCATGTTTGGCACCTCGCGTCGGGTGAAGAAATTATAAGATATAGAATCAAAGAGTCTAACCCTAGCTCCAGATCCATTGCTTTCTCAGATGACAGCAAATTCCTGGCTCTTGGAGAAAACAGTGGAAATATCAACGTTTGGAATCTCGAAGAGAAAGTCATGGTAAGATCGTATAGTGGCCATACAAACACCATTTCATCGATCGCATTTTCAAGAGACGCCAACTTTTTGGTGTCTGGATCTAAAGATAAAACTGTGAAAGTCTGGAAGACAAATTTTAACAGCATCAATCAGCAACCACAAAGTGAATTGGCCGAGGCTTACCAAAAGATCGACGCTGTGGCCCTATCAGCCCATGGAAATTTTACCGCAACAATTTCTAGAGAGGAGGTCAGACTTTGGAGCACACGCCAACTTCCACATATTGAAAGAACCTGGCAATGCGAATTTAATGCCGCTGAGCCGCACGAAATGGGAGATATGCTTGCAATATCCAAAGCCTCCAGGCTCCTTGCTATGGTGACTGGATTCTTTAGCTTCTCTCGTAATTCGCAACTCATCGGCATGAGAATCTGGGGCATTGATTCAGATTTGCCGGCCACCGAAACCTTCAGAGTAAGGCCCTATTGGGAAATTATTGCAGTGGCATTCTCACCGAATGCTGAATTCTTGGTTGCAGCATACCACCGCCACCATGGAGAAGAATGTAATGTCATTATTTGGAAAGTCGAGTCACGAGAAATCGTGTACCAAGGCCTTGTTTCTGCTACTGTTCCCGCTGAAACCCGCTTTTTTGTTGATGATGCGTGTTTATACGTCGTCACGGATATCGAATGCTATAGGTTGAAGGAGTCGAAGGGAAATCTTCCCGAGCATGACGATCAATATCTCATACCCACTGATAAGGTTGACATTGGTTACTCTATTAGATCACCAAAAGACTGGATCTTATGGAATGGGAAGGATGTGATATGGCTACCGTTAGAGTTTCGTCCATCAAGCACACGTGCATTTTCTGCGCAGCCTGGGGGAGTCGCGCTTGGAACTGTATTGGGAAGCCTTATTACAATGAGTTTCGAGGAGCCTCCGTTTGATGACGAGGATTGGACCCCCTGGAAGTCATCTGGATTTCTCTAATGTCCAACTGAAGGGGCATTGCCCAAAGTTCCAGATATATACATATTGGGGATAGCTCTTGACAGACTTCAGAGTCTCAAAGTCTCCCGAAAAGCTTTCAAAAAGCCGCTAAGATGAGTACTGAGTCAAGATTACTGGGCTATTCTTTAGATTTGACTCATTCCACTAGGCGGGCTACTCAGGGATTAATCTCGCCTCAAATGTGACAAGTGGTAATATGTTTGGCATTAGTGCGCTTCATCTGAATCAAACTCAATTATACTGTAGACGATGATAGTCAATTCTTCTTCATAGAAGTGATTCGAAGTCGGCCATAGAGACAGGATCCTATGTCATGTAGATAGCCCCTCAATCGGAGAGAATCACAACCGCTTTAGGCCATTTATACAAATGGCTCGGCTAAACTTTCCATTTCACTCTCACCACTGCCCCGTAGAAAAGAAACAGTTTTCTTCTCGTCAATGATGACGGATGAGAGGGTCCTCTAGCCTAGAGTACCGCGATGGCGGCTGGTCGATTTCACATGTCTCTACTCAAAACATAGTTTTATCGATCAATAGCGTCAGCATATCATGTTTGTGTATTCACAATCTTCCCGTAAAACGATTACTAGTAGCCAATGTGCATGAGTGTTTGACTTTTACGTATCTAATAAGTCTACTTGACAACGAATGAGGTTACCGAGCTCGTAAAGCCATCCAATGAAAGAGCGCATACGTACGCGATATGCCCCTGTAAGATTGCTAGAACCGTATTGCTTACTTTACGAGTGCCAATACAGGCAGTACCACTGCTTCAGGATTGGTACCGGTATCTATTAGATCCATCATGGCCAATCGAGACTAACCGGATGGCAGAAGCGAGTGTGATGTTGGTGCTCCATAGGAGAAAAGGAAACCTTGCTTCCATAGAAGAGGGCGCTCGGTGGGGGGTTACGAGGGGGTGACAGATGCATTAAACCCGCCTGTTTACCCCTGTTCAACAAGGCGATTTCACATGGCTGCCTAGCAGCATGCATGGCTACTATTCGCGATGCAACTTGAAGACTCCTCATTATTTTCTCAAGACAATAGAGCGCCTCCTGTAAGTTTCGTTACGTCTCACCGTTATGTCCGGGCTTCTCCGACTTCGTGCATTAGCACGTAGATCATTTTATTCACTCATGTCCTTTTGAGATCACAACAAGCAGGGACACCTTTGTGGAGTTACAATCTGGCGGGGGCTTCAACGGCGTCTTAACGAGAGACGAATAGATGCCGGTTTCTCTCAGGTCCCGGTTTCTCCCAAGTCCAACTTTCATATTATGCTGCGCCTCGTTAATTGGTAGTAGCCGTTTCAAATGAACAATATTTGTTCAAGTTAGATGAGACTTTCTTCGATTCTCTCCGACCCTCTTAGTATTCCTTAAAGATTGATGAAAATAAACACAAACACCTTGATGAATCACATGTCATACTATGGCGATGATAAGTAAAGATCCTTGTGGCCAGGAATATGCCCCAATTAAGTTTGCGTCGGCTAACGGCTGTTCAAACCCAAAGAAATCCTTGTCCATTTCCATGTGAGTTTGTGGAGCCTACCAAAGCAGTGGAAGAAGACCTTCCGCGGCAGCAGCCGCTTGCGACATAGCAAGGTTATTCGAGCCTCAAGTCAGTGGGGCGGCATTGCAGGCAAGTGCATGTATCTGCGTCAGATTACTCGCCGAATCATCTTGAGCAGCAGTTGGGGCTTGTAATGGACATTGAGCGGTGGGTTGGGCCAAACAAAGGGGCTCGTAAGATGATATCAGGCATTGAGGTGGCAAAGTCCTGAACACAATCTGATAACGAGAGTTCAAGACAACGATTACGTTCCCTACGTGGCGGCTTAGGATTCCGTAGTCCTCGATGTAAAATGGCCGATGATATCATATGAGCGATCTGACTATGCAGTGCATGGACTTCCTAAGACCCCGTCGGTGTCTCTATGGCCCTTGTTCACATTGAGTTCTATGCTCCATACAAGTGAACCGTACAGCACAAGTCGACAAGCGACCCCTTGTTAGAATCCCGAAGTAAATCCTAGTTGCATCTCAATTGAATCAATGCTGTAAACGATGTTTCTCACCTTCTTCATTTACTTTGTAAACAAAACACACCACGGAACAATATTCGGGTAGAAACTTGGAGAAATACTCGGGCAAAGTGAACAGGCGAAAGTGATTTTGGCCGCCTGCATTTACATCAGTATCCACATAAGCACGCACCAACATCCAGGATCGCCAAAGGTGCCAAAACCCTTGTCCAAAGTCTCCTGATTCGTGTATCCGCATGTGATCTGCCTTGTGTAGTGCCGGACAAGGGGGGGTTGGTACCGGCAGTTTTGGAAGCGACTGTTTCTGCTGAGACTATTCGCCCAAGTAGACATTAGGGTTTCTCCTTATGAAGTAAACGGTACAGATAGAAATGGCTTAGCATGACATTGTCTGAGCCCTTAGAGCCGGTGTGTCCTTTATTCCCTCATTAGCGTCGGAATTACACGCCATGCCCCGAAAGGCAGTACAGCATCAATCCTCCTCGAAGTCACCGCTACGTATGTAATACCGCTTCTGTTTGGCCGAATTCGTGCGAGTTGATGGAAACTCTACATTTCGGTACTCTTGATTGGATATTGACTCTTTGGGAATAGATGTGTCATGTGGAAATTAGGACAACTGAGAGCTCCTGTTTCCGCCAGTCGCTATGATTCGCCCAACTTCTCTCTGCCATGACTGTCTTCCATTCAACGGAGTTTCTCTTCCCCATGTAGCTTTTCCAAGTTACCAACAGGGTTAAAAACGCGCTCGCCTCGTTCGACCACCCCTTACTAGCGTAGAAAGAAGGTGACTTGACCTTACTCTTTCCTTCATCTTACCAACTTCAGTCCAAAATAGGACATTTGTGAAGTTGGCATCTCCGGAATGAATGATATAGTTACATCTATTCATAATTCGAGCATCACACTCTCAGAATGTATGCATGTTGTGGATTAAAAGAGAAGTTACCAACTATGCAACTAATAGAGATGAATCGAAAACTTCGACAGTTAACAAGTAAAGAGTGTTCTTTCATTGCTCTGATGTTTGAGCAAAATCACAAGGCAGTTTCAAAGCTTATTATATCCTAATTGGGCAATACTATAGGAGACTGCTTTGCTTTAGGGGGTTTCTCATAATTGGATTCCCTGTAAACGTATTCGATACAAAATATGTGCTGTTAGGCAGCAGAATTAATTGATACATATACAGCTGCTCTTCGCTAACGTAAGGTTATTAGTCACTTGAGTAAAAATAGCGTGACTGTCAGTTTCTGTAGAGGTTGAGGCTCGTCATAGAAATGCCGCCGAAATGTAAATTAGTTGAGTTAAAGCAGTTTGAGAATCAGATTCAGTTAATGTGACCTCCGTAAGAAAAGCTACGCAGCCGTGGACTAGTTTCGCCTGACTATCCTTGACCAGGTACACAGGATCAGTTTAGTGGATATGCAGGGAGGCCAAAGTCATGTTGGAAGGGCGCACTATTGCTTTGCCATCGTGTAACTGGTTTAGGATCCTTGTCCACATCAGGCTCAAATCTCCAGATAAAGGGAATGCCAAACTTTATAACTAGTTCGTATAACAGTCTTGGAAATCCAGACCCATCACATGCTTGAGACACGACACCTCCAGCACCTCCAGTGCGACAATCAAGCGCATCCTTCCTCCTCAAAACCCCTCAAAACCCGATTTTATTTTTCATCATGATTCAGAATTTACTAGTTGACGGTCGTGCTCGGGTCTTGGAAACGCTCCAAAGGGGTTACGCGCCCAGCCATTTCTCCCACAACCTCGAGCTGATCTTCGTCAAAGACAGCAGAAGCTCGGCTTCAGCATCAATGAAGACCAAGATTGCCAGCACTCGCGAAAGATCTGCTCGTATACGAACATTGGATCCACGCACACTCATTTGGTGGGCTACGGCATTTCCGATGAGGCATTGGTCAGGAGGGAGGAAGATTAGCAGCTCCACCTTCGATGGCTTGATCAGATATGCCCCCAGATGTGCTGCTCAGGCAGCATCGTTGCTTCCAGCGGTGGCTGCTGATTTGGATCGGTTAAGGCAAAAGCATGCCAAATGTACCATGCTTCAAAACTTCTTGGGTGGTAAGCAAAGCCATTTTAGACCGTTATCGACCGGAACGCTAACCCCTTCCAGAGTTCTCGGAGCAGCTTGATACACAATGGAAACCATTTCCTAGGGATGTAGAAGGTAAGCCGCAGTCTTGGGTTGAATACCGTGCTCATGTAAGGAAAGATGGCTAACTCCTATTCACAGCACTCTCAGAAGAAGGGCGTTATGTCAACTTCAGCGGAGCTCGATATGAGTCTCTCTCAAGACTTCCTGATCTTCTTCTCTGTGGTATGGAAAGCTCACGGAAGTTCCAAGAAGAAAAACAGAAGATTGCGCCGCTATCAACTGCGCTCAAGATCTTCGTACCCACAAATCCAAACCAAGACGACGCTTACTTATTACTCCCTGTCGGAGTTGGCCAAGTATGGTCTATTTTGCACGAACTTGGTGTGGTAGAGTAGACCAAAGTAATATTCTTTTTCTTTTTAGAATGACGATATGTATATAGTTTTGATAGACGAAGAGGGTTATTTGGGTTAATGGATCAACATAATCCTCTTTTGTCATGACTATGTCCAACACAATTAGATTTACCAGTTGCTTTAATGTTGGCTCCCATCAGATTATCAGGGGCTACAAATATTTAGACATATCTTACATACCGGGCTGATGCTCCCAAGTAACCAGCCTATTTGAACCTAAATCATGATCAGGTCATTCGACGACGTGGCAACTCAAAAAACAGGTTTTTACTATCTACCCATCCATACCTGGATGGAAATGGTCATCATGGTGTGGTATGGGCGGCACTGAGAAGCCTCCTCTAGCTCCAGAGAAGTGAGATGATTGTGTAATTTGAGACATCGTTAGAGAACTTTTGGTAGTCTCAAGGTCTCTTATGGTTGGCGGTTTGTTATGATTAGGCAATAATGGCATTCATGAGTAGAGAATCAACAAGTACGCCACCTTAGGCTACTGTTCGCCCTAGTCAATAGAATGCCAGTGTACCACTCGACTGCTGATGCAACTATCGCTTACTGCAACCTCCAAGGAAGCAGTGCCAAATAAAGATCCGTCGTAAAGACTTGTGGTAGAAAAAGCATTTCCATTCAGGGTGTACATATTTAGTTTAGGTGGTTTGAGTGAGTTGCATGAGCCACCTCAAATCTGGGGGTGTTAAAGCCCGGAAGGGGAGGAGGACAGCTATTTCACAACACCTGCTGTAAACTTTTATTACTCGTTAAGAGCATCCCGCGCGGGAAATGAAACACAGGCTTTACTTCGTCAAATATGCTGGATGTTCTCACCCGCTATCTGGCTGGTAATAGTTGCATAGCCTGCAGCATTGGTTCAACGCCACCCTTAGAGGGATACAAAGGGGCGAGTATTTTCACACCAGAACCGCACTTTGAACGCCTTAAACCAGTCCATAGTGGTGCCGCCTGATACTGGGGATTCTACATCTATGCCCTTGCTGGCAGGGGGCAATACGTTGTCCAGCGGTAGGGGTGATGATTATGCAGCCTTGCGAACATGCGATGAGGAGCATTCTGACTTCCGACAACGCATGTTGGGCTAGAGCCACAACATGAAACAATGATCAAACCAATCTGATCTAGTTCAAGGCTGACAAGATATTCTCGATACGCGACATGTTCGTTTTGAAGCATCAATTACACAAGTCACAAAGCAAAGAGGCAAAGAGGAAGATATGTCCAGCCCTCCATCCATGAATCCCGCGTTTAAAGCCATGGGAACCAGAACGAATAGAAGGCCGGCTTGCAATTATAATTTCTCTGGGGCATAACTGACGCTGCAATGTATCCACTGATGAAGGACTTGAGCAACACGGGTAATATTTTCAGGTTATGCCAGCCGCACGAAGAAAAGAAAAAGAAAAAGAAGAGCGAAGCTCTAAGCGCGACGGCGAAGAATTTTATACGCTCTGGCGCGTGGGTCTTGAAATTTTTGATTTCGCTTAGTCACGCAGCCTTTCTGTCCAATCAAAGCAGGGCACACGGTGGGGAGGAAATGTTGACTGCAAAGACTTCATTTTCTGCGGTGAAGGAGATGTAAAGATAGAATGACGGTTCGAGAACAACATCGTGATGGGTGACCAGATTGTTATTGGAGATGCAAGCAACTGGTTTTTACATCACTGATACTCACAGAGTGTGCTACAGGATATCCTTCACTCTAACCGATGGCTTGAACCCAATGCATCTGTATTCAGGCACTTCAGAATTCGCCTTGGAAGAAAGTCTGCAACGCTGTAACATCATTCAAGATATGTTCTTCAAGTTCCCAGCTGGCATTTGCATCCCCTGAATCAATCGCTGTACGGCTGTTATGCTTCAGACTCTTCACCATGAACGGTCTTCGCAGTGGCGTAAGACCGCTGGAAGGCTGCTGAGGCAAGCGACCCACGACAATTTGGTTTGTTTCCCCGACGAATTTATTATATGATAACCCCAGGCGGTGTGACAACGTGCGCACGACATGTTGACGAGCCAGACTTAAGGTAGAAGGGAAAACAAGCACTTCACGTTGCAAATCTCGGCGGAAGAGAACCAATTCCTCATAGTAGCTTAACGCTACAAGACTATTCATGTCAAGCTGCCTAGAGAGGCGCTTGACCCTGTAGCGCCTTCCGGACTTTTCGCGTAATTGGGCATTCGTTCGCGCTGATGCTGTCTCCTCCGAGAGGATAATGGCTTCATTGTTGGTTGTTGTAGCTATGAGACTAGCAATATCCCAAGTATGGCCTTGAGGGGTTGTCGCTTGAGGAGCGCCCTCCTCGCCAAATATAATGTACCCAGGCGGCAAGAGAAAGTTAAACCTTTGTAATAAATCGTGGCGGTCATGAAAGAGAAGCATGACTCGTGTCATCACATCCGTAGTGCCGATATATTGATGCTTAAAACGCATCGATATGTCTATGAACTTGTTGTAGCGTCTGTTGTCTGTAGTTTCTTTGACATAATCCAAAAAGTGTAGAGCTTCAGTAATGATTGGTGCTTTGATGCTACTGGCTTGATCTTGAGAAGCTTTGGCCTCGTTTTTCGACCAATAAATAGGCAGAAATTGTTTGAAGCCTTCCATAAGATCTGGGTCAGAAGCCAAAATATTAGCCATAGAGTCATAGACCTCTTCAATAGGAAGCATATTCCGTTTGTGAGTGTGTAATGTGTCGATAAAGCGGTCATATAAAATAGGCCGCGCATGGAAACGAGCTTTGACCGTCTTCACATACTCTAAGGTTTCACTCAAGTTGCGTGAGAGTTGATCCGGGCCTCGAGATTGGTCAATTCCGGAGGCTTCCTGTGTCCTAGAGATTTTGAGCAACCCCAAGTACTGTTCTCGGAATGCTCTCAAATCCCCAAGACTCCATTTCTTCCGTGACTCCCATCTGGTTGTCTGTCGAGATAATCTCACCGATATCATCGATCCAGCCAATAATCTTCCCTTTTTGGGTGGTAACCATCGATATTGTGTCGGCGCGAATCGACGCAGCCTCTGAGATGGCAGGGTAATCGGTTTCGCAAACCTCAGTGAGCATATTGAGGGTTCGAATGTCGTTAATGGTATTGATTCGAGAGATGACTAAAATCTGCTGCCGCTCGCGTCCGACAAGGTCTTTGGTAACCTTTTCGACACCATCTACCAGTTCTCGCAGTTCAATAATCAGGTTCTCGTATTTTTTTCAATCGTGTATGACCCAGAACGACTTGTGCTTCATTTTCATTGCCTGTTCAAGGGTGCTGTCGGTGATTGTGAGCCGCTTGAAAGCAGCTTTGAGCTTTGACACACTCCTAGACTTGGCAGTCGATTGGACGTCCTCCTCAACTACGGCCCATTTGGCTCCATATCGGCTGCTTAGCCGTTCTGAGTCTGTGAGTAATTCGATTATGAGCTCTAGAGCTCGCTGTACCACAGAACAAAATTCGAAATGTTCGAGAAGACTTGGTTGATCCTCCTCAGGCTCACGAACCAGTCCCATGCTCTTGCCCCAGCTCCTAAGGCGACATTGCTCGAGTGAGAGCTTCAGATTGAGCTTCTCTAGATCCTTCTCGTGGTTTTTGCAGCACGTATAAGCTCACAAGCATCAATGCATCCCTTGAGAAGGCCAACCAAAGTCAATACACTCGCAGGGCTTCGTGGTGGGGCACGTTCTATGTCATATTTGAAGTCTTCGCTTCGAGTCAGACACCAACGATGATACATCAGAAGTGTTTGCACACATTCATGATATCAAGATCATTCAGAGAGAATACGACAAGATATCCTAATGTTATGACTAACAAGCAATGTCTAGTCTAGCTACATGTATTTTTGAGATGACATTTGTAGAGTGCGCATGGCAATGCTCCTTGCTCGTCGCTGCGCCCCGACTGTACTTGCTCACGAGATCAGCGGCATCTTACAATTTGCAAGCTTTGCTTTGCTTCATAATCTGATGCACAAGATCGTCTTTCCTCCGAAACTCTTTCGAAAATAACTTGAGTTTGCTCTCGTCAAGAGCGCGACGCGCATCGCCAGCAGATTTGAAACCCTCACGCGCTCCCTTACGCTTAACGCCTGGGGAACCGAGGAGTATTCCAAGGATAGCAAACGGTGCGGAAAGAGGATCGTCTATAATGTCGACAATCGAAAGTGCATGCTCACCAATCTCTCCAATCTCTCCAACGATCTTCAAACCACGTCCGATGAAGGATGCTGCGCCGAGGGCGGGGGCCAAATCACCAACAAACGCCAAGACGGAGAAGACAATGTTAAGAATATTCAGTATAAGATCGCGCTTCTTTGACTCCTTCTCCTTCTCTCCTATTTCTTTAATCTTCTTGATAGACTCAACTGCGTCTTCGAGCATGAACACGGGCATGCTAAAGGCAATGGCTGGGTCCTCATTGTTCGCGTCGAGGCCGCCCATGCGGAGCATCGGGATAGTCCAGGCCAACAGGTCCGCAAGCTCTTCGATTTTAGGAATGGCCTCATCCACGAGCTTTTTCGGGTTGGGCACATCGATCTTGGATGCATCTTTGATACGACGTGGAAAGTTTTTGTACACGGTGTAGTGGTCGCCACAGTGGGTAGATGGACATATGGGTGGCGGGGCCTGACATCCGCAAGGATCAGGGACGGCATAAGTCTCAAAAGTGACCCAGTCCTTCTCGATGTTATGCGTGTCTAGGATCGCCTTATAAAAGCCGTCCTCGTCTCGTAGCGAATATTCGATAAAACGGGCACCCGTATTGGGAGCAAGAGGTAAATGTGACAACTCTGTGCAGGGTCCGGCTCCTTCAATCTCGTTATTCATCAAGTTCCACTTGCAGTCCATGTAGTTGTTGCCTTCTCCGTTGAAGCCCATGAAGTCGAAGAGATCATCGTTTATGCCGTCTTTAACCCATTCAGCATACCATCGGAACTTTGCTCGTTAATCAATAGGCACCAATATTAATGCCAAGGGAATAAGAGGGGATGTGCCATAAGCGTACCTTTTCATCATACCCTTCTGAGACCTCTTTGTAGGCCTGAAGCGCATTTGATAATTGAGAAGAAAGAACTGTTAGGATGTAAAATGAAGCACAGCGATCATCCAGGTCCTCTGGGATATCTTCGAGAGCATCATAAGTATCATCACAAGTATCGAAAAGTTCGTCTAGACCATCCGTGTCCTCTTTTTCGGTTCCGTCTATGTCGTAAGTGTCCAGCCACCAATCTTCCAAGTCGACCGCCCAGTTGGAAATACCACCGAAATTAAGAGCCTAGAATGTTTATATTAGACAAAGATACGTAAATGCGTCCGGAGGGGCGGTGCTTGTCTGTCATCATACCTGGTACTTCTTTATCCTAGAGTCCTTGACAGATTTGCTCATATAAGCGACCCATTGCGTCTCTATCCAGCTTAGCACTTATACTCAACGGATCAAATAGGATGTAAAGGGTGATTGCACTTACTATTGTAGATGAGATAATCGCTGTCGGTTTTCTCGTCGTACCATGTTTGAACAGAGTAAGCCTCTTTCTTGTCCACAATATCTAGTATCTCAGCATTTGAGATATAGCCAGATGAATTCGTGCATTCTCCCTTGGTAGCGGCAGGCTGTGGTCCAACAAAGGGACACGTTGCACCCTTGCACTTGGGATCCATCATCTTGAACGAGCGCCCGTAAGATGCGACGCCAACAACGATCTGCCTGGCCTCAACACCTGCTTTTGTAATCATGGCCAGTGCATTCAAGGTTTCCGTCATGTTGACTAGGTAAGACTTGTCAGAGAAGATACCAAGAAAGACGGGAAATGTGATGTAGTCATACCATGAGATCTCAGGCAGCCGCCCTTTGGGCATCCATCAGCGGCCCATCGACTACCGAAATCCCACTGCCCTGAGATTGTTTTCCACGCTTAGTCCATGAATTGCAAACTATGTGGTATTTGAACACATACCATGAAGGTCGTAGGTCATGTAGACAATGTAGTCCACGGTCTTGGCGATCTCTGCTATGGGGAATGCTCTGAGGTACCAGTACGACGCAGGAGCGGCAATAGAAAGCGTCATTGCGGTTGGTAATTTCTTCTTCATGAGCTGCAAGAACTTGAGATAGTTGGCAGGATCATCTGGAGATCCAGCGGGAATGGGAAGATCGGTAGCCTGGTCGTTGTGTTAGTCGTCGTCAGAGGTCTACTGGGATGTTACTCACGCCGGGATACTCCCAATCAAAGTCGACGCCATCCAGCTTGTTGCTTTTGAGAAAATCGACCACCTGAGTTGCAAAGAACTCGCGATTCTCTGGCTTGATTGCTTGACGTAGAGTCGTGTAGGTGTCCAACCCCACAGAAAACGACCAGCCGCCAAAGGCAGCAATACGCTTGATGCCGCTCAGGCTCTTAAAGTGTTCAAATTGACTGCGAGGATCCTGGACACTCACCTTGAGATCCTTGGTGATGTTAACAAATGCGAAATGTAAGTGGGTGTATCCTTCATCTATGTCGCCAATCGTTCGGACATCCATACGCATGCACGAGCGATCGAGATTCCACGACTCGTAATACGCTACCTTCTTGAAACTGTCGGGCGCCTTTTTGTTATTCACGATATCCATACCGCAGTTGGATATGCACCCATTTTCCCCACGCCGGGATGTGCCAGGGTTCCCAGTTTTGGTCTTGGAAATGGTACAGAATTCTTTTGTTGTCCCTATGTCTCGTCAGTAAATTGATATAACCTCCAGCTGCCAAGATAGGGCTATCAAAAGTACCGCAACTTCCCCAAATATTGCAACAAGCCTTCAGAGGGCACGGGTTAAGGGTGACGAAGTCGACTCCCGCTGGAGGAGCCTTGGTCCCAGGCTTGGTTGGTCCGCATACTGCATTAGACATGGGTGCTGGAAGAGGAGGATTGCCCTTGCTTAAGCAGATAAGTTGCCCGACAAAAAGGGGTTCGCAGCCAATCCAGCCCCTAAGAAGCATCGGTTAACGATCTCAACATATGTATTGTCGAGAATCCAAGGTGGGAAAGGAGATTACCAAGTCTTTTTGTTGAAAACGTCAATGTCGGTCGTTTTGAGGCCGTGAGAAGCAGCGATATCTGCACATGTGTCACTGTTCTATATGAAATATATATATCAGCTCAATTGCGATACCCGTGAACATCTAGTCGATCAGAGACAGACCTTGATAGAATAAGTGGTGCACTCTCCGCTTGCCTTGGGCTTTGGTCGCAAATCTGGGCTTCTGAAGTGAAGATGAGGACCAGCGTGTCGGATTCGGAAATGCTCCGACTTTATTGATTGTTCCTGAAGACTTAAGCCCATGAATATTCTTCCAGTCGAATCGTCGGTCGAGACGCATTTTGCCCTGCTCCAAGATCTGACATCATCTTGAACAGCGACAAGGTCATTCTCGGTGCTGATTGCAAGGCCCAACGTATGATCTGAGTTTCGCTCGTTGCCACAGATTTGGATAATGCTTTTAGAAAAAACACGTGCGTGCTGGACACCTGAAAGTTGTGAATCAAGAGATGAAATGGCACTGGCTGGGTCGATCTTGGCGCCGATGTAAAGCCCAATCACTGTATTATTCAGACTAAATTGAGGGTTGAATTGTCAAAAAAGGGAGAGAGATGGAGAAAAAGAACAAGAAAATTTAAACTTACTAGGCGAAAATGATGGTTTCTTGGTTTGGGTCGATGATTCTGAGCAGATTATTGCGAAGGCTGCCGAAGGTTGCCGCAACATTTCCCCTATGCCCTGGGTTTTCGGAAGACCACAATGCCATGACAGCGTTGGTGAGATGGAGATCCTTTGGTCCATGTTTCCCATTGAGCTCGCGAATGTGAGGCATTAGACTAGCTTGTTGTCTGTCATTGAAAGCGATTGCAGTACATGCACGGAATTTGACTGCAGACTCAGATGTATCCAGAGGAGAATGAATCGCAAAATCGAAGAGTATGGGCTTGTTGCAGAGTGACATGGCCTCTAGGGAGGAATACACGTTCCAATCAAGGCGAATATTGTCGCTACAGGGAGCGGGACAGTGACGGCTCTGTGAGTCGTAAATAGCTTCAGGGGGGGCTGATTGGGCAAAAGCGATGGTGATAGTCAGTCCAATCAGGACTAGAGAGGACTGACACCACCACCACATTGTGGATATTTGTATGTCCAAAGTATGAGAGAAAAGGGAGAGAGAAGAAGCTTGGAAGAGAAGATGAATGTCAAACAAGCCGAGGTAACAAAGAATTAGTGCTTCTAGAGGTAAATGGTCTAAATGATGCAGGACTTGAGTGAGATCAAGTAATTGAAGCAGAGATTGGAAAATATAAGAAAATGTGTGTGTCAGCTTTTTGTTATTTCTAAAAGCAACATTCCCGAGACAACTCAAGAGCCCCTTTTCATCAGCCAAAACGAGTGGTTACCAGATAAGGCAAGCTGAGAACGTGCGTAGGCACGGTGTCGTCAGATATGAGGCAGCAAACAAGCGGCCATTCCGATGAGATAGGGTAATCGCATGGTGGCTTGGCCCTCGTGGCCTCATTTCTAGGAACGTGCGGCTCATGAGTGATATGATACATGGAAACCCTTGTCATTGAGCATGTAGTATGGACAGAGATGGGGCATTCATCCTCTACGATGGTGTAGAATAAATCTTCCGCAGTCTTCTACGCGCTTCATGTATAAATAGACTGAAAGTTCACGCATTCAATTCTCGATTTATATCTCACATTTGTCAAGCCTAATACGCAACTCTATTGACTTTCCCCTTCCAATTCGGCACATTTTCCCCGACTCATACAATGAAGATTTCCCTCTGCCTTGCTATTTGCCTCCTTACCATCGAAGCCACTGCCGGTGGTATTCGTGGCGCTTATGAGCGTATGTTCGTCTGGTACGCTTATCAGGCGGAGATTGAATATGCTCGAGAAAAGCATAAGACCTTCAGCATCAATAATCTTCAAATCTGTCCCAGGAAAGAAGGAAGTGGCAAAGATCAGACCCTGACATTTGGCGAATTTCTTGAACTAAGTAACAGAAACGGTAACGCCCAGGGAGCGACTCCAAAACTTACATCAAAAGGCACCCTGTGGAAGACGGCAGGTGCAATTCTGGACTTACAAGGGCGATATGCAATGAAACCTCGATGGAAGACTCCGAGTAATATCGCCCCTTCCGCAAAAAATAGCTATACCGATATGCTAAAGGAAGTTGCCAAAGTATTGGCCAAATGCAAAAAGGAGATGGGCAACGACGGGAGCAACGCCAAATTGGCATCAGGTGCTCTCAACGAACTTACTAATTGGCGAAAGGCGGATTACGACTTGCATCGTGTTCCTGCTTTGAAGAAGGACCCAAATTTCAAGAAAATCGAGTGGGAGTTTTGGACGATTCAAGTGCCCGGTGAGGAAAAGAAGATGAAGAATATCTGGAACAAGCACATCAATTGGCAGGCAACAGCAGATAATGCTGCCAATTCGTGGTATGAGAATATTGCGGACATCAAAAAACATGTCCTCGACTGGGAGCGAAATACATACTTCCAAGGTCCCGAGGGTGCCAGGGCGAAAAAGCATAAAAATGCAATTGCGGAGGTTCAGAAAGCTGTCGACATCTCCAACAATAGGCTCAGCTGCTGAGAAATGGAGGAGCAGATGGCAATCTATAGGGAAACTATGAACGACTGGGCAAAACGAGTCGGGAAGATTCACCGGCTTGGGCATAGAGGTATGTAGTGATCGTGATGGGGAATTCAAATGCAGATTAGACATACTGGAATGAGGCTCGGAATTCTTTTTCTCGAACCACAAGCAGTACAGTAGAAAGGACTTTGTTTTCATTTTATTTTCCCCTTTTTTTTGCAGGAGATTTATGCGGTAATAGAAGGATGCGGCGCGGTTCTGCTGTTGTGCTCTAGCCTGTTTACCTTTATGCACTCGTTTTGTACAATCGCCCGCGAGTAGTAAATGAATAGGTATACTACTGCTAATTTTGATTTACAAATCTGTCGTTTCCCCCCCTAAGTACTTGGGTATTGGATGGCAATTATGCTGATCTACGTGTTAGGCTCGCCTGGCATATCTGAGGTCCAGTTGCGATATTGAAAGGTGAACATTAATCGAGATGATGAACAATATTCTGGAGCCACTTCACTTGCAGACGGCAGTTTGCATACTTCACCGCCTCGTAGATGCAATGGAAGCTTTTCGTCCATCAGACCACAGGTAATTGACCCTTTCACACGGCCCAACACTGTGTCACCCACGTGTATGCAGTGTACCGCTTCTAATAATAAAGCAGTTGGCAGCCGTAAATCCTTTCCCGCGGAGGACCCGTGTAAGGCAATAGGCTAGAGCCTGCAGTACTCCGTATTATTGGCGCTCATGTCTGCGCAATGATGCCCTTGCTTCTAGCCTCCCCTCTGCAAACAGAGTCAACATAGCGTAGAGGCTTTTACCTAGTCTATGGAAACTAAAAAGACGAACATGGGAATAAGTGATGAGACCAATGAACTCATTAAGCTGGATTAGCTGAAACGATGATTAGCTGTAGAACATTCTAGCCTGCGCCTACTTTATGCGCACGCACCTCATTGGCATCCGACATCCCCTTCCGATAGAGGAGCGCGGGCCCATCAAAGCTTTATCTTGGGAGCTTTAAGAACTTGAAATCTCTTCCATGTTTCCTCCCGCTTTTTTTTTTAAAAAACACAAACACTTCCTCTGTGGGTAACTCCTCTATATGATCTAGAATGGAGGGCATTACTCCTGTGGATGGCTCTCCGTCATGCAGTCACATCGAAAGTCTTCCTTGGCTGATCCGCTATAATGTGATGGTGAGGCTCGACTTGCCTGATCTCAATGCGTTGGCATGCGCGTCGCCAATCCTCTACCGGCAGGTTAAACAAGATCGCCCTCGCATTCTCTATGGAGGGCTGAAGACTATGCTTGGCAACACGTTGCTGGACGCTTACGCAGTGTATCAGACATCGAGCCCGCCCTTTACGACTGGTATCAGGGATATTGGAGTTGTTCAGCCGTTCCTTGAATCCTATGCAAAAAGGCTCCGAACAGAGAAGGCGGGGCCGTCCCTCGGAGACCTTAGTGAAGAGGCAATCATTGCCATGTGGACCTTTCAAACAACAATTGTCGCCCCTCTTGTTGAGGTGTTTGCTCGGTGGACTCTCGGTAATCTGTCAAACCTTGCTCACAATCCAGATTATCAGAGAGATCGGCCGCCAAGAGATGGCCCAGAGGCGAGCCGCCTAGAAGTTGACCTGAGTGTGACTGAACGCATGCGCATCTTGAGAGGAATGTATCGTTTCCAGCTGTACTGTCATCTTTTCGGAGCGCAGTGCCGAGGCAGACCAAGGTTTGGCCATCCATATATGAGCCGTGACGATGTGTTTGGACTTGTCCATGACTTATTCGAACCGTGGGAATTTGAGGAGTTTGTGTGCATCCAATACTACGCTTGGTGGACATGGTGGCATACTTGCCAAAGATTTGGCGACGAGATTGACGAGACAAGCCCTCTTTTTGAAGAGGTGACTCCTCCGGATCCGTGGGGGAAACGGCTAACAGGGAGTGAGTGGTTAATACTCCCCCTTCTCTATTCCCCATTTTGCGTTGCATGTATGCATCTAACAATCACTGGGTTCAGGTGTGGAAGACCATGTCATCAATGGTACTGCTTCTCGAGGCCTACGACCCATACGTGAGATCTTATTTGTTGCAATTGATCACGCACATCGCATCAGACTTATGCACGAGTTATTGGCATGGCCAACAGAGGAATATATAGACTTTACCTGTTCGTCGCCAAGTTGGCAATGGAAACACCGAAGAATCAACCGCTCGGAGCGCGATTGGAAGGAATTTCGGCGCGAACCTCTTCCATTTAATGGAGAAGGTGAATCGGATCAATCCAACCTTCGACCACCTGCAGCCTGGGTGATGCTTTGGGAGGAAAAGTACTCAAACATACGCACTTTTGAAGACGACTTATTATATTGGGGGTATGTGATGTGGGACAGGGATCGCATAGATTCTACGGGAGCTGAAAAAATCATCTTCAGCCAACGCCTCGAGTTCCTGCCATTGGGAGATCTAGATTACAGCAGCCCTGAGGAAGAGGAAGAAAGCGAATATACAAACTCGTCTCATTCCTCTGATGAGTCAGAAGATGACGAAAGGGCGAGCTCGGAGAGGGAAGGTTAGGCGGAAGAAGTGTACTGTACAAGAGAGATAACGGTAGCACTGGGCCTAGAAAGAGAGATACGCATATAACTTGGGTACCTCTGTTTGTCAAGTCGGGAGGATATTTCTGGCCACCTTGATCAGCACCGTTAGCGTTACGAGGTAAGCATGATCGGTGTGCAGCTTAACTCACACACATAGTACCGAATACTATTGACTCACATTCCACAACCCGTCAATAATGCATGGGGCCGAGACCGCCTTGTGCGGAACGGGTCGGTGATGCCGCGCCCTATTAGAGTTGTTTGCCATCCCTCGCTTTCAGCCGCAGTGACGAGAATGGAGATGTCGATGAAACAACCCAAACCGAGGACGATCCCAGTTGTTTTACTTTCAAGTCAAGCGCTGAAATTTTGTGAAAGGATAGATTCCCTCCTTGTTCAACGAGTACCTCTACGAGCCCCTGCTGGGCAAAGTGAGACTGGTTGGTGGTATTGTTTTTTTTATATAAATGTAGTTGGACGTTTGGATGTAGGCTTTGTAGTTGTTTACTCACACTACGTGAGCACCCATTTCTTGGCGCCGTGTGTAATACGACTAATCACTGTATTCTGGGTTTAGTCTGTGACGCGATTGCCTGACCTTTGTTCTCATCTGCCCATGTATCGTGTCTTTTACCATATACATTGATTGATCCAGGTTGAGTAAAGTGCCTACGCATGCTTGTTCAGTCGAAGAATCCTAAGAATCACGCCTTAATTTCCACTAGGACTTTGTCCTTTGTTCCCAGCTATCCATATTTTGGTCAGCAGACTATTTACGATTTGAATTGTCCAAATAAACTCACATATCTAGAAATAGCTTCCATAGAATGGAAAATAGCAGTCCCTGAAGACCATTGCTCAAGATGCGCGTCGTCAGTCCGCGTCCAAGCAGCCCGGATACTCCGTCATCTCGAACCACCAATCGAACAGCCTCTCCTGTAAAATGGATTCAGTACAACGAGGCGGCATAGAAAATGACGAATGAAAAGCTGGAGTTGTTTTACCGTAAGACACTTTAGTATCATTGACCTGTCGGTAGGTCTTTATCACTCTCAAAGAGTTGGACACAGAATCGGATATAACAGACGCGACGAATCCTATAAAGGCCAGACGTAGCAACCAAAGAAATATGTCGCTCTTTGGTGGTTCTTGGATGACTTCTGTCAACAGATTATACTGCAGTAGAGTGAGCAATTTCGTCATCATTGTGTAACAGAGATTACAGAGCTGAATCGTACCGTTGCAAACCAGGGATAATGGCCAACGAATGTTGCTCCTGCAGTAGCAAACGCTCCCCACCACAAAGTTCCAACTCCATGTTGCTTGATGCGTTGCCGAAGCAGAGCAGTTCCGCTGGGGCCTTGTGCCTGGAGGGTAGTCTTGAGGGTATCAACAGGTGTAAGGATCATGCGAAACCCAGCAGCGCTTAGGGTTAGATATTCTTAGTAATGTGACTCTTGTGCAATGTTAGTTGGAGGTTTTAAATGTAAGCATACCAAAGAGAAGCAAAAACAGTCTTTCCAAGCGAAGGCAGGTCTTTCAGATATGAATTGGACTGCAGTAAGGCCAGAATTCCAGCATTAGCAGCTGTGTCGCCAAACCTTGCAACAGGTCCTATATTTTCACGTAACCAAAATTAGCGGTCCTAGGCGGATAAGTACAAAGAAATATTAAGGAAACTCACCTTGTATCAGTGCGGCTCCGAGTCCCGAATAGTACCGGCCGAATCCTCCATCAGCGTAGAGTATATGCGTGGCACTGGTGAAGGAGGTTCCGAAGCGGTACTGATAGTTCATGATCGTTCGGAGAGGCTACATAGGAACCAAGAATCTTAGTCACAGCTCGGCTTCGAGTATCACAAAGGAAATGAGCGAGGCCGTACCATCAGAAGCAGGACCTGCAGAACCATGGCAGCGGCGCCGCTCAAGCCGCCTCCGAGCGCTTTCTTGAGCGCTTTCTCCAAGTCAAACTGAGAAGCTTTAGTCAGATGCAAGGCGATGCTGCGAGCAAATACGCGTCCGTGATACTAACGTTGACATCGCTATCGGCCTCAATCCAGCCCTTGATAAACACGGCAAGGACAAGAGCGGCAAGAATAGCCCAGAAGATCCTCCATAGATACCAGCTAGTCGGCTTCTTGTCGTTTTCTTGTTCCAGTCGGGGTTGTTCGGATTGCTCTCCTACTAGAAGCGGTGTGTTTTCATCATGCGTTGATTGTGTCTCGACATCGTCTTCACGAGCCATGGCGTTGGCTTGCGTACCGTCGCACGGGGCAATAAAGCTACGACGAACTAATTTCGAGAATTGAAGGTTTCACAGGCAGCTTAAGCTCTCAAGACGATCAGAACATCACCAAGGTCTTGGCTATGTCATACGGCGGATACGGAAGATTGGCGTCAGCAGAGACAGAGCCCATATGTCGCGAATAATAATGCACCGCTGGATTGGTCATCACGGCTGATGCAAGGGCAGATAAGAATTGCGAAATCATGGTCAGCGCCGACATGAGATACGTGCACGGCCAAGTCAGCTCCGGGAATAATTGGGCATTTGCTCCCCAAACCCGGTGTGTCGATGCGACTCTGGTTTGGCACACGTGGGCAATATTCTGGATTCAAAACGTATTCTTGTATATCAAGCTTCGCCCTGGTCATGTGAAGAGGGTGAAGGATGCTGTCTTGTCCGCAAAATGATTCAAACAAGGTGTTCGCCGTGCATGTGACGCTGCGTAGGGCCATGTTTGTGTGCGTACATGTAGCGTAAATGACATGAACTCAACCACGACCTAAAAATGAATTCGTATTCTTCTTACAATCCATCATCCTCATTTCGCATACATCAGACAAGCGTAACACTTGACACATTATATAGTGTTATGACCCCTTCACCGTGGGAGGTGGAACGCAAGGGGGGAAACGGCATCCGCCCCCTTGTCGCCTACATTAAGAAAGTCCCAAAATTAGCACTAAGCTAGCAATAGGCAATTTACTATATGCTTCATTCATGCCGAGCTATACTCCCATTTTTAGAGTCGCATTGCGGAGAAATTTTTAAGTTCACTCGATGATTGAGGCTCGGAACTCGATCAAGACTGCATGAAACCCTTGTCAGGTACCACAGGGAAAATGCGTGTCAGTAGAGTACGGCCTTGAACAGAGCGATGAGACAGATGCTCCATCTTAACTGAAGAGAGGAATATCTGGTATCTTGGAATGAAAATCATCAGTAACATAGAGTAGCCTAAGTGACCAAATTCGACAATGGGAGAAGAATTTAGTCTTCTTGGGGGCTTTGGAACGTCTACACAACCGATCTATCCGTCGTTATGTGGCGATCCTCCGTAGTTGGTCTGCAATCAGCCATGGGCATATTATATTTAAAGTCAGACTGTATTCACCGAGATTGCTACCAAACAAGGCCGCCCAGATCATATATACCAAAATAGCAGATTGATTGGCGCCAGGAGTATGGAATATGCATCAGGCCTTGTCACTGTCACTTACTTCCTGCAAATGAGCTTGGCGCGGTGCGAGTGGGTAAATGCGATATAAACGTCCCAGAGCATGAAGATGCGTCAAAGTCGCAAGCTCCGTGAAGGAACATTGAGTCATTTCTTTTCCGATTGGACTTACAATGGTTCTTCAACTTCAACCGCAGTTCAGAACTATAGCCTGTCTCCCCGCCTTTGCGAAGCACAAAAAACGTTCCCTTCTACCTACATGTATGCTCGCTTCCACATCTGTATGAGAATGGATGTGCTGAATCACATAACATAGCTCAGATAAGTCTCGCTCGATAGAAAGGGAAACCCACATCATCAAGGCTGTTGTCTTTTCAAGTAGATCGTCTCTTTCTGAGAGAATATTATGCTTTGACGTCGTAAATATGACTGGCCGGAGTTACAATTGCAGATACGATAAGAGAGCGAGTCGTCCGAAGTGAGTCCAAAGATTCAGGGTTGCCAGCATCCTGTGAAGCGATGGAATGCACTACAGGCGGATAAGGATCATGGAGCAGCTTTGCTTACTCCGAGTACTCAGTGTGATTGGGGAGAATTACTCCGAGTGTACAACCAAGGGTGGAGTCAAACGGGTAGAACGGCTGCGGTAGCATTAAGGGGGTGGGGGGGAGAATACGCCAGAGCGTATCCTCTATATACAGATTTTGGTGCTTTTAGTACAAGTATGGAGATGGAGATGAGTTTTCGTGTCTTCCCACCGCGTGGGATGTGTACGGCTTCTCCACCGACATCTTTAGCAGCCGGAACTAATGCTTCAATATTATCGCTATCCGGACATATTAAGAACGCTAGCTTATGCCGTCTCTCTACTTCATATACCCGTTAGGATTCATTAGCGCGGTAGGATGTCGATAGGGCAGCTCAATTGTTGCCTACAGGTTGCACACAGGCAAGGCTCCGTCTGTTCAGATGCTGGTCAGTAACTACATGTACGAGTATATACATGTATGCATTGCACATTCCTGAACTTGGCAGGGTTTATCGGAAGCGCTTGTTGAAATATAAACATCGCACAACAGGCCCATAACAACATTCATACGGTATAAAAGCGTGAATTATATAGGAGCCACCACCAAAAGTCTTGTACTAAGGCTGGCCAGGCTGACGAATAAGGAGGCAAAGCAAACAAAAGTACCTCCCACATCGAGTCTAGATCAGACCCGTTGACTCACGCGGTGACGAGAATCCTCCTCGGAATCAGAATCCCGAAATTGATATCGGTGTAATTTATATCGGTGTGATTTTTATTTAAATATATTCCAGCGAATTTCCCCCTCTGATGCTTTCATCCTGATTGCCACTGTAAGTTGTGAGATGGTGATGTAGACAGCAGCTAGACTCATACGATGAGGCTGGATTACGATCCAGAATATGCGGTCGCAGGCCTGGCATTGCTCGTCGCGCTGTGCTCCTTTCCGTATCTTGGAAGATTTCGTGTAATCGCCCGTGCCAAGAATCCACAGCAGAATGGGCTCACCTACGAGGATGAAGATGGAGCTGCAAATGAAGACTCAATAGCTCGGTTCTCCAACAAAGCCCAATTTATTGCCATATTTGTTATCGCACTGTCAGCAATTGCACTCTCGTGTGCAGCCGCCATTTTCACCGCCGTCAACCATAGATTTGAACCTGGGTATTCTGGGATACCTCTGTTGGGGTCATGGTGGCTGTTCTTTGCCTGGGTAAGCCTCAATGGGAGGGAATCTGGGTCTCGAAGCTGACGAGTCTAGCTACTTTTGTTTTTGCACTTCTTGGTCGCGTCGCGAGAAGTTGAACCAGTGACTAGATTCAACAGCGTAACATCGAGCCTCAAAACATGTTTCTTGATCATTGGTATCGCTTCAGTCACTCTTAACGGAATCCGCCGTCTCTATTATGTCGAACGAGACAGGCATTTTATTACTTCAATCTTGATATGGGCCCAGATCGGCGCGGCAGTCGCTTTAATTGGAACAATCGCTTCCATCAAACGGCGCCCAGATGTGTTTGGCCCAGATGGAAGAATCGTCGACTCACAGAGGACACTCAGTCTTTGGTCCAGATTTAGCTTCGACTGGGGCATGAATGTGCTTCGGGCAGCAGCCTCGGAGAAGTTTGAGAATTCTGATCTACCTACAATGGACCATTTGGTGAGATCAGAAAACGCCACTGCGAGCTTCAAGGACATCATCTTCAAGGCCGATCGCCTTCCGCTATGGGCGCACATTATTTGGAAATTTCGAGCGCGGTTCGTTTGGATTTGGGGAGCTCTTCTTTTCACAAACTTCTTTGACGTCGCTCCCGCCTTTGCGAACCTGCAACTGCTTCGTCACCTCGAGACTCGCGAACACTTCGACATCATTGATCCCGTCGCGTGGAAATGGGTTGCTGCAATTGTTGCTGCTACGATAAGCTCGCGCTTGGTCGATTCCAGAGTCATGTGGTCTGAGACGGCTGACATTGTTGTCCCGATGAGATCAACTTTGACCGGAATGATGTACGAAAAACTGATGAGAATGGAGGATTCTCTTCATATCCCCAAGGAAGAGTCTTCGGATCCAGACGCCAAGAAAGCCGATGATGGAAACGAGCAAGACCAGCAACCAAACATGAGATCGCAGCAGGACATTGTCAATATGTTCTCAGTTGACTGCGACGCAATCGCAAGATTTGGATCCCAGAGTGGGCAATACGTAAACTGCGGAGGACAGTTCACTATAATTACCATCTTCTTGCTGTATCTCGTCGGCTGGCAAAGCCTGTGCGCTGGAATGTTGGGAATCTTGATCCTTTTTCCGATTAACAGAGCTCTTGCTTCACGATACGGTGGCAACCAGAAGATTCTCATGAAGCTTCGTGACAAGAGGTCAACGATTATTACTGAGGCTCTTCAGGGAATCCGACAGATCAAGTTCTCCGCAATCGAAACTCAGTGGACAGAGAAGATTACGAATATCCGCGAAGAGGAGCTTTCGATGCTCTGGAGGACCAGAATCAACAACATTTACATGGCGATTGCCTCAGAGTTTACTCCCATTGTCTTGACATCACTTTCTTTAGCCACCTATTCATACATCAACGGGACACTGCTACCTTCCGTCGCTTTCACCGCGATTACTTTATTCATGTTCCTTGAAGGAATCGTGGGCCATATTCCACTGTTGTTGGTTACGGCCATCAATGCCAAGGTGAGCTGTGACAGAATCGACAAGTTCTTTCGCGCCCCGAACAAAACGGAGAATGTCCATCCGGGCCCTGCAGTGTCATTCCACGATGCGACCGTCACTTTTCCTTTTGGTTCTGAAGATCCCACCGACGACCGCTTTGCTCTGCGCAAGATCAACCTTGACTTTCCCAATGGCTGCCTAAGCGTTATTTCCGGACCAACTGGATCTGGAAAATCACTCCTCCTTTCAGCCATCTTGGGTGAGGCGGAGGTCTTGAGTGGTTATATTCAGGCCCCAAAAGCTCCTTCTCCCGATCAACGATTCGATAGCAAAGCGACGGCTGCTAATTGGATTCTTCCTACGGCTGTTTGTTTTATTTCTCAGACTCCATGGATTGAAAACGCTACAATCAAGAACAACGTCCTCTTTGGCCTCCCGTTTGACCCTATTAGATACGAGAAAGTCCTTGACGCTTGTGCTCTATCCCGAGATCTCAGTCTGTTTGAAGACGGCGATGAAACTGAGGTTGGAGCTCAAGGAGTAACTCTAAGCGGTGGACAGAAGTGGCGACTGACTTTAGCACGCGCATTGTACTCGAGGGCCGGTATCATGATTATCGACGATGTCTTTAGCGCTCTTGACGCGCATGTTGGGAAGCATGTCTTTGCAAACGCACTTCTCGGCGAGCTCGCAAAGGGGAGAACTCGAATCCTGGTCACTCACCATTCGTCGCTATGCCTTCCGCGTGCCGACTACGCTGTGCATCTCGTCAATGGAGTTGTCGAACACTCCGGCTCAGTAGAGGAGCTGCGACGCACGGGTATCCTGGAGCACATAATTGAAGCAGATGAGGCTGAGGAAGCTCACAGAGATGTTAACGCAAAACCAGGAGAGCTTGCCACAACCCCGGCGCTGGATTCGACACCTAAGGCTAAGGCGGCTCCAAAGAAACTTGTTGAAGACGAGAAGCGGGAGGTTGGCAGAGTCAAAACGGCCGTCTACGCTGGATACCTCAAAGCTTTCAGCGGAATCCCTTTCTGGTCTTTTCTTATACTTCTTTTCGCTGTGGCCCAGAGTCTCACACTTAGCCGTACGTACTGGATCAAAATATGGGCCAATTCATATGAGCAAGTCGACCACAGTATGCACATTATGGTCTATCAATACAAGAAGACACTGCAGACACAATTCTTCAGCCAGCCAATGGACTATGCTAACGCGACAAATGTGGCTACGAGCTTTCAAGGCGAGACTCAGGCTAGAAGCCTCTGGTTCTATCTTGGAGTATACTGCTTAATATCGACAATCTCCGTGTTGATATCCGTCAGTCGTCTCTACTGTATTTACACCGGTTCACTCCGTGCATCGCGGAAGATTTTCCAGGGCATTCTGCGCAGCGTACTTCGAGCACCCCTCCGATGGCTGGATACCGTGCCGACTGGAAGAATTTTGAACAGGTTCACTGGCGATTTCACAAGTATGGACTCTTCGTTGGCTTCAAACTTCTATTACTTCGCCACTGTGACCTGGGAAATGCTTGGCATATTGGTAGCGGCTCTTTTTGTTTCGCCATTCATGATCATCATTGCCATCATTCTTCTCGTGGCATGTGCTTACTTTGCTCAACAATACATGGCTGCAGCACGAACTCTCAAGAGACTCGAGTCTACCAACAAATCTCCCGTCATCTCTCACTTTGCGTCTTCGCTCAGCGGTCTCTCAACCCTCAGAGCCTTCTCAAAGGCACCCGAATTCACACAGAGGATATTCGCTCTTATTGATGACTGGGCAGCTTGCAGTTGGTACCTCACCGCCTTTCGAATGTGGCTCATGATTCGCATCGGCATTACGGCTTCCATGTTTGCTGCCGTCATTGGCGTTTTCGTTGTTACCACGCCAAATATCGATGCTAGTTTAGCCGGCTTTGTCCTCTCTTTTGCATTGAACTTTGGGCATGCCATCAACTGGGGCATCTCTGTATCTACTCAGACGGAACTTGATATGAACGCCACGGAGCGCATCTTCGAGTACCAAAATCTCGAAATCGAAAACCAGGGTGGAGAGGAAGTGCGCGCAAGCTGGCCTGAGGAGGGAAGAATAGAGGTTGAGAAGCTGGAAGTGGGCTATGCGGAGGGTCTGCCTTCTATTTTGAAGGGCTTGAGCTTTACTGCCGAACGCAATCAGCGGATTGGAATCGTGGGTAGAACTGGTGGAGGTAAGTTTGTTTCAACGAAGTTCCCATATGAGCTGACCCCGAGCTCGCTCTTCACCCGTACTTCCCTTTCTATCTGCAGACATGATGTTCTGACATGAACCAGGAAAATCAACCTTATCACTGGCTCTTTTCCGCTTCCTTCAAACCAGGTCCGGCAGCATCACGATTGATGGCGTCGATATTTCCAAGATCAAACTCTCGGATCTGCGCACCCGTCTGGCCATTATTCCACAGGATCCTTTCCTATTTTCAGGCACTATTCGCACCAATCTCGATCCCTTTGGCCAGTTCAGCGACTACGAGCTTCAAAAGGCGTTGATACGGGTTCATCTCGTTTCCTCAAATCCAGGCACACCAGCTCCTGAAGCCGTTCTCGACGAGCACTCAGTTTCATCTACTCCTACTGCCACCGAGAACGATTCAGATGTAAACTCTGCTCTCTCGCTTTCGTCTCCGGTCGCATCCGGTGGTTCTAATCTTTCGCAAGGCCAGAAACAATTACTCTGCCTTGCACGTGCGATTTTGTCACGTCCAAAAGTTCTTCTCTTGGATGAGGCGACATCAGCCGTCGACATGGAGACTGATAGACTGATTCAAGACTCCATTCGTCAGGAATTTTCTGATTCGACACTGCTTGTTATCGCCCATCGATTAAGCACTGTGGTTGACTTTGATCGGATATTAGTGATCAAGGATGGTGTGACCGCGGAGTTTGGTACGCCAAGGGAGTTGCTGGAGATTGAGAACGGTATATTCAAGGAGATGATTTCTCACAGTGGTGAGAAGGACGAATTGGTGAAATTGATTTCAGCAAAATAGACATTTCGAAACATCAAGGTTAATATTCAGAACCTTGCGATTTATAATTAGTAATGAATATGGTAGATAAAAGATGCTGGGGTAGAAGTAGGACATTCCCAAGTTTGGGGAAACTGTTAAGCGCAGACAATATAATGAAGTATGAAGAGGATCCGCCAGAAGTGTCTAAGCATGCAAGCGTAAAGATCCAAAGTGAGACATTCTGCAGGAGGTTAAACTCAACTGTCATGTAAGTATGTTAAAATCATGAGTGCTTAGGCGATATGATCAAAGAGTTGGTCAATTCAACACTTAGTAGATAATACACTTATAGACTAGCTTAAAGTCAAGAGAACAGTTGAACGGAGAATACCACCCAAGTCCTGTATTTGAAGGTGCAAGGGGTACCTAAAGGCTGCCACGATTAGTATGACAGTGATTATGGGAGCATTGCATTCAAATGGAATTACCCAAAGGGGAGGAAATACCCCTAGCTATTACGAGCTCTCAACCCAATGCTAAGTAAGGTATCTACTAAACCACCATACGTTTAGACTTATTACTTGTCTGTCAACAGTATCTTATCACGCACAATTGGATCACCATGAAATATTGCAATAGAACCCTTTCAGGCTCATCCATTATATATACAGATGAGAAATATCCCAGACATTGCTATTTGAAGATGATACTATATAGACTCCAATTCAGACAATAAGTTTCATCCTTAGTTCTCTGGCTCTATATCTTAGTCGAGGGCAACAATGGTGAACCACTCCTCCTGGGCGCTGTCCAGGTCGATGAACGCACCACCACTGGGGCAAACATCAGCAGTGAGTGTTTGTGCGGCATAAGACTAGGTTGAGTAGTTTTAGCGTCTCATAATACTATAGAAGCTGGAGAACTTACAACACAGGATTCTTCATCCGTAACAGCTACAGTCACCTGAGATTTGTTAGTATTACGTAGTAATTAATACCCTAAAAGATTTACCAGGTTAAGACCGTAGGTCTTTCCGTCTTCAGGTGCGTCGACACCGTCAGCGACGTCTGTGGTAACAGACTGGGCGTCAACATTTGAGAAGTTGATCTGGGAGCAGAGCTTAGTAGCCCAGTCGACCTTCACTTGATCATCGAGGTCAGTGATGGACTGAGGAACATTGTTCTTCTGTCCAGGGACAGGAAAGCAAAGCTTCTCGTTGGCTGCCGAAGCAGTGAGAGCAAGGCCAAGAAGGGCAAATGCAGCAGTTGAGAATTGCATGATGAAGATTGGAAGGGGATTGCAGTGCTGGGTCGGACGAAAGTAGGAAGATGGGTGATTATTATTTTCACGACTCAGTTGTCGTGAAGGCTATATATACATAAAACTTCCAACAATTTATTGATGATATTGATACTCGGGAGATGAATTGGCCCGATTCATCGAATTGGGCATTCCATACATTCTTCATTGGGGCCAAGTGAAGTCATCAAATGTAACCACATGTACTCGGATACTACCTAATACTGAATTAAACGGTACATCCATGTCTAATGAAGAACGGTACGCATGTAAGAAGAGCGGACGAACTAGGCTTTTCTTTAACGGCTGCCGCTTACATCTAGCCCCAAATATGGAAGACATCGTCATACCGAATCATACGAGCTGCCTTAGCAGCCAGATATTAGCCTCTTTGTTCTACTGAAGCAGTAAATCTCTTAGAAGTTTCAACCTCGATCATGCAATGGTAAGTCGGCTAAATATTTTGTTTTCTGCCATTCTTGCACTAGGATCGGAGCCAATGTAGTGCTGGAAAAACTCCGAGCCGGTTCTCGGTCTTCACACCGCGATATTTCGCCAAGAAGGCAAGACTTTCCGAAAACAATGAGATTTGCCTAATATGGTAAATATGTCTTATGCTTAAAACATCAGATGTTCACTCTCTACGGGGTGCATCCGTCTTTTATGGGGTACGTGGTACGGGGTTTAATGCGGCATGCCCTGGTACATGTCACTTACTAGGAGTTTCTTCTATCAGCAGATTCGATATTCGGTATTCGTAAAAGTATCATGAAAGTGTAGTGATAGATTACCTTTGATATAACAAGCTAGTTTTTATGTTTGATATTGTCGTAAATAAAAGCCAATGCAGCTTGGATCAGTTGATATCAACATCATAAACCTAACATGTCCGGCTAATGTGTCCAGAATATATCGTATAACTATACACTCTGTTGTGACAATCTAGTCCCGTAAATAAATCGGGCCGATGCTTGTATGTAGGAATTGCAACCATGCGGTAGAGATTAATTTGTCGTTACCACGGATATTGGACATGATGTCTCATTTATACCCATACTGCTATGGGGTAACGCGCATTTTCCCTTGTAATGTAATAAGATCATTATGTAAAGGAATTATATTTTACGAAGTTTAGCTACTTCATTGGTAAGAAAAAGTGCATACTTGCGGTCTGGCATCAGTACCATCGATAATGAACTTTTGGGAAGAGATAGTTGAGTGTCGGAAGTGGATCTAACGGGGTAAGAATTGAATGTTAATAATTTGCCAGCATCTGCCATTATCTCATACGTTATTCGGTTGTCATACAAATCGTTATATCATGTCTTTGTCTTTTGGCAATGTATGGCAATGTATCTATACATATTCAAAGTCTTTTTGTTCTAATTAGGTACATATCCACTAGGTAGTTGCGAGCCTTATTTACTATCTTAACTCTTACATTATCATCTTCGTCTTCATTATACGCGTGGTACGGATAACATACATTTTCATGAAAACTTTCTAAAGAATAAACTGTTGTAAGTCTCAGACTTCTGCTCGTTTCATATACTCTGGAAAACAGACTTTAATACTGCTCAGTGGTTTGTAACCCATAGGAGTTACTTCTAATAAGACCAACGCCCAAACATTTAGTCAAGCAGCTTTCAATACACTACCTAAAATACAAATATAGTCTAAGTCAATGATAAAAGCCATCTGTTAACTCGCAATGAATACGAATTGTAAAAGATCATTTGCACATATGCTTGAAGGCTTATTCAACACTTGCCAATGAATAGTTGTTACTAGATATAGTACTAAACAAGCCTCAGCAACAATATCACAAATTAAAAAAAAAAATCTCTGCCTTGGGATAAGCAGAAGCAGATTTTGTTACTATTAGGATGTTACATTTTATAATATTACCTAGATACCAAGGTAATGAGAGCACTAGCAAGCTCTATACTCTATATATATTAAATTAAATACCCTTTGCCTTTACCGTCGTCCTTCCCCTTGCCTTTTCCCTTACCATCATCCTTTCCTTTTCCCTTACCATCATCTTTTCCCTTTCCTTTACCATCATCCTTTCCTTTTCCTTTGCCGTCATCCTTCCCCTTCCCCTTGCCGTCATCTTTCCCTTTCCCCTTGCCATCATCTTTTCCTTTCCCCTTTCCTTTGCCATCATCCTTTCCTTTTCCTTTGCCGTCATCTTTCCCCTTTCCCTTGCCGTCATCTTTTCCTTTTCCCTTTCCCTTGCCATCATCCTTTCCTTTTCCTTTGCCATCATCCTTTCCTTTTCCTTTGCCATCATCCTTGCCCTTGCCCTTACCATCATCTTTCCCCTTTCCCTTCCCCTTGCCATCGTCTTGACCTTTTCCGGGTCCTCCACCCGTAGTAAGTATTTCATCGTCATATGGATAAGCTTCCACAGGATAAGCTTCGGCGCGTCCAGAGACTCCAGTAACCACGTTCCGCGCGTCTACTTCAGGATTGGTATCACCCAGCGATTTCGCTAGAGCGCTGCTGGCACAGGTGGCCACAAGGAGAGCGAGAGATGCCTTCATGTTTGCTGATATATGTAGAGTTGTAGGTCTTCTTTCCTTTGCTGTCGCGTAGGGAGATGTGTTGAAACAAATATGGCCAAGCACATAAATAGACTGGCTGTTCAGTTTATATACCAATGGAACAGCGACCACAACAAGGAATTGAGCACGTGCCCGCACCCATGCTAAGTTGGATCGAGTTACTCAACGTGGTCTTATTTCGTTAGTGGTGACGAAGCATTCCCACTTGCAGCTTATTTCCCTACGCTTACAGATCACCTGTAGGCAGGCATTGAGTTGGAGCATGTTGGGGATGGCATCACTCTTTGCGGAGTATATAGATACGTTACAAACTTCAAAAGAAAGGGGGAGACCGGCCATTTCCTAAATAAGGTGTAATATGCAAATACATGCATGCAAGCAGTCGTCATAGCACTCGTATTACAAAGTTCTGTCACTTCGAGCAGCGGAGGCTTTCCACGTGGGGCTGAGAAGCACCAAAGTGTTCAACATGCATGTATGCCGTGTTGCTTTCAAAATCGCTACTGCAGAAACTGACTCATAGCTGCTGAAAAGCTGCGAAAAACTGCCTAGTGCATACAGATCATCTCAACGGAGTAGAGTGATCGCCAGGAAGGACCACGAAGAGAGAACCATGGATCGGATCTTGTACCCGGGGAATTGCTTGTACATACATAGCACTAGGGCAGTGACGCGCGTATTCGAGAGAGTGAGATTTCCAGGGTTCCAATGTCCTCTATCGATAGTGTGTTCATGTGGTAACAACAGTTGGTCACAGTTGTAAGCCAATCCAATTCCAGAACTTACAAGGTTCAATGTAAGGTTATTTTGATACACGAATCTGACAGGTACTATACAGATACGAGACTCTTACAGCTGTTGTCATACACGACCCCTTCAGTGCCACTTGACTCGCTCCATGCTGTTCTCTGCGCCCCGCTATTACGACTAACATCGCTAAAACGCCCGAAATATCTGCGACGAAGACGAACAGCTGGCCACAAGAAGGGTTACCGCCGGCAGTTCTGAACACATCTACAAATTCGTACTTCAATGTTAGGCATCAGCAACAATTTGATAATGGAAAATCTAAATTTATACCATTCTTATCAATATCCCTATTAAAATGACGCATGTACGAACCGGAGAGATAGCCGTGCTTTGTATCTGGTAATGCAGTCGGGGGTTTCCAATTACCCGTTAGTCCCACTTTCATCCACCAACTTGAAGTCTTCGCGAAGACTCTTAAGTTGCCACGAAGGGTGGAACCAACGGGTACAGCACACTCAGCAACATTGCCTGTATCATAAACTACATGTAGGTTAGTACCTCACACCTGACGATCATACTTGATGGTCACGTTCGTCTTTTGCAGGTTCTTTACATGTACAACTACGATTCAGTTTTTAACCTCAAATATATGCCAACTACCTCTTAACAACTACACAGTCGCGTTGCCAAGAGCTCTACCTAGTTATTATCCGAAAGAGCTATTGATACCATACTACTTATCCACGGCATTATTTTTAAAGTTGAAGAAGCACTTTTCTGACATATACAATTGATTCCTGGATAACTACCAAGTAGGGGCGCAAGATGAAGTCGTTCATCATTGTCAATATACTCCCTTGCGCAGCTGTGACTTTGGCCTTCCAGCAGCGAATTATTTCCGGCAATGTTTGCTCTTCGGCTTTATCTCAGGTCCCGCATTCTCAGCAAGACCAATTAGAAGGATGCAAATACTTTGGTCAAGATCATTTAAATGCTGTTTCTCTCACAAATTCATCATCCTCATGGACATCGCAAGGCAATTGCCACAACGGCACTGAGACGTTTTGCGTCTTTTCATCCAAGGACTTTGCAGGTGGTAGAGGCATCTCTATCTTAACAACAATCGATCGCGCTGAGAATTTTCAACAACTACCAGCATTTGTTGACGGAGATGCGTTATCGGGGGTCAATGAGCAACCTTCGCCACCTTTCGAAGAAAAGGAGCTCCCTGGGAGAGGGCGTGGTCTCATTGCGAATAAGATGCTGCATCGTGGGGACAGGATATTTGCACACACACCCATCTTGATGCTGGACAGTGAGATTTTCGGAGGCCTAGAAACGGCCGAATGGCTAGAGCTGGAACATGCAGGCGTCAACAATCTTCCTCCCAAAACGAAGAAGAAGTTTTCGGCACTATATGGCAGCCCTGTAACAGATCCAGTGAGTGATCGCATTGACACCAATGCTTTTGTACTTGACCTGCATGGGGTCACATATTACGCCGTATTCCCTGAGACAGCTGTAAGTGCACGCTCTATATGATCACCGAAGCAAATGAATCACAGGATCTAACAACTATCAGCGTCTCAACCATGATTGCCGCCCCAATGCGGCCTACTTTTTTGACAAAGAGACTCTTACACACTACGTACACGCAATCACGGACATTACTCCTGGTACCGAGATTACCATCACATATATCGATCCTCATATGTCACGCGAGAACCGCCTCAAGAAGCTGTCCTCTCTCTGGGGATTTCATTGTTCTTGCAGCTTATGTAGTCTTCATTCAGACCTGGCTCATGAATCTGACGAACGCCTCGACCAGATAAACACCATACGTGAGCGTCTGGAGGACTGGGAAACTGCGCCCCCACAAATGGCGCTGGCGCTCATTAGTCTTTATGAACAAGAGCGTCTGCATGCTCCTCTGAGTTCAGCATATTGGTATGCGGCTGTGACGAGTTGTGCGGAGGGCCTGTATTGGGACACGATACGATATGCGCGTCTGGCGGTCGAGTTGGGGATGTTGGATTATGGATTTAAAGATGAGGACTTTCAGCTCATGAGGAGCCTAGCAAAAGAGCCGGAAAAAGATACATGTTGGCTAACTAGATTAAAATAAAATCGTCCTATATTAAGCATCTGATATAGGTTAAGATGCCCCTCAAACTTGCAATAGCCTTATCTGACCAGTATCCTTTTTACAGACGTGGCTGAGACCACACGAGATGGTCAAACCAAAGATTAGGATTATCGCCATAATGGAAGGTTTTGCCCATCATCATTTTGGCCAGAATTGCTGGCTGGTTTGCCACTGCGACGAAACTTTGCGAGAAGTCGCTGGGCCACCCCACCCAACCGCCAGCGGGACGCGGAAACTGCAATAATGATGATCAAGATTGATATACCGGTAGATGCTGGGACTATAAGGTGCACAACTGTATTAGTTCGTTATTTCCAATATTGGAAAATAAGATCCAGTATAGACAATCTGGCGAGTAGCCCTTTGCTAACCTTCAGACAAAAGTATCATAACTCACAAGTAATTTTTGACACGAAGCCTAATGTTGGTTTGTTGCTGTCTAACTCTTTAGTAGGAATGGCGAAGAAGGCAGCGATGAAAGATAAAGGTAGCTGTGGGCAATTTGTTGTCAGCATCTAGTTATTTGCTATATTCAAATTGTATTTTCCTCTCTTATCCCTCTGTGTGGGCGTATTAAAGGAAAGAGGGGGCAGGGAACATATGGAAGCGCTAGATGACAAAGGACTCACAAAGACGATGGTAACAACCGTAAATACCATCAGTGTTTTGCTCTGTTTCTCAGCCTCAAGTGTCATTAAGTGTGATTGCTCGGCCTGAATACGGGCAGTTCGGGTATCAATAATGTTGTTTTGCTTCTGTTTCAAATCAACGAGGCTGCTCAGCTATATTTTTCACCGAATTAGCCTGGCGTCCACTTCATCATTCTGCTATGGTGTATATATCGCCCATTATGCCTCAATATTCTTCCTATTTTGGGGGTAGTGAAGGGGGGTAGGAATTGAATGAAGAGAAAGGTGACGAACCGCTTCGTTGGTGGTTTTAGCGCGCTTAAGCATTTTTTTGATCTGGTTAGAATGCCGACTAACGGTACGAAGTGGAAGATTATGTTCCTGATGGCCCAAGCCCCAGATGATACTCTGAGAAGAGTAACTGAGTTTCTGGAAATCCGAACCAGAAGCCAGTGCGTGTGCTGCCATAGGCAAGGTATCAATGCTAGAGGAGTAATTGTAGTCACCAAATCTGTCCTGAATCTCTTCAGGGTCGTATTCTTGCATCTTCCTGCTTCTAGAACCCCTTCGATAGTGCAACTTGGCGTCAAAGGTTGCGGGCTGCATATTGTCGTTTGAGTCGGAATCTCGTTGTTCCATCGTGCGAATGATCCGATCCATCGCTTTGAGAGCTTCATCCTGTTCTGCAAATACCTTCTGCATCATTTCTAGCTCGTCCTGAATATCCTTGATCTGGCTGAGAAGGGTAATCTCTCTAGTTATATCAAGAACATAAAATCGACCAAATTTCTCGAGCAGTTTTTTGAGGTCATCCTTCCATTTTTCTTTACCTTCTTTTGTCTCTAGATTATTCTGTTTTTGTTCGCTGGCTCTTGTCTCTAAAATCTTAATTTCATCGATAGTCGGTATTTCCGATTCCAGAGTATACTTGCGATATTTGTCGCAAAGTTCCACGGAATCCTCGGGGATCTGATCCTGTTGTAGGAGCCACTGGATGTTGTCCATGATCTTGTCTGCTGAGCTTCGATAAGAGTCATCTTTTTTTGACAATCTATTAGACTTCATCATATCTCTAAATCCATCCAAAATTTTAGTGCGAGTCTGCATCAAGCTATTGAATCTGTTGAAGAGCAACGTTTCTTCGTTCATCTGCACCACGATAATGTTAAAATGATTAGCTGTCTGTAAGAGACCATCTCGCATACGAATGGTTGGAAAAAGAACTTAGCGTACAATATCACTGATGGAGTTTTCATAAACCTCTGCAAAGTTAAGCATATCCGTAGAGTGATCAAGAAGTGCTCTTGAGCACCTGCTAGCAATAACCCCTGCAAGGTCATATGGTGTCTTCACGGCATCGGGCCTCTGTTGGATGTAGGATCTCGTACTCTGTAAGACGTCGGTTGTGCGCGTTCGATCCAATATCGATTTCATTTGGTTCGGCGCCGAAGCCTTCACGCCAACGTCGACCCAATCTCTAGAAGGGAAGCATGTGACCATTGCCTTGGCTTTCCCCGATTGATCAACGAGGATCCAAAGCCAAAGTTGATCCACCATAATGGCTGTGAATGGGTCTTCTTTCTCAGAGCCCTTGTCTCTGTTTAACTTCTTCTGGTATCGATGAACGGTTTGATCGGCATCTCGAATTATGGTGTCTTTCAGATTATGATATAGATATTGGTCCAAGGTCCTTCGAATATGGAGAACGTGACGAAAATTAGGATTGTAATCATCTTCGGACAGCAGATACTTGCTCAATAGCATCTTCTCCTTTTCAAGTTTTCCAAGGGGCGCAGAGCTTTCGTTCCACACCCGGCGATAGGAAGTCGTTCCACCCGAAGAAGATTCTGCTATATATTTTGATCTTTTTTGCATTGCGTCTTCTTCATCCCAATGAAGATAAGGCATCTGCTTTCTCATTATTGTGTCAGTGACTGTATTGAGAATGCATCAATTCAATCATAATGTACTAACGAAGAGAAACACGTGTTTATCTTTTCTAAGATTTCCAAATCCTATTACTAATATTAGCAATTTATGCCATCACAAAGCCACAGAAAAGTACCTAGTTGTAGCGTACTCTCACTCTTTTTATCCTTGAAGGCCTCTGAGAAGTCGTGACATGCTGGTATCATGAAGCGTGCGTGTGGGGAGCCTCTTTCTCCTTCATGTTGTCTCTTGACCCATCGCTTCGGCTCCAGAACTTTGTAAGCTAGCGAAGGATCGTCATGATAGATATTGCCAAATAAAGCCTTGTTGTCCTATATTAGCGAATTTCCTTCTTTCTATTTCTTTTTAGATGTACCTACCTCGACCCATTTCATCTGTTTGAAGATGTTAGCGGAACAAACTGCTTAAGAAATTAGAGAAGATCAAATGAAGGCGCCACGTACATTGTTTGCTGGCAAATGAAACCATTTAAACTTAATCTTCAGTTTCTTTCCAAATGAGTCAGTTATAGATTCGTTATTTAATGAAAAAAAGTTCTCTCCTCTCCCCATCAAGTCGGCTACACTGAGCTCTTTAAAATCCGGAGTTTTCTCTTCCAGGAAGGTAACCACCGTTGCTTCAAAGTGCTTATCGACGTCTGGGTCCAGGTCTGCTGAGGTTGCCAACTTTCCGGTACCCTTCTCTAATTCCAATAGCATGAGAGTCGTTGAGTCTTTCTGCGTGGTCGCAATATTGAGTAGCTCCGTCTTGAGCTCTCCTTTCACTAGAATTCCGGCCTGTAATAGTGCTTGAATAATACTGTGTTGTTTGTTGCAGACAGCGACCCGTAATGCGTCCTCGTTTCCAGCACCGTGAATAATAAGGAACTCCGCAACCTTTGTTTTGTTCGCTTCTATTGCGCTCATAAGCGGTGTCTTATGACCAACTTCCCCGTCAACCTCCACATCGATTCCAGCCTTAACTTTCGCCCCGAAAGATTTTAACACTTGCACAAGACAGAGGGCTCCCCGACTCGCTGCCTGCAGCATTTGGTGGGCTAGCCAGCTTTCCTGATCATTTTGACGAGTAAGGAGCATACCGACCAACTTCCGGACAGTTGCTGTCTGCTCACCAATTGCAGCCGAATCGAGCTCGTTTTGGATGTCCCCATCTTCGAGTCCAGGCATAGCTCCTGGCTTGGGAATTTGGGCAGGTGGAGTCGCACTGCCTAGACCCTTGAAATATTTGAGTAATTTAAGAAACGATTCAAAGGTACATGCATCATCTCTGCACGCAGCAGCCTCGAGAGGTGAATGTCCTCGTGCAGTCTTTTTTCTAGCTCTGTCGCAGCCACCTTCTTGAAGAGCCAGTTGAATCACTGAAATCTGCCCAGCAAATGCCGCACATGATAAGGGTGTCATCCCAAACTCATCTTCCATATCAAGCATGGAAGGCCCTTGGTCAAGATATGCCTCAAACAACTTCTCGTAACCAAGAGCCGCGGTCCAACATAAAAGCTTTTGAAGCCTTTCTTCATTCGGAAATGGAGCCACACGAGAATCGGTAGAGCTAGTGAAGGTGCGGCTGTGACGGATATGACCTTCTGCAGTAGATGAAGTATATGTAGATAAAGAAGCAGCCACTTCCATGTTGGATGGATATGCGTCCAAGAGAGCTACAATTCTGATACTGCAAGAATCATCGCTTCCAGAATCATTTGACTGATGGATTTCGATATCGGCTTCATTATCGGCTTCACCCTTTTTATCGGCTTCATTCTTGTTAAAAGCTCCTGATATTTTCAGCAGAGGAAGCTTCTCCACATCCTGTACCAGTTTCGTGATATTGTTGTCAGTTCTAAAGTAACCGACTTCCGCATGTTGGATCGCAATGGGTTTGTGAAATCCGCCTTGGATTTGTGTTGTGAAACACAAGCTGAACTTGGCGACAAGATCCTTGCGACCGAAAAAAAAGTCTGCAGGGCAATTTAAGTCGATAGAGACCAGTGCTCCGCGTGTATGGTTTTCAGGGTGACCAAATGAGGCGGCTCTATCAACAATGTCGATATTGCTGGTCAGATGCTGTGGACTGCGGATTTGCATTGCGGATGTACCGTTTTGGCAAACTCGATTTTGACAATATGGGGTAGAGAGACGATTACCCTGGTATAAGCGAGTCTTAATGTCTTGTTGTGTATGAGATAGATTATAAAGGAATCATTGAATCATACCATCATCGAAAACACTTGGGTTTGATCAAGGTTTATATATGGTGAGCGTCACTACCACGTACGCATATATGTACACACTGGCATTAGCGTCCGCCTTCCCGCCGCGACTGTATACCTTTACGAGTTGGTTCACTTGCCATGTTGGTGTTACAATATACCCAATAAGACCAGGGTAAAAAGGGCGACCAGATAATAGACCTATGCAGGCTTGCCTAGGACAATTCGGTATAGTTATTGATGCCAAGTCACCTGCATAAGCAAGGGAGAACAAGCCTCAAATTTGGACCAAGGGAAAGATAAGTAGGCATCCAATTGAATTCCCATCCAACCCACCATATTCTCAGATTGTATGTAAGTACAACGCAGAGCTGAGTGTCAAGCTTCGCACTGTATACCCTGGATGGCTGCATTGCCAGTTTGTACAAGCACGTGTTGATTTTACTCACTTACACCTGATATTAAAGGTCAGGATGACCAGAAAATTAAGGACTGAGACAATGGTACACAACTTTCATGCACGCAATGCACGTTTTGCGCAATGTAGCGAAGATACAAACTTTATCAATGAGTCTCAGGGTGCAGATTCTGTATACAAGCTGATACCGAAGAGGCAAGCTGCATCCGAAATATATTGCGGAAGGATTGAAGAGATCCTTTTTTGGTTACGTTAGGTTGTACTGTATGGTCGGCTATTCCCGATCCTTTCATGCTCTCTCTTATGATAAATTGATTCAGCTAGCCATTTCGAAGCTGGCCGGAGATATCCCTGGAGGAGCTTTGCATCAGGCGACCAATCAGACTCCCCGATCGATTCGAGAGACTCAGCCGCCAAAATGCTTCGACCAGAGTCGCGACGAGTATTTCTGAATTGACAACTTATGCCGTATGCTGCTTATAAATATCGAGACTTACATCTAACAATTCTCTTCGTCATCATGAAAGGAGGTGAGGGTAGCACAGATACTCCGCGAAAGGGAGGAAGCTCGGCATCATTTCAATTCAAACTGAGCTTATTATACTCAAATGTAGTAAACTCGAGACTTTAAAGGGTATGGACCCAAGATAGAGTAGAATTATGTGCTACATGTTGCGCAGCCGCCTTTGTCGCTTTTGTCTGCAGTTGCCTTCCGACAAGCTGAGACAAAGAACGGACGCCTTACCGCCACGCCAACATCTTCCTATGAGCTGTCGTATTGTTTTCGGTGACGATTAATATTAGTATACGCCAAGTACTACACTGTGCGCGAAACCCTTGAAGAGGCCGAAATTCCATGGGACAGAGCACGGCTGGCGCCGTTCAGCTGGCGAGGGGGTACTACGATAGCGACTGGTTGAGCTCATGCCATTGGTCACCGTAAAAGATGCAATGTATGATGCAATGCAGAGCCCAGCCTCGTAATTTCGGCCATTGTGTTGGTGTGTAATGCCCCGATCGGAAGAAAGACTGCGGTGAACAGCATCCGAAAGTTGTTTAGAACGCTGTAACCGAGGGGTATGAGGCTGCTCATCATAGCCACCAATCACAACGAGTCCAGTTTCTCTTGAACAAATAATCCCTCGAATGAAGAGCAAAAATAGGCAATAAGAAGCGTGATATTACTGGGGTTACAAGCCTTGTTTGGTACTGATCATCACAAATCGCGGACCTAGATGCAAGATGAGGAACAGGCCTCCCAGAAGAATGAAGAAGAGAGTGTTTGTCATCGGGCTTATGTTGTCGCTTTTACCTCCCAAAAAAGATGTCATCTTTTTAATTTTCTTCGTGAGATAACAATATGGATTCATCCGTCAAAATGCAACATATCGGAAATAGTCAATGATCTGAACACAAAGTCCAGTAGCAATGACAATGGGACAGCTATGAAGCTATGGCCAGCTATTCTCGAATAGCACACAACGTACATCAGTAGCTGTATGGATGCCCAAATCCTTCGCATCAGTAGCGGGGAAGCTGCCACCTATGACGGCTGCACCTGAAATGCGGAAGATCTCCGATGGTAGAGAGTACAAACTGCATATGGTCTTGTGACTCTTTTCCGAAAAAAAGAAAAGAGAAGAGAATCCTCTGTTGAGAAGGTAGACAAGTTGAGTTGGCCGCAAAGAGATGGTGGGGGGACATCAATATTTGGCTCTACCCTGCATCTACCTGACCATCTTGGAGCGTATCTCGTATCTCCACGGCTGTATTAGATCGGCCGTAGCTGCTTGAATCGACTTATTAACGGATTAAGCAGTTCCTGTTCTTAGCTAGACGGGTCGATCACTCCATCTCGACCTTTATCTTGGACTTCTAGTTGATCAGGTACTAGGTATATTGGATGCATGGATACTAATAGCCCGCCCCTCTTTCCACACAGAGCATGTCGCAATACATGCACGTGAGTGCTGTGTATCTTCTTGCTCCCTTATCTTATCGTCAATCAGTCCATATACCCACCATTCTTCGCATCTTCACGTTCTTCTACCTTGACGCTTCTTCTCCTAGTTCACCATCGTCTCGCTCTCAATTGGTTCAAAGCCTCACGTCATCATCGGTTGCTTTTAATAACCCACCGCTAAACCTTAAGCATGCTAGCTACCCTAGATATCCGTGCGGCGGGGCATTTTTTAGACGCGGCAGTGGGCCCCTCCATTTTAGAAGCTGCCGTCCAATTCGCGCCCAGTCTCGACATCCTCAGCTCATGACGCTTGTTTGACTCTTGTCGCTGCATCTCGCGATCGGAAGCATCTCGCCATATCCGTCTGCCGCTGCATTGCTATTACCGATCTCCGTTACCTGTATGCGCCGTTGGTTCAGGCGTCAGCAGCTTACTATTCCTCTCCTCTCTCGCTGTATTGGCTATTGCGCATCTCTCAGTTCTTTGCTCGTCTTCGCGTCACCTGGCCTCCAATGCTGTAACCCGCGCACACTGTTGTCGCAACGGCGCCTAGATAAATCGCAATTCTTCTGCAGGTGCTGGGACGGATTGCGACACACAAAGCAAATCTGTTGATGAAGGATTCTACCTTGCGGGACCGGCGACAAAGACGTCATTTGTTCCCGGCCAAAGTGAAACATCCAATCTCATCAACATAACCACGAGCGCACTCCCCATAGCGTCTGCCCCAAGACGAGCATCATGGAGAGACCGCGGGGCCTGAGTGGCATGGCCTTGGGCGAGGCCGTGATTATGGACAGCGAAGACAGCAATGGGCGGCAGCAAAACGCCGAAGCTGCGCCCACTGCTGCCCAATTCCGATCGCCAATGACATCTAGGACCCGCTCGCTGTCCGACAGCACTGGCACGCCGTCGAAGCTTTCGCCCAGCCCGAGAATCGTCGAGACGTCGAGGCGGACCTCCAAGGACGACAGCAGCATCACCCACCTGCCGCCGCCCGAGACACCGCGACGCTCGGAGCTGAGAGGCCTGTCGATCCAGATGCCGCCGCGGCAATTCACTCCACCACCGGGCACCCCATCCGGCGCCTACATACGGCCAGCTCCGTTGTCGCCCAAGCTGGATCACTCGCATACCTACTCCTCTCCCACCAATCTCTTACCCCGCCGCTCCCGTGGCCTCGATTTCTCGCGCGCTGCGACCAGCCTCCATCATTCGATGCTGGCTGAGCAGCCTTCGCCGGACTCGTCGCCAATGATTACAGACCGAGCGATGAATATTCCTCCTCGACGAGGGCCATATGGAGGGCCAGAGCAGACGTCGACGTCATTGTGGTCTATGATGGGCAACCAGGAGCGGCTCAATATCAGCACTTCACTTGGAAGCAACCATGCCCCTGCCCCACCGTCAGACTCCTCTAGCTCTTCCTCTGAAGATGACGACATGGACGAAGACATGGACGAGCCCTATGTAACAACTCCCCAAGTGTCCAAGATGGGTGTGCCTCCGGTGCCGGGTTCGCCCTCAATAGGCAGTCTTGCAAGCTTCCAGCACCGGCAGCGACACCACCGCAAACATCCTAAAATGAAGCCGCGCGGCCCTCTAGGTCTTGGATTCAACCTCGCTTCCGCTGCCCTCTCCAAGTCACCACCGACCAACTCAGCTGCGGCACGAGCTAGACGGGAGAGCATAAGCTGGCAGGCAAATCAACTCCATATCTCGTCGGGGGATATGGATGAAGGCGGTGCCGCAGAGGGGAGCAGCGGTGACCAAAGGAATGTGATACGGCGAGTTGTAACTCGGCGGGGGAATATGCTGGTAAGAAGTTGATTTGAATGCGGAACCACCGCCCAACACTTGTGTACAAGCGACCTAGCTGACTGGTTTCTAGCCCAAGGCGAAAGCATTTGCGCGCATCCGGGCAGCGCTTGCTGAGGAGGGGGCGCCAGCTGAAGCCGAATTCATCAGGGAGGCAGAAATCGTAAAGCAAGTCCGGGAAAGCGATGTTGATCTCGAGCCTCGCCATCAACCTACGGGAGGGGATACAAATGCCATGACGACGGCGCACTCATCGCCTAATCTGGCCGGCAATCAGGAGACGCTGGAAGATATCCCGGCAGATGACTCAATGGGAGAGTTGGGCGCGAGTTTGTCGAGTAGCTTCAAACAACATGCCATGAAGAATTCCAAGGGCAAACAGTTTTGGGATACCTTTTCTGAATCTAGTGGAGCAAGAACGCCCCCTCCAGCATCAGCCCTTTTGCCTCGTGGTTCATCATCGGGGATGAGTGAGGATACTAATATGGACTCGCCCTCTCTTAGCTCTGCCGCTTTCTATGTAAGCATCTCACCTCTTTTCACGTCGTTTTGAAATTGTGTCTAACACTCAATGCGATCAGAACGGCCAATTGCCCAGCGCGGCAGAAATTACACGGCGAATCAACAACAAACGCCGTCGAGACGACGACTTTGACCCGACAAGCTTCAAACGTCGGGCCGTCAGCCCCAGCATCAGCGCGCACAACTCGCCCGTTGTACAAAGTCCAATGCAGCGCGACGTGATGCCGTGGGGCTCACGGCCAGGTAGCACCGGTGGCGATAGGGGAAGCAGTGGGCAGAGCGAATCGGGGAGCTTGGGCGGAACGCCAGCGAATCCCCCCATAGGCTCAACGGGCCAAGTCAGCAGGAAGGGGAGGGTCGGCTTGCAGGGGATGGTTGATACAAACGACGGCATCATGCGCATGAGCATTGAGTGAATATTGGCGGGTGTATCTGGGCGGGTTACTTGCTTCGCATGGTATTCAGGATGTATGGTGGGAGGCGGGGGAGGCTTCATTGCATTGTACGGCGTTGGCGATCTTGCCGGAATGGACTGGCAAATGGGATCTATGGAACTACGGGATAAGGTGTATTAACTCGTGTATCAAAGGGGCGGCTTTATCATGTATTTTTATTTCAAGCGTTTGTAGCATCATATAAGAAGCCTAACATGTACATTTTGATACGTTACTTTGGTCGTGGAGACTTGAAGGAAGATGAGTGAATGATAAACGTAGAATCTACTGCCTTCGTTGCTATTCGTTGTGGTATCTAGTCCTGAATGCATCGAGTATTACAAGAAATATAAATTATAACTGGGTGGGTTTTCCGTTTTTGCTTCTTCACCGGGCCAAATGCATAAAAAAAGCCGCACAATCAAACGCCGGCCGGTTTCCCCAGCACATGATGCAATCTCTCTCCATCTCTCCCATACCAAATCTTCCCATACCAAATCCTCCCTATCCCCCGCACAGCGTCCAGCTTAGAACTCGACGACACCGATGCCCTCCTCGGGGACCCTGAGCGTTCCGAGCTTCTCGTCCAACCACCGCGCCAGCTCGGCGGCATGTCTCCTCATCGCAACTACCAGCGGAGCGCTCGTGCTCTCCAAGCTCGACGTTGTCATGCCACCTGCACTTATCAAGCTTTCCACTTCGCTCGGGCTTCCGACGCCGTCCCCGTTTTCGTGGTGAGCGTGTGATGACGTGTGGTGTAGGTCCTGCAGACTATACGCGGCGGGACCTACGCAGACGAAGAGAAGGCCGCATTTGAGACGCCGGATAATGACTGTGCCTTCGCTTAGCTGGACAGTGATGGTGACGGGCCTGATGGTGCGCCTTGGCCGCTGCTTGGATCGCGCTCTGTCGGATGACTCGGTCGCGTGCGGGCCGTCGGCATCGAGGTCGCGCTCATCCTCGTCATGGCTGAGATGGTGGTGGTCGTCGCTTCCATGGGGACTGCCGGGAGAACTGCTCATGGGATCGGGCGTGCGCGATCCGGGCAAAGCAGTCGGGATGGCGGCCGAGGAGGATGTGTGGATGGCGAGGAGAGAGGCGGCGACGGTGGCGTGGGTGCGCAGGACGGAGACGGGCTGGGAGGAGGCGTGCGCGAGGAGTTTGCCCTGGGAGGTGGTGAGGAGGAGAGTGGGCAGATGGGCGGTCTGATGAGAATGGAGGAAAGTGTTGAGCCTCTTGGTGAGGAGGAGAGGCGGCGTGGCGCTGGGGACGGACATGGCGACGGTCGGGGGGGTTTTTTCGATGGCCTTTGGATACTTGTGGGATTTTCGTGATCTCGGCGCTTTGCTTTGGAGTTGTCGGCGGGTTGTTTCGGGTAGCAGAAGCAGGGAGAGCCGAGCCCGCAGCGAGGGAGAGATAAGAAGCTGAAGATGAAGAAGAAGAGGGAGAAGACGAGGAAAGCCGGCCGGACGGGATGCGCGTCACGAGCCCGTTTGCTCTCGCTTGCTTGCTCGTTGACCTGCAGCGACTTGGACCAGTCGGAGCGCAGCGTCTGAGCGCCTCTTTTTTCTTTTCTTTTTGTTTCGTTCTCTCACGCGAGAGTTTTTGTGTGACCCTCGTGAAATTTGGATTTGCGAGACACACCCGCTCTGAAAAAAAAGGTGTCGACCCGAGGTTGGGGAGGAAGAGGAGCTGGCGAGCTGAGCTGAGGTGAGCCGAGCCGGATCGCAAGGGCCTACTAATGGATGGAGAAGAGGAGCTTTTAGCGGGTTTCTGGGTTGGTTCTAGCGCTGCGCGGAGAGAGGATGGCCAAGTCCCGCAGTTGAATCACGAGCTAGGCTTATGTAGAGTTTTGAGGGGGGGTTTTTGCATGTGGTGAGAAGATGGGATTTGGATGATTGTTTTATTAGAATAGAATAGAATAGAATGGAATAGGTGATAATGGAGATGAATTCTCCCGAGTGTTTTGGTGTGGGTTTGTTGGATGGACGGTAAAGTTGGTGATTGCATCGGATTGTTTCTGGGGGTGGTTGGCAGCAAGACTAACAGTTGAATGGAATTTGAAGGCAGATGGAGGTCAATACGAAACCCTCATTGGTAAAGTTTGGCCAACATGGAACTTTACTCCAGATGTCCTACACGGAATACGAATGCATCAAACACTTAGTAATACTACTCTTCTACGAGTACACCCTCGACAAATGCTATCCAAAACCCAGCATCGAGCTCTCCCCCACCTGTTGGGCGTATAAACAACAAACATACAAGATCCTCTCTGCAGATCCCCCTGTGAGGATGCGCGATATTCCACCAGCTCCCACTGCTCTAGCTGCATGCAACCTATTGAGCTAAAAATCCCCCGGTTCAATTAGCTCAGCTCGGCGGCCCAGTTTAATCCCCATTCGTTTTCTCTCTTCTCCATCTCCATCTCCGCCTCATATCTCGGAATCATGTCGTCCTCGATATCCTTATAATTCTTCCCTTCATCAGTGCTGTTCTTCCATTCTCGATAGCGGCCCATCACCAGCTTGGTCCAAGGCAGAACTTTTGTGATTTTCTTCCTGCTGTCTGGATGTAGAACAAGCAGATCCATCACCACTTGTCGCAATCCTGCCGAATACCGCGCCATGGACAATAGGCTGTAATTGGGGAACTTTCGACCTGTCATCATCTCAAAAATGACCGTACCAACGGAAAAGAGCTCATTGGTGATGGTGTAGGGGTAATTGTTCTATCCTGCCATTAGCATCTCCTGTTTTCGTTGGAATGAGGTAAAGATGAGGATGGAGCATTTGATCCCATACATACCGCTGTATCTGCTATAACGCTTGTGCGCAGCTTGTGGCGCATCGCATCCAACGACTCAAACCCTCGTCGTGCAGCCATTGCTATGCTAATCTCTACATCCCCATCCACAACATCTGGTTCATCGCCGGGAGTAATGACATGATTCGTGACGACTGCATGTTCAAAATTGCCCAGTTTACACGGTCCATACGTTTCACTGCCCCGTGGATGCTGAAAGAAGATGTTCTCCGGTTCAATCGCACGATGCAAAATCGGATTCCAATCTTGATCCACCGGTAGCCATTGTCGCTCCTCTCCAGCCGGCGCCTTTGTATCTAGGAAGAGTCGCTTTCCATCGTGGAGATATGTAATGGCGTTGAGAAGCGACGTCAGGACATGCCAGCAGAGTGACTCGGGGAGATAGAAATCAGGAGACCCGCGTGGCATATAGTCGAAGAGAGCACTGAGGTTTCCAGCATCGCAATAGTCCCACACGATGTAATTCTTTGGACGACTAAGCTGAGGGTCTTCAGCTGCCGGAGCGGCAGTAACAACGGAATTGGTCTTTATATGGCCGGCGATGGAGATGATGTTTTCATGATTGAAGATTTGAGCAATGGCAGGACCCTGGTTAGAGTCGTAAATCAAGTCGTGAAATGCTGCAGACTCTTGCCTCCTGGCCTCATCGGTGGTTTCCTGGCCAGATCCATCGAGAACTTCGAGCGGCTGGGCAATGTATTTCGGGGAGCCGTAGTCGTTCCTCTTGGCGGCAAACCAGATACCCTGTTCAGTTTTGTAGAGGAGCTCAAAGTCGGACGTGTTGGAGTCGTTTATGAATGGCATTTTCAGTGTTCAACCGACGTAATGAATACATATAATTGACAATCATACAATATGGAAAAGCGAGGTGCCGAAAGTAAGAACCGAGGTGAATTGAAGAGGAGCCAGTATTGAATTCATGTAGTTTGTTCATGCTAAATATATATCTTGCAGGTATGAATCATTAACACAATGGCAGGATATTGTCTACAAAATTGCTTTGTCTACTAAAGCACCTTTTACTGAAAGCTTCCATCTTTGTTAATTCCGGCAACATCCGTGCTTCATGTTCTTTGACTCAACGCCTCATTGTTCCGTTTGCCACAACGACATGTTCCATGCTCTTTATACTGTTAATCATCCGAGCAAACACATGTTCATGTTCATTCTGTCGATTTCCGTCTCTGAACATCGCCACTTTACAGCAAGGTGAATGTCGCCAAGCACTCTCGTAGCGACATAAAAAGCCATGGACTTGCTGCTTCTTGATCCGTTCTTGATCTTGCTCAAGACCAATTCTGCTCTACTATCTTGTCATCATCATGGAGCCGATTGTGTACACCATCGCCGGAGATGGGGATACAATCCTCGTCCTCGAAAACGCCAACCGGCCCATCGGAGCACAAAAAGACGACCCAGTGTGGGAGAATGCGCTACCAGATGTGTTGGTCGAGGAACCGCAACTTGACGACTTCAAGGTGAGAGCTCATGTATCAGAGGACGCTAACAGCCAACGAGAAATCTGGGTGCTGCTTTCATCAAAGAAGCTCGCACTTGCATCGCCAATCTGCAAGCAAATGGAGCCCAACAACCAGCCAGAGATTCGACCATTCAATTTTACGTACAAGTATCTCCTCGTCGCCCGACACTGGGATGAGAAGGCATGGAAATGGTGATGAATATAATTCACGGCAAAACAGCCAACCTCCCCGAAAAGACTAGCCTGGAAATACTTGCTAACATCTCCGTCATCGTTGATCACTTTCAATGCCACCAGACAGTAAAGCCTTTTGCGGACAAGTGGATTGCTCGTCTGAAGGAGCCCTATCCCACCTGTTACGGGCGGAATCTCGTGCTTAGACTCTACATATCTTGGGTGTTTCTGGACAGCCTCGACTTTGCCGCCTTTACGAAGATAATCATACGAGAAAGCAGGGGCCCCGTGCACACGCTGGGTTTGCCGATACCAAATAGCATCATCAGTAAGTTTAATGTTTCCTGGTTTTACACACGGGCCCAGATGCATGTAGTGTCGCATCATCAGTCAGACAACTAACTGTTTCGTTTCATAGCCGGTATTGATAACGAGAGACAGCGCCTCATTGATAAACTGTTTTACGATCTCTACGGATTGAAGAAGAAACTATCGGAAGAGTCGCGCATCTGCTCATCCGTCTATCCCTCTCACACCACCGTTGGCTGTGCTACGATTCTGCCCGATGCTCTCGTGGAAGGCATGAGAGATGTTGGCCTCACATCGCCCCCACAGAAACCATTCGACGGGTATAGCATCGTGGCCCTTGAAAAGGCTCTGCGCGGGTTTCAACAACCCGGCCTGGCGACCTTGATGTGGTCATGCGAACTCCATGGCTCCAAGATCTTTCTCCCCGCAGAAGTCTGTGCGGTGCTCAGCAAGCAGCAGTTTGAGAACATGGAGGGTCTGGAGGTGTACAAGTTCCATCGCTATTAGCGCGCTGGGGAATGATGACATGGGTTGCGACCTTTTGTCGGCCAGGGTTTACTTGTTGTTTCCAGCTCTAGTCATTTGATGTTTGCAGTTGTGTCCGGTTTTACCTGTTGGTTGCTTAGTACAGTATTGAGGCAGCTCATCCAAGGGTGATGCCAAATATATAGCCTAAAATGCCTGATTTCATTCCATCCAATTCAATCAAACCCACCGCCACGGAGCGGATGTCATGGCGTGTTTCAAAGCGACGGTGCTGAAAGCCGTGCAGACCGATAGTCGCCTTTGTATCATGGATGCCTCTCGAGCTTATCGCGGGAGGTTCGTCGTCAATGTGATGAAGGGAATTAGTTGGATGAACCTAGCGCGGCCTGTGACATTCAGATAAATTACCCGCCCATCTTTGCGTTATTATCTCGACCATACTAATGGATGCAATATTACCTGTACCCGTACCCCACGTTTGAAGACAAGGATCTACGAGTACTATCCCATCTCTCCAATTCAATTCTGTTCTGTTTTTATCAACTCGATGGCCCTTGACGGGGAAACGACCCCAAGCACGAGGCCAAGCGCTGCTGATTGTTTATTGTTTCCGCTTCCCTCCCCCCTTGGCATCAAAACCGACAGCCCGCGGCCCAACCGAACCAGCTGCACGGCACGCACCTCGTCCGGTTTGACAACGTTTGGGCGCTTGAGGCACGCGGAATGCGAAACAACTGGACACAACCGAGCAGCTGCAGGGGTTTTCGCGAGGCCAATCACGGCCCAGAGGTGCCTGAGCGTCCGCTGATATGCTGAAGCGATCGGCCAGTGAGCGGCGCCTGCAGGGGGGGTTTCAAGATGCCTCTTTGGGGGGGAAGCGGGCTTGCCGCTAGAAGGGGACCAGGGATGTTTGATGTTGCATTGATGAGATGGGATTGATGGGGATGAAGCGGTTTTTGGAGATGAAGATGGAGGGTTTCGCGGGATAACCTAGGCCCTGCTGTACTATGTCCTTACCCGCGGATAGGACATTGATCCATGCAAGAGTATTCAATGTTGTACAAGTGATATATGCTGGGGGATGGTTATCACCGCTGTACTCGTAGATCAATGTTGATGCCCTCCATCTCAGCTTCGCTACGACTCCAAGTTTGCCTTTGATGGTTCCCTGTTATCTACTAGGCCTACGGGGTATATACTAGATAATATACAAGCAGCATGAGCACGAGTGTGATTGATGCAAGGTGCAGCTGCACTAGCAGTAGCGACTAGAGTGTTGAATCACCCATTTCATCTCATCTCACTCACTCACTTGATTCATTAGAGAACAGATCCATTGATAGTACTAGGTAGCAATAGCACCTTGGCAGAATAAGAACAATGCCCACCGCCCAGAGTAGTACATCAATACAATCTATCCATCAACGATATCCCCAAGCATCCGCCTCCCCCAAAACAAGACCAGCATCTCTCGTCCAAACAATCGTCGCTCCTTTGCCGCTGTCATATCCGGAAACGAACCTCATTGCCCAACCCCCAGCCATCTTGACACACGCTCAAGGGGCGAATCTGCGACGCCAAGCAAGGCCCGCCTGCAAACCACTCCCTCCCGCGGGCCTCTCTTTTAGCTCTGGCCGTTTGCCTTCCTTCGCCCTTCCCGCTCTTGTTTTTGCTGCACGCTTCGCTGGCCGATCGCAATTCGCCTCTTTTCTTCTTCTTCTATTCTTTTCGACGGGGACCTGCAGGTGGGCGGCGCGTGCGCGGGTGTATTCTAGCGCCTATTCGTGAGGTGAGCCGCTTGTGAAGCGCTTCTCTCTGTTGTGTGCCCACACATGCCGGCCCTTTTGTCGCCTTTCTTTTTCTTCTCGAGGACGCCGGTCGTTTTCCTTTCAGATTCTCGGTGACACTACATCGCCGGTTTCGTCGCTCTTTTTTTTCCTTCTTTTTTTTTCCTTTTCAAGAGAGCGCCGTCGGAACTTCGCAGGCGAGGGACGACGAGTGCTATCGGCAGGACCGTACAAACCAACACTCTCTACGCTTCGACTTCTTTGACTTGTTGTTTTCTTTGTTTGTTCTTTGCATTCTCTTTCGTTTTGCTTTTGGCCGTTTCGAATTCGCTCCGTCGCATATTCTTTCTTTGACCCGATTTGAACACCCCGCCGTTTGCCCATCCCGCATCGCCAAGATGGGTTGCCTCAGTCATCGCCGCAAGGAGACACGGCAATACACCGACCAGAAATGGGATTACATTAACCTCTCCGACTTCAAGGCCAAGGGCTGCGGTGCCGTCTTCGCATACGTCACCCTATGGATGGGCCTCATCATCTCCCTCACTGTCTACGGAGTCGACACCTTTACTGCCGTCCAATTGCTTGTCTTCAACCGATGGTCGTCCGAGATCGAGCCCGCCATTCCCTTTTCCGTTTCGAAATGGATCTTTTCTGTTTGCATCATCTTGTCCTTTGTCAACCTCGGATTCGAATGGATTCGTGCGGCTCGAAAGATTAAACGAGGAAACGTTGCCGAGGTCTATCTTGACAGTCTGGCTGTCCGCTGGGAGTCAATCCGTCTGGGGTCTGGCCAAGGCTTTAAGCGATTCCTTGTCTTTACCGAGCTCACCAAGAGTAAAAAGGGCGCCGAATACATTGCCCTGTTTACTTATTTTAGCTTTCAATGTATGTGCTAGCATTGCAATGAATCCCCCCTTGACTAGACTCATCTTTGCTAACTTATGCAGCCTGGATCCGAGTTCTATTCTGCACCAGTCCGCGACAAGTAGTCAATGCCTTGACTCTCAGATCGGTCTATCTCGCCAAGCTCGCCGTCAGCTCAGACTCAGTCGGGGGCTCTATTTCAGAATTCTTTGACAAGATCAAGACGCTTGCGCAACAGGACTTTCGCCAGGCTGCCATTCTAGGAGGCATGTGCTTCACACTGGTTGTCTGGGTCTTTTCGGCTTTATACTTGCTTTCCGCCGCCCTCTTCTACGTCTGCTTCCTCTTCCACTGGATTCCTCGCACCGACGGCGGCCTGACAGGATACTGTGAGCGAAAAGTCAACAGCGCTCTGCTCAAGATTGTAACCAAGACGGTCAACAAGGCGCTCGCCAAGGGGCAGGCAGACAGGATGAAGAGAGCCATGACCGAGAAAGGCGAGGCTCACCCAGACACATCGCTTCCTACTCTACCAAATGTCGGCATCTTCACACCACCGCAACAAGCCGGCGTCACTGCACCTTTGCCCGCCTACACGTCGAATCCAGGGACCCCGGTGGGAGACTTTAAGCGGCAAATGCCCCCACGGAGCATGACGGGAGCCTCAACCATGAGCTACTCTTCTCGGGCTCCATTGGTCAGTTCCGCTGCCGATATGGGATACACAAATAATACCAGATCAGCATCCCCCGAAGACATGCTCCCGGTCATGCCGTATCTGCAGAGGACTGGGACGGGGGACTCTATGAGAAGCACAGACATGAACCATATGCGTTCAGGTTCAAGTTCCTCATATGGTCAGCCGCGTTCACAAAGCCCTCCAGGCAATGGTCCTCGGCTGGATATGAGCCACATGCGGACTGGCTCAAACTCATATCGACAGCCGTTCTCTGAAAGCCCCGCGAGCATGGGTCCGGCGGCTGCATCGTCAATGTACGCGCCGTCGACAAGGTCAATTCCCTCGCGTATCACCGACCAGTATGGCAATCGTCAACAGATGCAAGACGATGCCCAATCTTTCCGAGGCCCGCCACCTAGGTCATATACTTTCAACAACGACATGCAAGACGATGCCCAGTCTTTCCGAGGCCCACCGCCCAGGTCATATACCTTCAACAATGAAGGTCGATCCAGCCCAGCACCGTCTGCTGCAGGATCATCTTACTCAAGAGCCCCTCGGCAACCCGTGAGAAGTGCGACAAGCCAAGTGCCCCTGCGTGGCATGCGGTTTACTCCTCAGAGGCAGATGACCGAGCCAATGTCTAGCCGTGCACCGGGAGACACTTTCTACAGCGGAAATGGATCACGGATGCCGCAACCTAGACAGCTGCTTCGTCAAAATTCCCAAGACTTTTACAATCCTCAGGCTCAAGCTCAAGCTCAATCTGGGTCAACATATGGATCAACATACGGATCAGCATATGCATACGATGTCGAGGCGCAGAACAATGGTAGATATTAGAGATAGAACTGCCTCTTAATCTGTCCGACAGGTTCGGAACTAAAAGTATTTTCTTTTCAACCGCGATTTGCATCATGAACTAGGACAAACGTAAAGGCGCAAGGATGGGCTGAGAAGGACAGCCGTGGGATCTGTACTATTAAGGAAATATACCCAAAATATCATGACTGGGTTCGAGGGATAGGTATTAGGATAATTGAGCATGAAAGATGATTGAAGCTTGTTGTATCAAGTCCATTGTGAAAGAAATCAATGAGTCAACAAGAGACATTTCCTCTCCTCGGTTACCGCAACACAAGATGATCTCGATACCTGCACAACAACAGTGAAGACAAGATACTGCTCCATGCCAACGTTGGCAGTCGAATGCGGGGGTCGCATCTCTAGACTTTTTAACCTTTGCATGAATTGTCAGCGCTAACATCCAGCAGACGAATGAGGGAAATGCGGCGCTTTTGCCGCACCTTGATTTGTCACCGTTGCCAATCTTGGTGCGTATGGAATCCGTCAAGGTGAGGAGGTTAAACTCAGTGAGGCGATTGTCTAGACAGTCGGGCGTCTGCCTTTCTAGAAGTCTCGAGTGGTTGCTCAAACTCACTGTCACTCTTCTTCTCATAATCACGGCTGCCGTGACAAGGCATGCTGCTCAGCCAAATCATCTCGTATAACCTCTCACAGCTGCTCTTGTTGCCAAACGCCCCTCTCAGCGTCTTCACCACAAACGCCTCCATCGCAGTCGACGCCACAATGCCGTCTCTCGTGTCGACTTGGCATCCGGGCGAGGTCGCCATGCATCGTGAGCTGCGGACGCCTCGCCTCGAGAATCCCACGTCGGCGGGATGCCCAATGCCGTATGCCGTAAGAGTGATGCACTCGCAGCTCGTTGCGCTGGGAACCCTAGACGATGAGGGCAGGCCGTGGACGACTATCTGGGGCGGAGAGAGAGGCTTTGCTAGGCCGGTTGCCGAGGGTGTGCTTGGTGTTAAGAGCGCCGTGGATAAGCAGTACGATCCTGTGTTCAACGCTTTCTGGAAGTCTTCTGATGGGAAGAATGGCGGTCCTGACGAAGAGGGCATAGTGAGGCCTGAAGGAGGCAAGATGATGTCCGGTCTGTCCATTGATCTCGAGACTCGCGATCGCGTCAAGCTCGCAGGTCGACTCATTGCCGGCGCTGATATCAGCGGTGATGAAAGCGAAGTCCAGCTTGCGTTTCATGTGCAGGAGAGTCTCGGCAACTGCCCCAAGTATATCAATAAGAAGGCTCTTGAGAAGACCGTGCCTCAACCTGAATTGGTACCCGGAGGTCCCGGAGAGATATTACCGCCTGAAGCAATTGCTTTGATTGAAAAGGCAGACATGTTCTTCCTATCGAGCACCAATGGAGAGAGCATGGACACCAATCACAGAGGTGGACCGAGAGGGTTTATCAGAGTGTTGAAGAATGACGAGGATGGTGTTGAGCTAGTATATCCAGAGTGTAAGTTCTTTCACCCTAACCGTCCAACATGACTGAGAACTAACAAGAGTGTGACAATAAAAGATTCCGGAAACAGGCTATATCAATCACTAGGAAACCTCAAGGTGAATCCCCTCATTGGCATCGTCATCCCCGACTACGACACATCCGACGCCCTCTATCTCACCGGCCACTCCACCATCCTCCTCGGCAAGCAAGCCTCCGACCTCATCTCCCGCTCCAACATGGCCGTCAAAATCACAATCTCCGCTTCCCACCTCGTCAAGTCCAGCCTCCCCTTCCGCGGCACCCCCAACGAACCATCCCCATACAATCCTCCCGTGCGATATCTCCTCTCCGAGAAAGCACCAGCTCTTGCTCCCACAGACCGCCCCGACGTCAACGCCACTCTCGTCGCAAGGGACATTCTCACACCCACAATCGCCGTCTTCACATTCAAGCTCGAGACAAGAGACGTAAAGGGCCTCCCCCAGTGGCAACCCGGCCACCACGTCACCATCAACTTTGAAATGGAAGTCAGCGGTGGTTACGCCCACATGAACGACCAAGACCCCCAAAGCCTCAACGACGACTACGTCCGCACATTCACCGTCTCCAGCCCTCCCAATTCTCTCCCTCAAAAGGACCATTTCCAAGTCACAGCGCGTCTCCATGGTCCAGTGACGAATTTCCTCTGGAGGCATAACCTCCGCGTCCCTCTCGATCTCTCCGTCATGGGTTTCGGCGGCAAAGAATCCTTTGCACTACCCGTTTCCGCGCCATTCAAGGAACCCATCTATGTTGCCGGCGGCGTAGGCATCACGCCCATCCTCGCACAAGCAAAAGCTGTCCTCGACGCTTCTGTTCCATTGAAGTTGCTATGGACACTGCGCGGCGAGGATCTCCCTCTTGCAATCCATACGTTCGATCAAATCCCTGGTCTGGCAGAGAAGACCACTTTGTATGCTACGGGATCGCTTTCTGAGGAAGATGCGGAGAAGATGCTTGAGAAGATTCGTGAACGGGGTGCGACGGTGCACGAGCGACGGATTAGGGCTGATGATTTGGGGGAGATGAAGAATGGAGGGAAGAAGTTTTATTTATGTACGGGAGCTGGGCTTTTGACGTCGTTGAGGGGTTGGTTGGACGGCGAAGACGTGGTTTGGGAGGATTTTGGATATTGAATGGATTGGGATGTAGGGAAAGGCTTAGGGTTTGTCTGTGGAAATCATAGTTTTTCTTTTCTAGCATTATTGAACAATCACAGCTCTCACTGTCATTACTTGATTGAGCACACGCTACTCTCGCCTTATAAGGCTAGATTCATCTTGCCGGATGTAAAGAAGAGCCTTATGATCATTCCATTATTCATTCGCTTGTTGTTGCTCTCTGTAAGGAGGTGGAAGATGTATCTCGATCGCTTCGTCGTAGTAGTGGATGATGTGCTTTCGGAAGATAGCCTAGCAGAAGGGTAAATTCAGCATGTATTAAAAGCACAGTGATTTGCTTCGATGGATGTAGAGAGGAAGGGGTCACTGCAAAAATTGGCCTCATGGAAAGCTTCCAAGTAGATGGCTGGAGGAATAGTCGAGGAAATATCTTAATAGGATAGCTATAAAGAAGATGGGGGAATAGAGGGTCCGTAACCCATTATGCCACTGTGATTCAGGAGGCAAAGCAGCTGGGGTTCAATCAGATGCATCCGTCGTATGAATAGAGACGTAGGAAATCGACATGATGGGAGTTGTCCTTGTAAACAAATATAGTTGAGGTACCGACAGTGCCAGCCGGTCAAATCACGGCAGGCCGCTCCGGTAATCAATGGAGGAGGAGAATATGAACTTTCCACATTCTCAAACATCATGACGGTGTTATTCTTCTTGTGAATGAGCCCAACAACCCCTTCTCAGTGAAGACGAAGAGTGGTTTCATTGCCGGGTTGTGGTTTTGTCTCGCGACTATGAGGGTAAACAGCAGTGGCAACAGAACAAACAAGATAAAATGATGATAAATCATAAGAAAGAAATAAAAAAAGGTCTAGACTGGCCGAGAGAAGATGTGAATACATCTAATCTGACTACCGGAGAAGCTAAACGATTTAGATGATTGTTGGCTTGCATAGGAGAACCTGATTTAGCATGGGGAAGACCCTCCTTATGCTGACCACTGTGGAGAAGCTTCATGAATCCTACTACTACATGGTTACGGTTGCGGTAGTAGCATCACGATGAGGGAGGTAGTTATCTTCACAGTGTGTGTACAAACATGTGCTTGAGTAATTTGGGTATTATACATGGCCCAATGAAGATAGTATTTCATTGGCTTGTAAATTATAGTCTCAACTCACAACAAACAAAGCATCGTGTAGATCAGGAAGAGAGATACGAAAATCTTTGCCAATTAGTACAGAACTTGTTTGGGACTTGCCGTAGATACACAGCTGCTAATGCCGAGGGTTGGAAAGCCGCTCACCGTCTCACTGGCGGAAGTGGTGCAATAAAATTACGCCTTCTTAGGACCACCACGTACGCTCATGCAGGGAGATTTAAAATGACTTGAAACAAATTATTAGAGGGGCCGTTGATACCAATTGTCTCCTTATGGCATCTTCCCCGTACGGCTTGTTTTCAACGACGAGGCTTTATCAGCTTTGACCGCCGTAGCGACCTCAACGGGCACCATCTTGACTGCATATACGCGTATTTCTTGGTGCAGTCGCTAACCAATACGAGCCGTACCGGCTAGAGACTTGGAACATTTCGTCGACTTTGAAAATAAAGAAGCAATTGATTGGACAAGACCTGGTTCGGCATTGAAGGAGCTGATGTGGGTGTTGGTGAATACGCGTATATGCGGGTGCCGCATTCGTATTCGGGAGGCCCATGCTTGACACAGCGGCTGGGTAACGTTATCCGGCTATGTGAACAGTAGATCTGGATGGTTGATAATGTAAGCAGATAGATATCTAGAAGATGGGAGCAAACGTCTACAAGTATAAGAGACTGCACTTCTGTTTGCTCTGGTTCCAGCCATACTCGGATCACCCATACAACACCACTCTCTCTTTGAAACCTTCCATCCCTTCTTCACTTACCAATACCAAAAAAACACCCGCCAAAATGGTCAACTCAACAAGTCAGGCTCTTCTTCCGGCCGACCAGGCCAGGAACATGGCCTTTGACAAGATCTTGCACAAAAACTCGTCGACATCTCAGGGTGGTCTTCGTGCCATGATCAACAAAGACAACGAAGCACACAAAGCTGCCGTCGTTGAATACTTTCAACACTGGGATGACAAAAAAGCCGAAGACGAGACTGAAGACGTTCGACAATCCCGAGTCATTGACTATGCTAGTTTGACAAGACAGTATGGAAGCATCTCTGTTTACGTCTTCTTCTATTCTGGGTGGCAGGTTACTAACTCGGGACACACTGGCAGATACTACAACTTGGCGACCGACCTATACGAATATGGCTGGGGTGAGGCATTTCACTTTTGTAGATTTGCTTATGGAGAGACCTTCAAGTCAGCCGTGAACCGACACGAACATTATCTGGCAAGCAGCATTGGCATCAAGCCTGGAATGCGGGTGCTGGATGTCGGATGTGGTGTTGGCGGACCGGCACGAGAAATCGTCAAGTTCACAGGATGCCACGTCACCGGCTTAAACATCAACTCCTACCAAATCAGCCGAGCCAAGCAGTATGCTGTAAAAGAAGGGCTTACCCATAAGCTGGATTTTGTTCAAGGAGATTTCATGGTTAGTATTTCAATCTCTAGAGAAATCAGATGAAGTCAACTTGAACTAACCCAATCCCCAACAGAATTTGCCATTCCCCGACGACTCGTTCGATGCCGTATACGTAATCGAAGCCACCGTCCACGCACCGTCGCTGGAGAGTGCCTACAGAGAAATCTTCCGTGTCCTCAAGCCAGGAGGCGTCTTTGGCGTCTATGAATGGTTCATGACAGACGCCTACAACAACGATGACATGACCCATCGCCAAATCCGTCTCAACATTGAGCAAGGCGACGGCATTGCCCAGATGCTCAAAGTCGAAGACGGCCTCGCCGCCATCCAGGCCGCAGGCTTCACGCTTGAAACCCACTACGACCTCGCTGAGGACGACAGCAACGATACAAGTGTTGCTCCGTGGTATTGGCCTCTGGGAACAGATCTTCGCTATGCTCAGACGCTTTTGGACGTGCTGACAGTCTTGAGGATGAACCGGTTCGGCAGGGAGGTATCTCATGCTTTCATTTCTTTGCTAGAGCTGCTCCAGATTGCTCCGGCAGGGACCAGAAAGACGGCTCAGAGTCTTGGAAAGGCGGCTGATGCGTTGGTTGAGGGAGGGAAGAAGAAGTTGTTTACGCCGATGTATCTCATGGTTGGCCGCAAGCCTGAATTTTAATTATTTGCTAAAGAACTTGGTAGTGTTCTTCTCAAGATATGTTTATTAATTTACATTTTATTTTCGCAACTGTATGTTCATGTTTGTCGAGTGCTGTTAATTGGGACTTCGCAATACCAAGGCCCCGACGCAACGTAACTCACAAGAGTATGATAATTGTCAATCATTGTAACATAGTGCAAATGAATATTAATTGCAAAGTTTGTATACAAGAGTTGTGTTACTTCTTCAGTTCCGTGCTACCGAAGATCGCAATCGTATCAAGTTACAACGGCACATGACTTGGCATCTTGTTTTAGATTACAGGTAACTAACCCTTGCATTTTTTTTTTCTGGCGCAAACACGCGCCGAATCGCGTGTTCGATTTCAGACCAGACTTCACTTTCCGTTACCCTTTCACATCTCGCAATCGATTTGCTACCAGAATGATGTATGGCCGATTGGTAGCAGAAAACCATTGAAGCCCCACGTATAAGCCGAAAGCCTCCGCAATACACGTATTCACCGCGGCTCTTTTCGCATAGCTACATGAGCAAAACACAATTATTTTGCTACACTCGATTTCCTGCATTCCACACATCAGCCAACATTATCCGGCAGCATGCGTTTGTTAAAGACTGATACGCTTGAGTTTCGAGACTTTGACTATGGCAACATTCCGGAGTACGCCATCTTGTCACATCGATGGGGCAGCGAAGAGCTTACCCTCCAGGAGTTGGAAGCAGGCGTAACTAACAAGCAAGGATACAAAAAAGTGCAGCAGTTCTGCTCAAGAGCCAAAGCTGACGGGTTCGATTATGGCTGGGTTGACACGTGCTGCATAAACAAGGCGAGCAGCGCGGAGTTGTCAGAGGCCATCAATTCCATGTACCTCTGGTATTACCAAGCTGAGAGGTGCTACGCCTATCTCGTGGATGTCCCATCAAAGTCCAATATTGAAAATAGCGAGTGGTTTGCCAGAGGATGGACTCTGCAAGAGCTCGTTGCGCCCTCGGAGGTTTACTTTGTTGATGAGCATTGGAATGACTTGGGAACAAAGAAAGACCTGCAACAAGTCGTGTCTAAGTGCACTGGTATACCCATCAGCATCCTCTCAGGCGATGACGATCTTGAAACAGCCAGCATTGCACAGAGAATGTCATGGGCTGCCAACCGAAAGACACAAAGGCTTGAAGATCGGGCTTACAGTTTGATGGGAATCTTTGGCATCAACATGCCTTTGCTGTATGGAGAAGGCGAGCGAGCCTTCATTAGACTGCAGGAGGAAATTATGAAAGTCTCGGATGATCATAGTATTTTTGCATGGGAATATTCCGACAATCGTGGCGGACTACTGGCAACTTCCCCCGAGGCGTTCAGAAACTCCAAAAACATCATTCCGTTCAATCACTTCAATGATCATAACGATGCTTCGACCGTAAGCAGTCGAGGAGTCCATTTAAGTGCCCGTTTTATGGGTATAGGCCCCCGAGGATTGGGTCTCGCGATTCTTCATTGCAAACAGCGGGGTGTGGAAGATAGGCCGATTGCCATTTACGTCAGAGACTTATTTGGCACAATGCAGACATTTGAAAGAGTCAGATGCGAAAAGCTGGAACAGCTTGATCTGAGAAAATTTAGATCCTCACAGTATCCAATGAGAAATCTATGCGTCCAAACGGGGAGAATGACGCCTATTCGCAGATCTAAGAACCTTGGGAAGAATGGTAACACTAACCAATACGATATTTACGACAATGACACCCTGGAGCAACTGATAAGTCTTTCGGATCCAGCAGCTTTATTACGCGCTGCCGAATCCGGATCTGAAGATCGCGTATGGCTGCTACTGACACGGGATGACGTTATGATCGACTGGATGGATGAGCGCAAAGAGTATGCCTTGTTGCGCGCAATAGATGGCGGTCATGAGAACATTGTCAAGATACTACTTGCTCGTGGTGCCAATTCTGGCTACATTGCCGGCACATTTAGGACACCCTTGTTGTTTGCAGTCCAAAGAGAAAACAAGTCAATAGTCAAGCTACTACTTGATAACGGGGCCAAGGTCGACTTCAAAGATGAAAAGCTTGTGGAGACACCGTTGCTAACAGCGGCCGAAAAGGGGCTTGAGGATATTGTTGAACTTCTGCTGGACAAAGGCGCCGACATCAACTCTTGTGATCGGCCCAGTAATACGCCGCTGCGGGTAGCTTCCAAGGCAGGGCATTATGGTATGGTCAGGCTGTTGCTTGACAATGGCGCCAGAGTTGACTTTACACATTCCCGCTACCAACACACGCCGCTACAAGAAGCCGCCGCATGGGGACACGAGAGCGTTGTCGAGCTGCTGCTGGAATGGGGCGCCGATATTAACTCACAAGACGCCAGGGGCCGGTCGCCGCTCTACTTGGCCTCTTCAGGTGGGCATGAGAATATTGTTAGGCTACTCGTTGAAAGGGGAGCCGAGGTCGATGAGAAAGTCAAGATGCCATCCTCGGGATATGAGACTGTTAACAAGGTATTGCAAGATAAAGATATAGATTCGGGGGCTAAGCCAAAGAAAAAGACATCAGGAAATTTTTCCATTAATCTCTTCAAGAAGACTTGAAAGAGTGTAACTAAGTTTTAGTTGGCTAGAATACCGTCTAGCTAAATGGCGGAACGTATGGGGCAGATTGGATAGCAAGACGCAATTTCAGGTGATACTCTATCGCATCTTCATCGTGCAAGTCATCTTGATTCCAACACGCCTCCACAAGCTCCCGCAACAGCCTCATATTGAACGACCGTGGTTCCTCTCCAGCTCTGTTCAATATTTGCAGAGCCGTCATTCGCTGAGCATCGTCCCTGGCCTCACAAGATATCATGAAGACGGGCCACGGAGGTATATAAGTCAAGTCGCCGCATAGCATATCCAGTCCTCTGTTCACGAGGTTTTTGTGGCGAAACTCCTCGCCGGAATAGCCCAGTGCCGCTCGGTTAAGGTAGATCAAGGCGGCAATTCGGTAGAGTTCCGTGATCTTGTCGCGATTTCGGGTGAGCGCAGTTGATGGAACATCTATTGGAGGGGACTCCATAAGACCAGCTCGTAATTTCGCTTCCAACACGTAGAGCTCCTGCATTTGCAAAGGGGCAAGATCGATGTGGTCGACAATTTTCTGCATGAGAGCCGAGAATATAGCCGATGTGTACCCAAGGACTTTGCTATCGCACCCGAAATCATTCTATCATGAGTTAACATCTGACACAAGTATCGTATTTGTTTGGATCTGGCAAACATACCCGCGGAACATAGATCCGAGCAGCCGCAGGATCCATTGCACACAACCTCATCCCTCGCATGGCCGCTTCCGCCTTCCAGTAGACTATGCCAAACCTAGCAAAGATCTCATGGTAAGCAACCCAGTCAAAGAGTAGAGAGATATCGCCGCGGACTTCTTGGGCTAATACGCCCGAAACAATGATTTGCTTAGCACCGCATAGGTATTCGGCCCAGTCTTTGGTGGTGCTGGAGATTTGAAACGTCTATCCACACGGCGAATCAGTAAACAGCTTAATTTTCTTATACGCCAAGATACCCTTCTTACTTCGCAAAGATACAAGAGCATACTAGCCATGAGATGTTGAGCAGTTCGATGGCCAAAGTTCCCTAGGCGCAATGATTGTTGGAGATATGACAGCGCTTTTATCTTCATTACCATTGCTGCACCAGCTCGGTCTAAATTAAAGGACGATAGAGCCAGTAAGCTGTATAATATCGCATTGGAGGCCGGTGTAGCGTCGTAGAAGGCAAGTCGTAGAATGTAATCGGTCAATTGGCCCAGGTTATCCAATATCAGAAGGCGAGAACCCGTGTCCATAACTAGACCAATTATTAATAAATTGAAAAAAATAGCAGTCATCCATCTACTCACAGTACTGCAATAATCCGGATTCATTCTCATGTATCCTCATAGAATGAATCGAAGGAGGGGCTGGCGGAATGGTCATTTTGGCAAACGTGAGTTCTTTTCGATAGAGGTTAGCAAACAACTGGGTAAAGGAGCAAAAGACTCTTACGGTTCGATTTGGCCTCTGATAGCTCGTAAAACCTTTCCACATCCCAACTAGTCATATTGAGAAACAGACTGTGCTGATACAGCGCGGCAAGCATGTGCTTCTTTTGCTTTGCGGTCGATTTAAGCTCAACAGCTCGCCGTTTATCTCCGTTCCGGGGCCATGAAAGCCTCATGCCGTACCCCTGACACCGCACGTCTTTATACCGGCAATTCGCACATGTCGGGAGCGTTCGATCGCACTTAATCTTGCGATCTACCTATTTCTTAGCCTGTGATGAATCTTAAAGGTAAGGAACCGATTGGCTATCTACCTCGACAAGTCCAGCAGCCTTTGAGAGCCATGTTGACGCCTGTGGGTCTCGATCAAGATGGCTTGCGTATGATAGGATCGACGAAAGTTTCCAACGCTGCAATTCGCTTTTCGTATGAGAATCCTAGCACTCTAGGATGATGAAGTTGTTCGCAGATAGTTTCCTTGAAGCATAGGTAGGAAACGGCGAAAGTTGCCTTGGCTATCTATCAAGCGAATGAAGCGCCAGTTATAAGTGAATCAGCGGAGCAAACGGCTCAACTCTGTGATCCGTAAGCGATGTAACAAGGGTTCTGGAAGTGATTTATTCAATTACCGCATGATTAACATGAACCTAACAAGAAGATGAGTTGTGACAGAGAAGTAAAAGTTAACGTTTGCTAAGATACAAAGTATTCAGCTTTGTCTCAGAGCATTTGGCTATATTTAGACTTTGACTATTCCGTATTAGTTCCGCAAATTCTTGCCTTGAGTTATTAACTACCAATCATGATTGATTATTAAGATTCGGTACGCATTTCTACCCTAGCAGATACACCAAATACGAAGACGGCTTACATTAGTAAGCGATTATTTCGGCATAGTCTTGTAAACCTGCCTTGACAACGGGCTGCTTTTCTCTGATTACACTTAAACCTCGTCGTCCGTTTCGTAGAAAGAGATCAGGTGATGGGTTTTATTTGAAGTGGGATGATTCAAAGTAAACTATGAAAGATTGTCTCATGAAGATTATTACTAAACTCTCTTGGATCTTAATTGTCTAGGGCAGATGTGAATGCATCACGAGATAGAGCCACTTGTACTTCGAGTCTGAAATAACGAGGCAAGTCAGCTATGGAAGAGCTTTCACGCTTACTCGTTTCTGTGGATAATAGGCACAGAAGAGACGGTTATTCTAGAAGGAATCAGGACAGATGCTGTCTGAGAGATATAGCTCATTCGAAGACTTGTCTCAAAGAGTAGTCATTCCACTTATTCCACTGGTCTTCATTATTTGTGCCCAACAAGGAGCATTGAATGCGACACTTGCTACCAAACGGTATGATTGAAGCCACAGTATATACAACAAGATGGCAAAGATGACTGCCTGTGATTATCTTGATTCACATTTCTCCTCTCAGCTACTACCTTTCGGTGATTGCCCATAAAAACCGCAGACAATGACTCCGCTTTCTTTTGAGATTATTGGCTTACTAAAAACGGCTAAAGCTTCGAAGCATTCTATAAATAATCTCCATATCTTCCATCCGGACGATTGATAGCTTCGCCAACACGTGCCATTTGTAGCCAGAGTCCACATATGTCCAATGTTCAAACAGGTTGCTACAACTTTGAGAACCATGGAATTTGGTATAGTAAACTAAGATTGATGTATCGTATTACGCTGGTAATGTATTAGTGTCTGTCGAGTGTTTGATGTTGTGCCCATATGGGACTCATTCTCCAGTGGACTCAACTAAGCCGACACAACACCCAATTCATACTATGAAATCAAGCCCTATAATGCCTATTTCACATCTTCATATATACTGTTTATGCAACTCTTCATTCCATGGGGCCTGTAAAGCTTATGAAGTTTTTCATTGTGGATCCCGAAGAATACATGCATGGGAGACGCATATGTCAATACCCACAGTCAGCAACGTATCATCAACCACACTTTAATGTTATGACTAGTCTAATCACTGCTGTTACCTTGTCGACTTACTTACTTCAATTACTTATTTGTTTAATAATGTTTCTCTTTTATATCTTATATCCGACCCCCGCGTCGCGAAGTAAATGGCACGACCTCGGCTATGATTCCGTTTTGCCGAATATTCATGAGGTCGGGTAATATATTTCCCCAACGTCAAAAACAGTATTAGCCGTTGTTGAAGATTGATGACTAATGCGGGGCAGATGAGGGGCAGCCAATATCGGAGCTGTGACGTTGAATATGTAAGCTGAGCTTGCTTCATAAAATCTCACAACTCACAAGCATCAGGTTCGCCTTTTTTTTTCTTATTTCCTATTTCCATGAGAATCTCAGAAGCAAGTTGCTGATTTAGCTCTTATATAAAGTGACGGCATCTCCTTCGCGATCAAGGAGATCCTCCTCGCCTTCATCATTCTGCTCAGATCTGTTCATTGTTTACCCCGCCATCTCTTTCTCGGGGCATCGCGAGGGGCAAAAAGTGTGCACACTTCTTTTCGTGTAAGACAGCAAAAATTCGCAACGATGGCGGCCACCACGGATCTGAACACCTACAAGTTCAACCACTCGATGTATGTTTTTTCGGATCGTTTGCATTTGCTGTATCAATTTTAGTTACTAACGAGCGCTCTAGGATTCGAGTCAAGGACCCCAAGGAGTCTGGTATGTGAAACCCATCATACTCTATCACTGTATCACCCATGACGCATTAAAGCCTCATGCTTACCCTGGTGTTGAATCAAGTGAAATTCTACGAGTTTCTCGGAATGAGCGTCATCCGCAAGGCCGAATTCCCTGAAGCCAAGTTTGATCTTTACTTCATGGGATACAACAGCAAAGGTGCGACTTCATTCGGAAACTCTTCTCTCGACCGCGAGGGAGTCATTGAGCTCACCCACAACTACGGCACTGAGAGCGACCCCAACTACACCATCAACAATGGAAACAAGGACCCTCACCGCGGATTTGGCCACACTTGCATTTCCGTCGACAACCTCCAGGCCGCTTGCCAGCGCATCGAGGATGCCGGCTACAAGTTCCAGAAGAAGCTGACCGAGGGACGAATGAACCACATTGCTTTTGCTTTGGATCCCGATGGATACTGGGTTGAGGTTATTGGCCAGAAGCCTCTTGAGGAGACTGCCAGCATCAAGGAGACTGATGTCGCTACCTATCGCATGGCAAGAATCACCTAAAACCCGAAACACTGCAGAATTGAGTTGCTAACTCTCATCAGAACCACACCATGATCCGTGTCAAGGATCCTCAAAAGTCCCTCAAGTTTTATCAGGAGGTCTTGGGCATGTCCCTCTTCAGAACCAGCGAGGCTCCCAACGCAGGATTCAACCTCTACTTCCTTGGCTATCCCGGCACCCAGGGTGTCCCCCAGGAAGGCAAGACCAGCGATCGTGAAGGTCTCCTTGAATTGACCTGGAACTATGGCACCGAAAAGGACGAAGCCTTTTCTTACCACAACGGCAACAGCGAACCTCAAGGCTTCGGCCACATCTGTAAGCAATTCCCCCGAGCCGCTGTTGAATGCGTTATCAGCTGACCTTTCTACTTTTAGGCGTTTCTGTAGATGACCTGGACGCTGCTTGCCAGCGGTTTGAGGACCTCAAGTGCAACTGGAAGAAGAGGCTGACGGATGGCCGCATGCGCAACGTTGCTTTCTTGCTGGACCCCGATGGATACTGGGTTGAGGTCGTCCAGAACGACAGATACAGCAACAAGTATGCTGTGTAAAGTCGGAATTGCAATGAGAGCTAGCCTTTGAATTGAGTTTCAACAAGTGAAGCGTAACATGGTTGCCCTGATGAGTAGACGATGCACTGCAATTGAGCCATATTTCACCCCAACTGGGCAATTGCACGTAATATCGACTTGCATATGCATGACCCACTAAGGCTGAACGTAGGAGCTAAAGGCGCAATAAATACATGTAGGCAGACGCTGGATGCCTCCAGACGAAGTTCTTTGTCGAAACAATTTCTCTTATCCTCGTTTCTGTTCGGAAATTTCCAAATGAGGCTATTAAACACAAAGTCGCTTGACCTCGAGATATTTCCTACCAACGAGGACATTCGCTATGCCATATTGTCCCATACTTGGCGGGAGGGGGAAGTGACCTTTGCAGACCTCCACCAACTCCAGAAGCGAACGCAAGCACGAGGATGGGACAAGATACGTCGAAGCTGCGAAATAGCTTCTGAACTGGGATTCGACTATATATGGGTTGACACGTGTTGCATTGACAAGACAAGCAGCGCGGAGCTATCGGAAGCCATCAACTCAATGTTCCACTGGTACGAGAAGGCCGAAGTGTGCATCGCCTATCTAGATGACTTCACCCCCGCAGCGGGTTCAGCAGTGGTAGACTCTGGTTTTGAGCAATGCCGCTGGTTTTTCAGAGGCTGGACGCTTCAAGAACTTATTGCTCCCCCAGAGTTGCGCTTCTACTCCAAAGAATGGAACTTTGTCGGCACAAGGACCTCTCTCAAGGCCATCATTGCGAAGACCTCGCGTGTCCCCGACATGATGCTTGAGGCGCACGTAAATGGCCAAAGACAAAGGCTCGACAACTTTTCGGTGGCGGAAAAGATGAGCTGGGCCGCCAACCGCAGGACTACTCGGCCGGAGGACATGTCCTACTGTTTGCTTGGAATCTTCGATATCAACATGCCTTTGCTTTATGGAGAGGGTCAGGGCAAGGCTTTTAGGAGACTCCAGGAAGATATTATCAAATCCACAAACGATGATTCTATTTACGCCTGGAGTTGTTCTGATGAACAGTCAAAGAAGCAGCATTTCTGGGGACTCTTGGCTGACACCCCATCGGCCTTTGGACAGCACAAGGAGGGTTTCGTGGTGAAGCGATCACGGTATGTATTTACACAAAATCTCTATCATGACGAAGCATCCCCAGAACTAACGGCCTGTCTCAACTGCATAGATACCTTGCACGACGCTCAAATCATGCAGCCACAGTCTCCAACCGCGGTCTCAACGTGGAATTCGCGCTGGCGCCTCTTCTAAATGATAAATCAGACACCATCTTCATCGCCATGCTGGACTGCGACATGCAAAAAGAAAACTCCTCGCACGCGCTGACGCCGGCCATCATCCTCCAAAAGATGTCGTGGCACAGCGATTCCGAGTTTATCCGCATACGACCAGACTTCCTACTCGTGCAGCTTATGAATCGCATCATCTTGCCCACAGCCGACGACCTCGCTCAGATGCGTGACGGCCTCCGTCTTCCGGAAGCCGTTCCGCGACAGATATTCGTCCCGCATGGCCTGTCCACCCTGCGTGCTCCGCGGGGCATCTTGTTTCATCCCGCAGTCAAGGAGCCATCTCACTCTCTGAAGCCCAAAGATTCGCTTGTAGTTGACGTGCTCACGCAGCCCTCTGAATGGCTTTATTTTGACGAAAGATCGCACGATGGAAGCATAGCAAGCCCCGGGCAAGCGAACCACGACTTCTTCGACATACTATCATCGTTGCAGAGAGTGCAGTCATATGTGTTGAATTTCAAACCCTTCTCGGATCTAGGAGTTACAGAGCCCATGCAGCCAACGATCCTTGGGTCGTTAGAACTCGGAATTAAACAGCAGAGCGGATGGAACAGCTGGCATGTGTGTTTGGTAACGGGATTAGAGCCGCTCCCGCCAAACCCCTTTGGCACGCCATCTCTGTATACTGTGCCGTGGTATGCATTCGAGACGAAAGCCAAGGTCACAGCGGGAGAACTCGATGCGGTGTTGGACAAGAAGACGAGGCGGGGGTGGCATAGGCTGCTGGATGACATGGTACTGAGAGTCGATTTCGATCTCGAGAGTCGGCACTCGAGGTTGTATTACAATGCGGTGTTGAAGGTGGTTACGCCCTCAGAGAGATATGGTACAGATTGACGTATAGAGAGAGAGAAACGCATAACTCCTGGCCAAGTACATGAACTGTGGTGATCCACAGGGAAGTATTATACAATTCAATAAAAGATGCTCATAAATATCATCATCATAGCTCCTCCACGCCCAAGACAGTCATCTCCAGCCTCGTCAAAATCTCGTCCGGGACATCCAACGGCTTCTCCTCCGGCACCAGGCCTTTACTCACCAACTCATCCAGCGTAACATCAGGCTGCTCCTCAACCGCTTTCTTAAGCGCCCTCGCCCTCTCCGTCACATCCTCGATAGAAACAACCCACTCATCCGCCCATTTAGTGCTCAGAGTGCCCGGAATGCCAATCTGGATGCTCCGATGATGCAGCTGCTCGAGTTTTGCGTTCCTTTCCGGATCCCACTGGATCCTCACATCGGCAGGCTTCTCGTGCGCCGTCTTGTTGGTGCTCTCCTTGTCCACTCGTGCGTGCAACGCCGGATGAGTCGATAAGACGCCTTGCTCCAACAGACCCAGAAAATCTTCCCTTTTCATCTTGAGGGCGAGGATGCGGCTTTGGCCGTCGTCCTTGTAAGAGTATCCGGAGCGGTACATCATCCAGCACCAGCTGGGTTTGATCCAAGTCATGCGGCCGGGGCTGAAATCGGGCGAGGCGTTGAGTTTCTGGGCCCTGACGGCGGCATCGGCGATGGATGCTTTGTAGGCCTGGTAGACGATGATGTGGTTGTTGTCGTACGAGGCGCGGATCTGGCGGTAGGGGATTTGCGAGGGATAAGACATGGTGGATGTTGTGTTGTATATGGTTGCTTATTTACATGTATGGGATTCTCATTCGCAGATGGTGGGATTTGATTGATTGGCTATCTAGTAAAGTAGGCATTGTGTAAATGGATGTCGGGGCGATGAGGAAGCTTTTGTTTTATACGCAGTTGAAGCTATACAGTGCTGGATGCGGAGTTGAGGCTGATTGATGACTCTGGCATGACGACGGACGGCGATGAGTCTTTTGCCGATGCCTTTTCTGGTTCGTTTGTTTGATCGAGTCTAGGTCCAGACCGAGATTCATGCACATTTCCTTTTTGTACAGTGAAGAAGATTTAATTGCATTTGTCAGCGATATTGAATAGAAGTATAGCGATGAAGAGCTGATGTTATATACATGAAGCCGTCAAGTGGTGTTTCTTGTCGAAATCCCATCCATGGTACAATATAAATCCAGTGCAACAAATGTCCGCTTTGGGCCATTTTCAGGCTGACTCCTCCCCCTTCTAGGCCCCGCTCAAGGCATTAGATCACTAAAAACCTGAGACAGGCGTGACGCAACGGGCCTGTGCAGCTCCATCGAACAAAGAATGCCGAACCGCCATATGTATTTTTGACTTTTGCAACAACATTTCTTGAAATCTAATCTACAATAAATACTCTTTGCGGTGCTGCATTTCTAAAGTTTAACAAAGAAGGATATCTTCTTCTTTTTTGCCTTTTCCATCTCATACCTCTACTTCAAACTTCTTCTCGTGCCTGTACCTCATAACTCAGATGCATCCACCTACGTAGCCCCCCCGAAACGTTTCCGACTCAGGTACCCGATTCAAACCTCTGCAGCGCCCACAGCAGCAACCGCCAGTGTCTTCTGCCGTTACCGAGCTCTTCTCTCGTCTCTTCTTCTTCTCTCCCTCTTCTCCTTTTCCTCCTCCTATATTCTCTCTCTCTCTCCTTCAACCACCTGATCTCTCTCTCTCTCTCTCTCTCTCCCGCCTCTCTCCTCCAGGATCCACGTGCATGTCGCCCCCGGAAGCACCCGCAAGCCCAGCGCTTCCCGGCCCTGGATCTGAGCCTAGAGGCGCGGATGCCTCCGAGGTGACATGCATCCAAGACCCCTCGGTGGGGTTGGAGCCTGTTGCTGAGCCCGACAAGATCAAGGACGGGAACACGGACAACAAGAACAGCTTGACAACTCCAGCTCAAACTCAAGCTCATGCCGTTGCCGAGCCTGACTCTGACTCTGTTGCGGCCGATGCGAATCCAACCGCCTCTGCGAGCGAGCATCACGACGACGACGACGACGAAGACAAGCAAGACACACAGACTCGAGCTATGACGACAACGACGCCTCCCGTCAACCCTCCCTTCGGCGATTCCCCCAAAGAAGCAGCCGCTGATATCCATCTCCATACAAGCACCCCTAGCGCTCCCGGCGCAGACAACAGCAAGCCTCCTCAGCACTCTCCAGACTCACCGCTGGACATGGCCAGCGACGGGGCCGGCAGCAGACCGACAAATGCGGAGCTCGAGCAGGGCTCTGTCTCTGTCTCCGTCTCTGGCCCCGACTCTGTCCCCGACTCTGCCTCTGGCTCGGCATCAGGCACTGCCGAAGCCAGAGACAGCAGTTCCAGAGCCAAAGACAAAGCTCCCGCACGCGAGATTCACGATACGCACGAGACCATGGCTGAGCCCACAGACGCCATCTCTTCCTCCGTCCTCACCATCAAGGCCACCGTTGCGAGCCCGTCATCGCCGTCATCGCCCATGCAGCCTGACTACCCAACCACGCAGCTTCTCGTGCCCGAGCATCCCAACTATGTCGACCCAACTCCGCCCACGCCCATGGCCTCGCGCCCTCCCTCTCGCGCCCTCTCCACAGCCCGAAGCGACGACGCATCTCCCACCAGATCCGGTCCCGAGTCGGACGATAAGAGCGAGGATGACCAGGAAGGCTCACGGTCCGAGATTCAGAGCATCATGGAGCAGTTTAGCGAGTACGGAGGCGGCCCTGATGCCGATGAAGTCATGAGCCCGCGCCTGGAGATTGCTTCGCCCATGCTGGGATCTTCTCTGCAGCACCCGCCTCGAAAATCCAGTCTCGAGCCTCTGTCGCCCTCGCTTGCCAGCCAGCTTCAGGGACTCAACGCCCTACACATCTCGACGCCCGGCGACGACGACCACGGACCTCCTGTCCCCCCTAAAGACGGAGCCATGGGCACGCCTCCGAGACCCAAAGATGCACGACCTCTGCCCAACAGTGTCGCATCCCCAGCATCTCCTACCATATCCATGCACAGGCCGCCGCCTCCAGAGCCTGAACCCGAACCGTCCTTGCCCTTCGACTTCCACAGATTCTTGGAGCAGTTGCGGAACAAAAAGGCGGATCCCGTGGCGAGATATCTCAAGTCGTTCCTCTTCGAATTTGGGAAACGCCAGTGGATGGTGCACGAGCAGGTCAAGATCATTAGCGATTTCCTGGCCTTCATCGCCAACAAGATGTCGCTGTGTGAGGTATGGCGGGACGTGTCGGATGCAGAGTTCGATAACGCTAGAGAAGGCATGGAAAAGCTCGTCATGAATAGGCTCTACACACAAACCTTTTCACCAGCCATTCCGCCGCCCAAGCCGATACCTGGAGCGAAGCCTAGGCGGAGAGGAGGCGATCCTCCGCTGGGTCCTGGTCGGAGAGGTCAGCACCAGGAGGACGTCGAGCGAGACGACATTGTGACGCAGAAGATCAACATTTACGGCTGGGTTAAAGAGGACCATCTAGATATCCCACAAGTTGGGGAGAGCGGCAGGCGGTTTCTGAAACTAGCGCAACAAGGCGAGTCCCTCTACATACACATATGCACGCTGATCTACATTATGATGGATCTTATTGCTGACCATTCCATCAACCAGAACTCTTAAAGATCAAGTCATATAGAGCCCCCAGAGACAAGATAATTTGCGTCTTGAACTGCTGTAAAGTCATATTTGGTGAGTCGGTTCTTTCCCCTTCAGTCACCTCTCTTAGCTGACGTCTCGAGGCCTCCTGAAACACAACAAGTCCGACTCGTCAGCCGACTCCTTTATGCCATTGCTCATCTACGTCGTTCTCCAGTCGAATCCCGAGCACTTGGTTTCCAATGTTCAGTATATTCTGCGATTCAGAAATCAGGAGAAGCTCGGTGGCGAGGCCGGCTACTACCTCTCCTCTCTTGTAAGTAGGCGCTTTGCTTGAAGCCTCCCTCATCTTCGCACAGATTCTCACCCCCGTGGCAGATGGGTGCGGTCCAGTTCATTGAAAACATGGACCGAACCTCGCTCACCATCACCGATGACGAGTTTGAGAAGAACGTCGAGGCAGCCGTCTCCGCAATTGCAGAGAAGCACCAAGCAATGTCTCCAACAGGATCACGCCCACCACAGCAGATATTCAACGAAAAGTCTTCATATGCCGAGGCCCGTTCTTCTCTCGACGGCGCAAGCTCGTCTGCCCCACGTCGCTCATCAGACCAGAATGAAGTCGACCTCACCGCCCCCATCACCGGCCTCCTACGGACTATTCAGAATCCCCTCACCACTATCGGTCGCATGTTCTCAGACGATGGTGCATCATCAGCACCTCGGCCACCGCCACCGCCACCCATCGGCCGTCCCTTGGGGTTCCCTGAATCAGTTCCCCTGAGTACAGACGATCAACGAGACAGCGGTCGGCGCGATTCAAGATATGCTCTCCCCGCAGAGGAAGCAGCGGCTCGACAAGCCAGCGCCGAGGTGGCCGAGGCACAACGGCTGCACCGCGCTGAGCATGCCAACGTCGTAGAGACGCTGGCCGGCATGTTCCCGGATCTGGATAAGGACATAATTAGCGATGTGGTCTACCAAAAGGAGGGAAGGTATGTTTTTTTTTTCACTCCTCTTTATCCCTCCCCCTTCCATCAGCTACTGGGCTAACCTAGAGTGCTTCTGTATAGAGTTGGTTTGGCAGTCGATGCGTGCCTTGCTTTATCCTCGTAGCATATATATATCTCCCTAGAAAGGCGAAAGGCCTTTCAAACCTTTAATTAGATAGGTATGGGGCTTGGTTTTTGCACCATTGTACAACGGTATACATTGATTTATGTGACATACTTTTATTTTCCACCCCGTAATCTACCTTTCCTTCGCCTTTGTATGCTGGTAAATACATCACAGAGAGAGAAGTTGATGGGAAAATGCCTGCCATGATGTCAATTTTCATCTCCAAATTACAATCATGCATCCCATCTTTCGGTTACTAGGGCATTCTGAAATGTCAAGTATGGAGGACACGGCCTCTTAATCCAGGGTATTCCAGCAAAGACAAACAATACATAATAATAATCTTGATAAAAGAAAAAAAGCAAATCTATTCATCTCATTTAGTCCTCATGCATACAATGCCCCTCCCATCCCTCTATTCCCAAAGATCCATTTTTCTATCTCACCATTCGCTGCCTGACACAGCCTTTCTATACACAACATGGGGGCTGCGCATACAACGGTAGCCCACAACTTTCCGGGGAGGTGACACAAACGAAGGAGTAAAGCGAATGAATTATAAATACATAAAAGATGCTGCGGCTGATGTGACTCAAAAAGGACAAAAAAAAAGTACGACCTCCCGTAACCCTCCCTACCCTCATGACCTTCACCTCTGTTTGACAAGAAAGATCATGGTAGTTGTCCTGCATAGGATGGTGAAAGCATTTTAGTATCCAGAGTACTTTTGGTGGCCTACAAAGTCATAGGGGGACACTCCATCTCGTCCATCAGAGCTGTGGCCCCTGTAGTTGGCATGGCCATCATCAGAAGCGAAGCCTTGCGTGTAGTTGGGAGAAGCGTCTCCGGGCTGTCGGGAGCCAGTCAGGTCGCGAGACATGGCGTTCGGCGAAGGTCCCGAAGACAGAGCCGGGTGGTATGTCGACTCCGGTATGCTAGGGGCGTAATATCGGTCGCCCGCCTTCGAATAAGGGGGGAGGTTCTCCTCGTGATCATGTTCGGACGGGTAGGACGCCTCAAGATCTGCCTTTGACTTGATGAGCATCGTGTTGCGAGCATCAAGAGGCGTCAGATCATCTTGGTCTCCACGGAGTTTCTCTGCAAGCAGCTTGTTAGTCTGACCAAAAAAAAAAGGCACCACTCAAGATAGGTAGAAAATGGAAGGAGAGAAAAGAAGAAACTTACCCATCTCCTTTCTGCGCTTGCGGTGAGGGTTCATCTTGATGGCCGCATTGATAGCATTCCATCCGACGAGGAGTGCAAGCGCAACTGTCAGCGTTGACTGTATAGCAATCATGACGACGCCCATAACAGTCTGGGTCGTCTGCTGAACATTGAACTCCTCGACAAAGACAAAGACGCAAATGACGGATAACACGCGAACAATGGCAATGAAGATGTTGATGATGTTGCTGGAGCGGCGCTCAAAAGGACGGGTGAACACCAAGAGCGCCAGCATAGCTAGCTCGACGACAAAGCTGATGGCGGTCTGAGCCATGCCATGGCCATCGCCCGCCGCCACAATGCAGCCTTTGATAAATGTGTAGAGAATGACGGGCATAAACAGCCACCAATACGACTTTTTGTAGGCTTCGTAGAACATGGAGTACTTGAGCCAATTCTGCTTATCCTCGTACAATTTGGCGGCGTCACCATGCTGGGCCTTGAGCCTATGCGCTGTACTCCAGATTTTGAAGCCAAAGAACATGAGGACACCGGTGAAGATGCCAAGGGAGAGACCAGCCAGCAGTTTGGCCGCCCACGAGTCACCAAGAGTGAATTGGAACACGCAGTACAAAACCCAGATTCCGTAGAGGAGCAGGATGAGAGTCGTGATTGTTCGAGCAATGGACCTCCAGTAGTGCTTGCGGAATCCAGTAAGAGACTCCGGAAACTTGCCATACAGAGACCAGAATTCGAGAATGACTTTTACAAGCAGAATGCCTGTGACGACCGAGGCAATGACAATGGCAACAATGAGAAGTGCCGTCATGAAGACGTCCGACTTTGGAACGCTCACTGACTCGGCAAAGTTTTTGATGCCCGAAATTGTCTGGGTGACTTGGTCCGAAATGCTCTCTGTGCCATCGCCTTGACGGCGAACGAGCCTTGAAAGGCTGAGCTCAGTCGAATTGCCCGTGTCGTCGTCTTGTTCAAGCTGCATGGTAAGATTCCGAAGATAGGCCACGCTGTCTTCAGTAAGATTGCCACCAGTCTTGGCTCGAAAGTCATCAATGGAGTTCAACAGGCCATTCCACGGAATAAGGCCAACAGAGAATGCAAAGTTCTTTGCGAAGCTGCGGTAGATGGGTGGGTAGTTGACCGAGAGCATACCGCTCATGGCCATGCCTTGGAACCAGCCAGCCACATCCGTAAAGCTGGGGCCGGCGACTGCAACTCCCGCAGCACTGCTTCCAGACATGGCACCACCGACTGCAGACATGCCAGTGGCGACGAGGGAGACGCCAGCAATGCCCACGGCCACATATGAGACAGCAGGCACGCTCATAGTCTTGCCGTTGGTGACCTGAGCCTGTATACAAGCCACCATGCTGTTGTCATCGAGGCTGTTGAGCTTCATAACTGCCTCTGCAGAAATGTCTGGAACACTGAAAGCGATTCCTGGGATCATTGACGCATATTGAGCTGGAACCTGCTGAGTTCCACGAGCGACGAACTTGCCATTGGGCAAAGGGCACAGCTGTTCCACCAAGGTCTTTGGGTCACAGGGGTTGAAGCTGTTTGTGAATGCGCTTATGCCATAGGCTGTGACGTCGAGGGTTGCTGTAACATTCTGGCTGTTGGTGCTAGTGCCCTCGATGTCGAATGTGATGGTTTGGGCGTTATTGTCATAGGTCATGCTGAGTTCGCTAATCGTGATGGAAGGCAAGCTTCCACAGTCGACATAGCCAGTCGTCGTTAGGATCTGATCGCCCATGACTCCCGTCATCAACATTGCGCCCATGCATAACGCCTTCCGCGTCGTCGATTTCGACGCTGTCCGAGCCATGTTTCGTAATCTTTGTCCAATGGAATGAATAATGCGGGCAGCTCCAATTCGACTTTGAAATTCCACCACTATGAGTCGCTTTATGAAATACAGTCCTGTCGATGTAGTAATGTACCCAAATCCAGTATCAAGAGTGTCCAGCTAGATTCGTTTCGCCAATCGTCTCCGTGTATCGGTGTTCAATCTATATGATAAAATCGGTTATGGAAATAAATTATAAGAGAAAGACTCCAAAGAGTGGTCGAGTATTCCAGTATATGAATGAAGGAAAGTTGCTGAAAGGAATGCCAGCTAATTCAATAAAAATCAGTTGATCGAGAGCAAAAGCCACGGCAACCTCACGGATATGCAGAAAAGAAAAAGCGCCCACAGGGCGAGATATCCAAAATGGTCAGGATCAACCCGACAAGAATCGAAGAAACAAGACAAGAAAACGAGCGGCCAATGCTGTTCACAGCTCTATAATTCAGGGCGTTTTCCCAGCAGTCACCAAACGTCTTCTTCACGGCGGTATATTCATCAAGGAATGGAGGCGATGTCTATAAAATCGCAATCGCAGAGTCGGGGGAGTCGGTTTTCGCTCAGCAACGGCTTCGATATCAGATGAGTGAGATGGGGGTTGGCGCTATGTGAAACGGGTCTGCCCCCGGAGTCGGTTTAAAGGAGAGAAAAGACACGAAATAATGAATGACAAAATTCAAAAACCGAGCAGTGGCTGTTGAAAGAAAGATGGCAAGCAAGAACACAAACAAAAGTGAATTGACAAGATTGGAATTATGGAAGAAGAGAGAAAAAAGAAGAGAAGAGAAGGGGAAAATCGAGGCCCAAGCTGCCAATGTTGAAACATGCCGAAAGGGGACAGCACCTTCCTCGCCGCCAGGGTTCAATTTCCCCCCACTGCCTGCCTGACACTGCTGGGTCTAGCACTTAAGCGGTGCAACCAGGGAGTATCCGCTACCGAGCGATACCTGCGGCCAGGCCCTGTCGCGGCACCGCCACAAGGTCACTGCCAAGTCACTTGTTCCTGGAACCTGGCAAGGGCCCTGTCCATCCACTGTCTTAGGGGCAGATCCAGCGGAAGGGGGCCGCAGTTGGTACCTAAGCAGCGCCCTGATTGGCGCGCCATGGGCCGAGGCTGCTGAGGCTTTGCTGCAAGATGCGCTGAAACTGGGCGCTCAAACAGCCTGAGGCAGCCATTGAAGTGCTAAACGGCGATCTTGTAACAACAATCGCATCTTGTCAACCAACTAATTGATATCAATTGGAATCAAGACCTATCAGTTAACACAGCATGTGCAACACGATCACCAAATAACTCACCAACCACTAAATTACCTCGTTATTCAGAAAGAAAAAAAACTCATTACAAGGAACGCATCAGACCCAAAAAGACTCGCGTCGCTTTGCACGGGGCACCCAGACTGACTAGCCAGCCAATGCGCAAGATTTCAGGGATCAACCAGCGAAATTAACTCTTTCCCAGAACTCGCCGGCAACGAGATTGAGCTTCATTCGGCTCGCCCACTCTCGCATCGCACCACCAAAATAAACAATTGAACACATTTTAAAAATAAATAAATGAAAACATGAAATGGAGAATGAAATAGACGAGAGGCAGCCTATCGTTAGTTTTACTCCATTCTGCAGCTCATCTTTCTTGATTGCGGAGTGCCGAGGCCGCTGCCCCTCGTCAAGCACAGCTTCTGGTTCTGGTCCCTTTTGCGACAACTCCCCAAGAACTCTTTATTTTTTTTGTCTCATTATCATTTCAATCTCATCCAAGATCGACAACGAGTCATGCTAATCTGCTCCTCGTACATGCAAGTCTTCAATAGTTAACTGCCTATTAGGTGCCTAACCCAACCAAAGCTCTACACAATCCACAACAACTTCCTCGCCCAGCCTCAGCTCTACCAACTATCGTACAATAAAAAGGCACCAGCTCGACTGACTAAGAATTGGATTGGATGCCTCCATAGCTAACAAA